AAGACACTTCTGTGAAAAGGGTACTTTGGTCCCCCTTGCCCCTCCTGTCAAAAGGAAACAGAGGTGGTTGACTCCCCGTGCCACCCTCTCCGGGGCCTTCCTCGCAGCGTTGAAAGAAACAAACAAGTAACCTTTATTGTAGAATCAGGCTAGAAGCCTCGTAAACTCAATTTTTACATTTGACTGGATAATTTTAAGGCCAGACGTAAGTTGCAGGTCAAATCCAACACAGTAGAAAGGATTATTTTAAGAAATTCCTGGGAATGCAAAAATTCCTGTAAAATTTGCAGCTCAGATGACCTGAGACGTTAGAAACAAGCTGAAAACTTATTTGAATCAATTAGGTCAAACAAATTCCTGAAACAATTTCAGTAAGTCATTTAACAAATGTTGGAGTAATCTAAGCAGAAAATGTGACCTTTGATGTGGAAATACCATCGTCGTCACTATGGGGGAGAGCGTGAGGGGTGTGACAACCCATTTGAGAAAAATTTCTTTGCAAGAACAAGGGTTTAGTCGGGGTGCTTAGTCGGCAAATCTTCAAACTTGTCTGCAGATAAAGAATGAATCATCCAGTCTGTCTACAAATGGGACCTGGAAAGCTCACTCCCCTCCCCCCTCCTTTAACATAATTGCCAGCTACAGCCCTGAGAAAGGCCCCTCTATCCTCCTCCAAAGAAGATCCCTGTATCGCAGAAGACACGAAGCCTCTTCAGGTCTTCAAGCAAAAATGCACCAGATTGCATTGCATTCACGATCGCTGGCAACACCAATGCCATTTTAGGGTTTTTTTGAGTAAAGGCCTCGTTTGCATGTTGCGGGCACATAATTTGCAGACCATTCTAAGAACATGCTGATTGGGAGAAAATTCAGTTTGAAAATCTCATCAAGCGATTAGCGAAAATCTCATCAAGAAGTTGTGCAAATATTCTGATAAAGATACTAGAAATGTCATGAAGAAATGAATGTATGCTATTTTGTGAATGATTTTTGCTGTAAAGAGATATCTATCCAACTCTCGATGATATTTTAGAGTCTTCATAAGATTCTGTCCCGTCTTGAAATTTTAGGCCCAGTTGGCACCCCATATGGAGATATGAAATTTGTTTTCTTTGTCTTTTATCCCCTTCAATGCCTCAAAAAATAGCACTCGAATTAAATTACCTTTTATTACACTAAAATTGTTATAGAGATTTTGGCAGTACTTTATTTGCCATATTTCGTTCTGACATGGGTTTCGTTCTTGAAAATCTTAAGAGTGTGTTAGACGAATTTCTTTTTGATAAAGTAACATACCTTATTTATATATGTCTGTTCCTGTAGTTACGTTAAGCTCCCTTGATCAGCTGCGTTTTTAGGGACTGCGGGGCACGGAGCCAAAAATGTCTGCGGGGCCCTTGCTCTTTACAATTTTTATCTTTTTTCTTAGGTGTGGGGCCCCTTTACCGTAAGTGCAGGGCCTGGGACCATGGCCCCCTGGACCCCCTCAAACGGCCACTGCCAATGATTGACAAAAGATCGTTTACAGTCCTTCTCTTCAGGGAGTGTTTAACCTGGTGTAATGATAAACCGGGCTTAATAAACACTTTAAATACCAGAGCGCTAAGTTTCTTTCAACCATAATTGCAAATCCCAGTTATATCCTATTTAGTCTTACCAAGAAAACATTCGATCAACTATCAATTCGAAGGATCTTTGTTGAAATATCATGTCCACCGGGTGCTAGTTCTGTTTGGTTAAAGCTTCAACTTCACTTTTCACTGCCTTTATCTCCATGGTTTGGATAAAAATAACGAGTGGTCCTTTTATCCGGGAAAATCCGGTGATAATTACCGACATCCTTTTCCAAAGAGGCCAGGATATTCACGAATAATAATGTTGTTAGATGTAACATTTGAAAAGATAATTGAGAATTGCAGATAAGTCGGCATCATTTTTTGGATTTCATCGGATTTGCGGAGCAGTTTGATAGTTTAGGCTAAGATTTATATCTGGTTTCTTCGACTGTCAATTTCAAGTCCCACCTTCTCATTATAAACTTGCTGTGGGCCTTTCTGTTCGCCATCGTTTCTAGAACTCTGATCAGCTGTTATGAGAGGCCGTCGAATTAAAAAGGGAAGGCCATTTTGTGCTGATAATATCTCGAATGTGTCAAACTTTTTTCTAATATATTTTGCTGCTGTTTAGCTTGATCCTTAAGTATTTTCCCCATTTCTATGATTCTGCTATTGTTTAGTTCAAAAATTTGATAAAATACTGAGTTGATTTATGGATTGGTGCGCATTCGAAAAATCTTCGAAACCATCAACATTCTTCATTTTCGTCTGAATGAATACAACAAAGACAACAACAAAAATTTGTTGCAATATACCCCGAACCTTCTTTTTCCTGCATGTTCACTTTACCCTAAGTCCTGTATTCGAGTTGAAATGTAGCACTGAGAAAACGGCAGGTCAACTGAGTTTGTAATTATGCGTCAAGCCCTGGTGTTGTTAGTTCCAGCATGTATTGTAACTGTTTGGAGCAGGCTGTTTGCTTGCTGCGTTACTTGCTTTAAAGACAAATGTTGTTGCCTATAACAATATCTAGTTTCCATTAAATTAAAATTAATTGTGGATGTTTTCAATAAACAACCCCAAACTTTCGCCACCATTCAAACTGCTTGGGGCAATAAGGATTCGTTATTCAGTGAAGCCTTCACATCAAATACTCACTTGAAACGATGTGTTATTCCTTGGTTAACCTTACCGGTGTCACACATATCGAACTTTATTTCCTTTCATCAATTGATCTTTATTTTCATGTCATCAACTAGGTCTGTGCCAGCCACATAAGCGAAGACTCTTTACCAATCGGTGCTTTCCTCTTTATGAGCTAGTGATATCAAAAGGGCATGTTTTAAGCCATGATTTCGGTGTTAGAACGATCGAACATTCAAAATGAGGCTGTTTTTGGTTTTGGAAGGACGCAGGCTGATTTCGGGGGGCTGCAGTAAGCAGAATCCTTTTTATTCCAACGAATTTCATGAGCAGTGCTCTGCCATATGTCAGATTTACTTATTTATCATGCAGACACGCTTGCCTCAGTAAGTTCCCACAAACAGAGATGAAAATTGAATTGGATCATGTCTATTTTGCTTGTGGAGTACTTTATCGAAAAACGTGAGTTTTTATTGCAAGATAAGCGCGCCCCAACCTATGATCATAACCTCTAAAAGTGATGCTCCCCAAACAGAAGGGGGACTTTTGGAAGTCAGCTAGGGCATACTGCCTTGTGTTAGTAGATCTCAAGCGCCCATGTTTCCGGCTTCGCTTTTGAAAAAAGTGCCCCAGTTGTGGGCAAAAGGAGCCTTTACAATGGCTGGATCTGGTATTCAATGCGGTAATCGTTTTTACATACTTTACTTCAAATGCCAACGAAGCATTGCCGCGGCAAATCCGGATGCAGCACAGGCTACACCACGCCTACAAACTGGTTCCGGTTGATTATAGCGCCTTATGGTCAATCCTTGCAACGATCTTTCTTTGCTAAGTTTTTGTTTAATATTGCTGTCCGCCCTGTAGTGTCCAATCCACGAGACGATTAGCGTAAATCTCCTGCTCAGCGGTATTCTCAATTAGTATCATCTCCTACGCAAACGGATTTGTCTTTTGCTTTGAGCGCATTCAGTACTTGAATCTTAACAAAACAGAGCTCAGTACGCATCGCTGTGTACATTAAATTACAATGCCAAACCATATTTCTAATCCTAAAGTATCGAGCAACAGTCGTTTAATAGGATCCGCGAACATGTCATCTATGAATAAATTCAACTCGCTCGGTAATTGGCTCATTAGGGCTCAGCGCCTCGCCATAACAAGATCATGCGCTTTGGGGGTCGGAGAAATGTCCTTTACCTTATTTCGCTGTAAAAATGAGATGATCGTTAATCTGTCTGGGCCCGTTTTCAGATTGCTCGAGAGTTCTACGTCTTCATTACATGAGGTTACCCAATATTTAAAAGTACAGGCCGCAATTCTTCAAGTAGACGACATTTGCGATAAGAATGCGGTCGACAAGCCTGCCGAAATTATAAAACTATATTAGGCCGCATGAAAAGAGTCAATTTTAATTATTTCTGCCGAGTTGAGAATGCCTAAAATGTTGATTTTTCAAATTAATTATCTTTATCAGCCCACTTCAGAAAACAGACATCTCTTATGACCCTGTTAAATTCAAAATCCTTCGTTGACTTTATCTTCCTCGTGCATAAGCACATGAAATTAAAAAACATGGGTCCTAGCATCGTGACACATTACAAGATCATTCCGCCTGGGTTTCCAATAGCTAAATTTTGTCACAGCATTTCGCTAAAGCTGTATAGCGTTATTACTGAGCACAGGGATATAGTTGAATTTGAATATAGTTGAAAAAGCATAAAAGGAACCTCAGCTGACTGATTCTTTCCTCTTCAAGCTTGCAAACATCAAATCCTCTATAATTATGCATCTTTATTGATTTATTGCTTGTTTGTTTTCTCAGCTTACCCTTTTGCACTTGCGATTCTGTAAGCCAAATAGAGAGGTTTATAATTGTAGTGTAATTGAGTTGAAATGAAAAGTTTTCATTATCATTATACCAATAAAATCTCTCCTCAACTCTACCGTTCAAAATTTACTCAACACAGGCCCAACCTTGATTGGCATTATGGCTTTTAGGACCAAACAATCAAACTACATGTGCTTCTAGCATCCACTCAACATGCACTTTAATTCATTACATTTTAATCTAAATCTACAAACCAAGTTTATCTCAATTTTCCTCATTTCCTTTAATTTATTCGCTCAGCGACGGTATCTCTGACATTTTATAGATAATTGTCCTCCAACGTGCAGAAATAGATCAGCAGAAGCCTAAGGCACTTCTGAGTTTCTCTTTATGAATTTCCTGTAAGTATATGAATTTCACGTTATTGTTCTGAATGTAATAGAATAATTGCATAAATTATTATTTTGCTCCAGGCTACTTCGGTAAATATCTCAACCAATACGATGGCAGCAACATCCCCCCTGGCTGGAATGAATGGTACGTTTCATTGAAAAACAGTCGCTACTACAACTACACTGTAAACAACAATGGTCGCTTTGAGCGCAAGGCCTGGAATTATGAAAAAGACTATTCTACCAATGTATTCGCCGACGCCGCGATTCGATTTTTTCGCCGCGCGAAAATCAGGGACTACACTAAGCCTGTACTTATGACTGTCTCGTTTGCTGCCCCACACGGCTCAGAAGACCCTGCTCCGCATCACAGTTCAATGCTCAAGAATGCAAAAGCTCCAAGGTATGTTGCAAACTCAACCTTTTTGTTAATCAAGTTTCTTTCTAGTAACTTGATACAGCTAGACTTATAGCTTGAAGGCATAACATGAGTATGATATTTACTGGACTCACGGCTGCCACCAGTGCTACTAATAAAGTAACGAAAATCGGCGTCATAAATCACATGAATATTCAGCTGAAAATTTTTAATTGCTCACTAGCTAATTAAAAATTTTAATCACGATTTAAAGTCAAGTTTTAATTCCTTCTATAAAACATTTTTCATTACACATAACATTTGGCTAAGTACCCCTAATCAACTTTCATACTAAATTTTCTTCATTAATGTTTACCTGAATCATTAATGCTTAGAAAATCCTGAACAATGCACCTGAACCTTTATTGCTAGGGAAATCCTTTGGTAATTGTTGGCAATTGTTTTTTAATACCAATAAGTTTTGTCGCCAGACTTTGAATTTACTCAAACTGCCTCTGCTAAGATTTACGTTTATACTCAGTTCATAAAAACATAAGATAAATTGACAACTGAAAGGAAACTTAAATGGAAAAATCTTTGTGATTTTTTGTAACATTTCACTCAGTAGAGAACATTGTAAAATACCCTTGTAAACTGACTAAAGTGAAATATGTCATTTTTAATCGATAAATCCTGAAAAGTTAATTTCAATTCATGGTTCCGAAATTCACTACACATTTGCAGATGTGCTGATACTTTGTGCCGCTTAACTGGATTTCTAAAAAGTGTTTATTATTTGGGAAGTGTGGAAATATTTGCGAAAATCTTCTCATTGTCCCCCTAAGAATCTCCGAACCAGCCTCATTATTAACAAAATCTGGAGTGTCATTTGCCAATAATTCAGGTTTTAAAACTTTGCTCAAAAAGCCTTTTCGCTTTAGTCACAATCAAGATTTTTTAACAGACATCCAAGCTTCAACTCGTCCTTTGCTGACAAACACTGGATTGTGCGTCAGTCGCCGCCAATTTCTCCTCCAAAGGAACAATTTATTGATCTGCTTCATCGACGGCGCCTGCTGACGTTGCTTTCCCTTGACGACGCTATCGCCCGTTTGTACCAAACCGTCCGTAGAATGGGCCAACTGGAAAACACCTACATTTTCTTCACTTCGGATCATGGCTACCATCTTGGCCAGTTTAGATTGGTTAAAGGCAAATCACAGCCATACGAAACAGATATCAGAGTACCGATGTATGTCGTTGGTCCTGGAGTTCCAGTTAACAAAACGTAAGGAAAGATTGTTTTTGCTTCCTTTTTCCGTGCAGTACCCCAGCCTGGGCTCAAATTTTGGCAAACAAAAGAATTAGGCTCGTGCCCGTGCTTCTGGGAAGAGAGTATAAAAAATACGTCTTTTTTAACTATGGGAACCTTTCAATGTTATTTCAAAAGATGTACATAGCAATTAAATCTTCTTACATGAATCTTTTCTTCTGATTTTTTTCGTTTGCATAGAGTTTTGACGAATGCTTCTAAACTTTTATTCAAATTATTTCGAAAACTGAATTCAGGAAATAATTCCAAAATTTTGACAAACGGAAGATTCTGATAATGCTTACAGGTACATTTTACAACAAAATCAAAGGTGACAGCAGACATCCTTGTGGGAATGTCTTATTATTTTATGCAGAAAGATAGCTCACATTTTACCGTATGACGCTCTTTATTCTAGGGAGGCTGCGATTGCCTTGAATATTGATTTGGTTCCAACTTTCCTGGATATCGCCGGCGTGAATCAACCGGAGAATGTCGACGGTTCATCTCTTCTAAATGTCATATCAGCCAAGAAGAAAAAACGAAGGTACGGTTAATTAGTTTTGTATAGCTGTTGGATGAACATCATAACATTAATAAATGGACTGTTTTTGAAAATTTAAACCTCAAATCGGAGACACGTAGTTTTGTCTCAAATTTGTCGATGGTCCTTCGATTACTAGGTAGAGACAAATGTAAATAAACCTATCCCCGAAAGGGTTTTATACCATCATTTTGCTATTCAACTACGTTAATTTGTGTAGCTTTATTAAACTAGACTACAAATTGGTTAAGACAGGAGTTTACTTTTATTAACAGGAGAAACATGAGAGGTATGCCATTGACTCCATGGCGGGATACATTTCTTGTGGAGAGAACGTGAGTATTTCAGATTGCATTTGCCAACATCCTAGTCAGCGTTCAAGCTTGCATTTCTAAGCTCGTTCAAAAACTGTAACAACATGACCAACTTTTTTAACCTATTCTTAATCATAATCTTGAAATACAGTGGGATTCTGACATTACGAGCTTAGAAGGCTACCGAATTCGGTTCTTTGTATGGCAGTGAGCAGCTAATAATTCAGATTATAACTATAAATGACATTTTTATCAATTCTTGTTTGCGTGGCTTATTTCAAAACAAAAGTCGAAATACTAGACTACTCATTAAAATAAGGCAGTTTTGTTTTTTTACCTTAACTTCCTCTTGTCTTAAAATACTGGGATAGATTTCGGCTTCGCGTTGTAAATTGGTATCTCTTTCTGGGTCCAATAGTGGTACTTGAATGCTACAAAACGATATGGTACATTACTTCCCATAGTGATCTAGCACAAGTTTTAAATGGAAGCTTTGATCGATAGCTGTTCAGAAATATACATATCCCTTTAAGATTTCCAATTTCTCAAAACAAAGCAACATTTAGGCTTGAATGCAATTGTCACCGAAGTTATTGTAGGATTCACGAGGAGATTTATAGTTAGTATTTCTTGCTATTTTGGCACTCCCTCCTTCATTTTCAGACGCATGGCATTTTTGCCAGCCTTGCCATACTCTCATCAAGTCATCCAAAGACAAAAGATATCACGTTTAGACCCATTCACGCAGTTGTACGCTCGATTCAAGGTAAACAGCAAAGACCCAAGTGGGCACTATGCGCTTATATATTGCACAAAGAAGGGCGCACCACAGCCGCCATGCAGCCCCAGGAAAAAAAGGGTTTGCGCTCTTGTTAACGGAAAGTATTCCTTGATTGAATGTCAATCGAAAAAAAGAAGTAACAGAAAAGACAAAAAGGACTTGAAATGCACTTGCAAATCAGTGCCTAAGCCTAAACCAACTGTACCACCATTAGGTATGTTTTCACATGGTTATCTTGGCTTAATGAAGTTTCTAAAAATACATACAACGAAATACATGCATGTTACAATACATGTTTGGATGTTTTGTCAGCTGTTTGGATAGCGTAGAAAGTACAAAAGAACCGTGTTTTAGGTTCACCTCACACTGTCTCACAATATTCTTTGTATTGTAATGTTTTGCTTCATTTCTTTATGTTTCATTCAGGTTACTGAAACCAAGCTCATCATAAAGAATCTGTTACGTATTCAAATACCGTAACCAATGCTCCTCCTTTTTCTATTATCTTGTACAAACTCTAACTCTCATAACGAAAGTGTTACCCAAAGTTAAGCTAGTTTGAGTATATACAGTATGTCAGGGGCGGATCCAGAGCAAATTTGAAGGAGGGGCAGTTGATAGTGGGGGCGCTGAAAATTTTTCAAAAATTGGGGGCGAGAATACGCTGCATACAACAATTTCAGATCCATTTTCGAAATAAACAACATAACTTTGAGGTAATTCTTGAAGAAAATCAACCTATTGGTCTCAGAAACTTTTCACCCGATTCTCAGTTTTCAAAAGGGGCGCACGATTTCCAAAAAGGGCGCCAAACTTGATTCAATTCGTTGAGGGAGGGGCAACAGCCCCTAGTTGCCCCCCTTAAATCCGCCACTGCAGTATGTCCCGCCATTGTCCAGAAAAAATGGTTCCTTCGACAAGCCCCCTCGAACGTTTTTGTTTCATGCATACACGTCTGCAGGCTTTCAGCTATCTTTTTGGACTGAAAATTGTTTTCCCTTTGCTTAATCTGGCCTGGTTTTTGTCATAGATGAAATACTCCCAACTGCTGACCTAGACAAACGACCATATTATCAGGAATACTACCGCAAATTAAGGGAACTGGCTGACTTGCACGGGGAAGAAGCAACAATATTTGCTAAATTGCTCGTAAGAATGAAACGAAAATCGAGGAAACGCTCATTGAGAAGGTTGACTATCAGAGATCTTAAATACAATGGTGAGTTATCGCTGACAATTAGTGGCATGTGTTTGGATCACTAAAGTTGATTTTTGTCTCGCTACAAACCTATTACCTTCTTGTCTTTTAGTCCATGACCATATATAACTTATAATTGATGTGTGTTATTTGTGGGCTGATTACAAGTTGCCAATATTATCGAAATTTTTTTGGAAGGAAAGGTAAAGTTGAAGAAAGTAGGGTGTCCAAAAAGATGCAAAATATTTGGGTTTTATAAGGGGTATTCAGGCATTTGAGGTATGCTTGGCCATCATCTATTTTGTATGCATTCAAAATAGAGAGATGCGGACAAACAGCAAGTGGCACCTTAGCTATTTACTTTATGGCAGTATAGTAATTTCACTCCATGTCATTATTAACACTTGATGTAAGGGGGCCCATCAGCCAAGAGAAGCAAAATGGCATTTTCAAGCGGCAGCGGCAAAGCCTAGTTAAAATGATTGCAAACTGAAACGGATAAGAAGAATGTTAACAATTAAGTTAAACTAGATCAGCATTGAAATTGAAAATGAACTATTAAAGGATAAATACACATTTATCAATATTTAGATTGATATGGCCTCTCGCACTTTTTGTAGAAATCCATTTGAGGATACGAGAAGCAAAGAAACTACTTGGTGCTTTGAGGCAACGGAGAAGGCTTCTGAAAAACAGCGATACAAAAAGTGAAAAGAAGAGCAGTGAGGTGAAGGCTGACGAGAAATGCACGTGTCGAAAGGAGAAGGGAAAGGGGAAAAAGAAACAAGCCAAGTCAATGTTACCGGGAATAAATTGTTTCTTTGTTAATCGTGCTAAAACGTGGGTTACACCACCTAGATGGACAGGTATGCCATAATCATTTAATTCTGTATATGATATAAATTTGGTATCAAACATAGCGTACTTGAAGGTATATGCTATATCGAAGAATTATTTATGTGTCAAAAAAATGAATTAGGTGGCAAAGAGTTGACTATTATTCAAATCGAACTTTCTTTTATTTCAAACGCTGAACATTGTTGCTGCTAGGTGGCGCCAGTTTGTGGTATTGGGGGTACTTTGTCAGAACATGTTCCATATAATTCTTCTAAAAAATTGATGGAAGTACATTTGTTAGAGAGAGGTTTATATTTTTTTAGATTTCTCTAAAAAAAAATACACCTGGTATAAAGTACTGCAATGAGAGAAAAGGGCGTGGTCCCACGAGTCACGCCCATTTCCCTTCCACTCCGCAGTAGCTGGCATCGTCACTGTCTGAATATTACGCTTGTAATGATATCACATAAACTATCACTTGTCTGAAGCAGAACACAATATGTTTCATTAAATGTTTATCTAACTTAACCCCCTTAATCTCATTTTAGGTTCGAGCTTTGTCAGCTGTACAAACACAGCAAACAATTCGTACCTCTGCTTGCGAACGATCAATGCCACGCACAACTTCATCTACTGCAAATTTGTAACAGGGTTCATTGAATACTACGATCTGAATAAAGACCCTTATCAGGTTAATTTTCTTCCTAATCTTGTTTAAAAAATAAATAAAACCCCTGCTTATGTTGCCATATTGACAAGATTATGAAATTTAGGCGACTTTTTACAACAAGCCAATTTACTGGTTATATCTCTCTGTGTCAAGTTTCTATATGGATTGTTTTCATATAAATTGTTGTTTTTGTTCCAAATTAACTGATTATTCTTTTTTTTGACTGAAATGATGAGGAAATAACATAATATAACCTGAGTTTTGCACTGAATGGCAATGTCTTCAACAGGCCCTCTAGTCATGCTCCTTCGCTATTATGAAATTAACATGTGCAATTTATTCTTATCCTCTATCAGGCTTAAACATAATCAGTTAAAATTCTGCCTGCAGGTAAAGAACACACATAGATCTCTTTCAAATGACGCAATAGCTGATTTTGACAGACAGATAGATTTTCTTTCAAACTGCAAAGGAGAGCGCCAATGTACAGTAACTGCTGGACGTCGACCTAATGTGGTATGTTAACGACTATCGTTGTTTGTATTCCCCTTCATAATTCATAATCATAAATCTTTATCGTATGAGAAAGATTTTTTGATACTGTAGCAGGTTTACTTTTGACAAAACGTGATATATAACCAAAGTTGCCACCAATACCGCAAAATTTGAAAATAGCACAGTAAAGAGAAAACATGCTTTACTGGATGACTTTCAGTCCGACACTCCTCAGAGTAAAAGCAATGGATTGTATCCAATGATAAGCAGAAAATTTATATCAAAAGAAATAGTACTTCTCATATGAATAATACTCCAGTATGATATGTTCTGCTCTTCAATGCTATTTTCAAATTATATATAAATTAACCTGTTTTTTCATCTTTGTTTTGTTTCATTTTCTACAATATATAAAGTATTTTCAAGTTTCATAACTACGACACATCTTTTACTTGATACTAAGTTTCTTTTGAGAGCTAAACCGAAGATATTCTAGCTCAATTTGAATGTTTTCTTTCCATCTTCCACTTACACAGCCTTACAAACGTTTTTATACAAACAGAGATATTAAATGCTGTTGAAAATCTTTTGCAGATTGTTAGGCCGGCTATTCGCAGAAACTTTGTAAGAAGCAGATATCCAAGGGCAAGATACTTCAACTGGAATAGATATCTGGGCATTTCACAATAGAGAAGTGAAACAGAAATAGTTCTACAGAAAAGTCTCAGAAACTTTGAAATCTTGCAGTTGCCGCATATCATTTGCTGTGTATAGACTCAAGGCTTGAATGCAAGCCTCTTTTTAGAAATTTATTCAAACCGAGACGGTAGCATAACCATGGCTCTAAATTTAAAGTTTATAGACTTTAAAGTTTCTATGAGCCAAGTGATGTAAATTGCTGCATGTTGTTGATGTTGCATCTGGAGTGTGATTGCGGGTTTGCTTGTGTGGAAAAACAGAATATGGTTCATCAAATTCTAAAGTGGCTAGCAAAAGTTTAACTGTCAAAATTTTACGGAATACGAGACCGCCATGGAAAAGAAAAGCTACTGAATTGTTGCAGAAGGCAACTTGCTCTTGTTGTGAGACATGGGCTGAGCCAAACTATTCCCTAAGGAGTGTAATAATTAGTCTGATGCTCCACTTGTTGAGCAGATTGACAATTCTATCTGAATCGAACAGCCCCAAACGTTTCTCTGTTAAGGAACCTCATGCTAGTTCTTGCAAGGAAAACGCATATCCTTTCTAACATGAATATGTGAATTAAGTTATTAGTATAGTTTTAAATTTGTCCGTTACCGGACTTCGGGCCCTGTCCGTAAACGAAACATTTATTGTATTTTCATTTGACGAGTGAACGATTCTAAAACTGTTCGCTTTTGTATAGTCCTTCTAGGTTTAAAAGCTTTGTTGAGCAATATCTTACAATTTACAAATATTAATAATGATCTTAGAAAAGATCGGAAAGTTTGAAGCATACCGAAATTGACCTCATGTCTTCTCTCAAGAGTAATACATTTAAATGAAGCAAGATGTGAATTTTCATTCTGCAAACACTTTTCATGAGATCTTTGTAGCCAAAGAACTTATTGTTCAGCTTCAAGGTCAAATTTCATAACGACAAAAATTGTCTTTGTCACTTGGCCAGAGAAACCGTTTTTGCTTTCATTGTTTGAAGACAAATTGGAAAGAGACCTTTAACAGTCTTGGAAAGGGACCTGTAACATTGACACAATTTTTCGGTTACCTTCAAACTTAGTCGATTAATTTAAGAATTTTAACTAGATATTTATTATTGTAGTTGATAATAATTCATGTAAGTGGAGACTAGAAATTAAGCACTATTTTGTTAAGTTAACAATGTGTGTGTAGTTACAGTTTTATACATAGTGTTAGATGGTGGAGCATTATTTTGAAAGGTATTCGATAATCGGATCACTAAGAGGGTGTCAAGAACATAACATCAAGAATATAAATATCACCTATACAACTAGGATGTAAATTAAAGAACGAGGCCCTTGACAAATATTTCTTATTTCATGAATGCTAAGGATGTCAATCCCAACGACCCTGATAGAACCTATGAATATTCTAAGACCATTTTACAAAATATATTCTAGCCAAAAAGTTATAGATTACTTATATTTGTTAAAATATTCTTATAAATGCAACGGTAGAAGTTGGCTGTCTGTCTTGCAACCGTATCAAGATATCAGCTAAATATTAAAAAGCAATCCAATATTTTGTTAATGCAGATGCCTTGCCTGTTTGCTCCGCCATCACCATCTAGCTGCCTTTACGTTAAAGGCATTTTGCACCCTAAAGCTATAATAGGATTATTTCGAAATTGCGTGTTATGTTTGTAATTATGAAATTGCTCCCTGAAGGATGTGCTACACTTTTAAGGTAGTCTTTAAGGCCAAGCCTTGATATAGCTGTAGGCTATGTTGGTATTGTATTAATCGCAATCTCCCTCTTTGAATTCGGTGAGTGACCACCTAAAAACCACCGCCTTATAATTAAATATCTGGGTTCTCTCGGGCCCGTCTGTGATACCTACGTCAGTTGCCTAAAGCTCATAACCTCTCCTTTGAAGAAAACCATGAAACTATATATGGTTCAATTAATTACGTCACTGTGTAACAATCACTAAGCAAGTCTTTCTTAATAAACTCAAGACTTTGAGGAGCCCCTAAATCCATAACAAGCACAAAAAGGCGTCAAGAAATGCGCGAATGTGAATAGTTTTAAGTTTATTTATTTTCTACAGTTCGAAAACCCAGTGTGCAGTTCAATGTGAAAAGCCCATAACAGATGTAGCCTCGTGCCAAGCTGTCCTTTTCTAAGTTAAAAAGATTGTTGTTTTCATGATACGCAATGTTAGATAATAAAAAGACTTTTCGCTCTTTTTTACTGTCACAAATAGGAACCAGATTCTCCATAGGGGCGTGGTACTCCAAAAAACTATTTCATTCTGCTTTCTTATAATTACCTGATCTTACTTGGAGTTCCATTTCAAGCCATCGTTGTTGTAGAAAGATTATTATTTTAGTACTGATGTTAGCGATTTGGCAATCCAATTTTTGGGTATTGTTGTAAATAGTAGCAGTTTTTAATCACATCTTTATTTATTTCTTATCTTTGATCCATTTCTGTCCAATTTCTCGGTACATCTGTTCGGCTCTCTCGTGGTAATTACTTTGCGATTTTGCTCGACGCAATAGTGTGCTCTCCTCTAGCGATAAACCTAGCACCTGTTCTCTCGCATCTTCTAATCGAAATAGGTTACCCATGCGAAAAAACAGTAGCAGAGAGATAAAAACAAACACGTATGGAGCGAAAAGTTTCTTTAAAGCGAGGGGCAAATCACTCCAAAAAATCTCGTACACCTGTGGTGGAAAACCTATTGTTTTATCTGGAAATCCCCAGAAATCCTTTTGTTTTAGAGAAAATCTCGTACGCTATTTGGAAGAGTGAATTGCCCCTCGCCTTACAGGAAGAAAAAAGAAAACTCGCTCTCAGTCGGACCCGCGACACACCTCTTTTATTCACCGAAGCAAAACGCTAAACAAATTTTGTCATTATTATGGTTTCCCATCCCCCTAACCATGCTCTTTTCATGAATCAAGGCCCTTGGTTGGTAGTCCCTTCACCTTGAAGAAAAGTGAAACAGAAAAGATTCTGCGATCAGTTGATTCAATGACGATAGCGCTGCGAAGGAGATTTTCATTTCACAGTCAATCTTGTCGTGTCCATGTGGGCCACGGTAACAAAGCACTTGACGCTTTTGCAGTGGCAACGGTATAAACAGCCATCCGCCTTGTCAAGGAAAGCTTCTTCATTTCAGAATAGAGTGTCAAGACAATATTTTCGAGAAAATGGAAGTGAACAGCGCAGTACCAATCCAAGAGGTGTCCCCGGCTGCTAGGCCATCGGAGGGGAGCAGGTCTGAAGACGGGTCACCACCTGCCAAAAAAACAAGACTGGCCCAGACAAATGTTGATGAAAGTGGGGAACCATGCGTTCAAGAAGAATGCAACTCAAAACTGGTATTGCCTAGCGAAGGCCTAGAAAGTAAAAACGCAGAAATTAACGAGCCACATCAACCTGATAGAAACGAGGTTGCTGCAAAGGAGGACAAGGACGGAGAAGAAGAAGTGGGTGAAACGGTTGTTAATGAAACCCCCCAACAAGAGGAAAAGGAGAAAGTTTCTACCAAAAACCATTTGGAAAGACAAGACAGCCGAGATCTGTCAATTAATAATATCCAAGATAAATCACCAAAGGAAATTTCCTTGATACGAAAGAAAAAGGTTGCATTGTTGATGTCTTATTGTGGAGCAGGTTATTTTGGGATGCAGAAAAATCCAGGAGTCAAAACAATCGAAGATGAATTGTTATTAGCTTTAAGCCAATCTGGAGCTATAAAAGATGAAATCAAGGATGATTTAGGCAAAATGTCTTTTCAGCGATGTGCAAGAACTGATAAAGGGGTGTCAGCAACCAGACAAGTTGTGTCTCTAAAGATGGTGCCTGTAAGGGAACTTTTGCCCATTATTAACAAACATCTTCCACCATCAATCCGAGTTTTTGGGATGATAAGAGTAACTAAAGGCTTTGACAGCAAGAACCAGTGTAGTGCGAGGACTTACCAATATTTAACCCCAACTTTTGCTTTTGCCCCAACCGAAATGCAGACTGTTCCAAGTTATAGAATCAGGGCTCCAGAAATCGAAAGAATGAATAATATTTTAAAGATGTTGTGTGGTACACACAATTTTCATAATTTCACATCAGGGAAACATCCTGATGAAGCTAGTGCCAATCGCTATATCATTGAGTTTAAAGCTGGTTCCCCTTTTGTAAAAAAGAGTCATGAATTTATTGCAGTTTCAGTCAAGGGGCAGAGCTTTATGCTGCACCAAATCAGGAAAATGATTGGAGTTTGCATTGCAATATGCAAAGGATACTGTAATGAAGATATCATTGAAAGGTCATGGGGAAAGAACAAGATGGATATTCCAAAGGCACCTGGACTGGGGCTTATGCTTGACATGGTCCACTTTGACAGATATAATAGCAGATATGGTTCAGACGGAATGCATGAGGCAATCTCTTGGGACAGCTACAATGCAGAAATTGATTTGTTTAAAGAAACATTTATATGGGACACAATCATAGAGAGTGAGATTACTCATAAATCAATGATGAAGTGGCTTGGAACGCTAAAAAACCACACTTATTCAGAAAACAGGATACAAGGAACTGGCCCAGCTGAGTGTGAGAGTTAGCAAACACACTTCTGTACAGCTAAACATTTTTATTCCTGTTTGTTTGTTTTAATCTCCATGAGCAAAATATAGGTAGAGCAGGATGTTTAATAAGACAGTATAACATATTCCTTCGTGATTGACAATGTTTTCTTGTATTTGAAACCAGTTTTAATCTCCTTCATATACTAACAAGCAATTTGGTGAAATTACCTTATAAAATTATGTTTCTTTTTATAAGGAATCCATACTTAACAATGGAAAACATAACTATATAAATGTATATAGCAATTGACTGACAAAAATCATTCTTATTACTTCAAAACTCCTTATGATTTAGCATTTATCTTTATTCAACTTCATTTCTTTTACTTCATCTACTCTTGTCCAAATGAAAATATTTTTTTGTTCTGATAACAACTGGATGAAAATTTTAAGTATGCATTAAATAAAGGCCACATTTTGTAAGTATGCCTTTTCTTTATTTGTGAGCAGCTAAAGATTTCAACACCAATAATGCATGAAGTTATCATCTTGAACTGACGAAGTTATCATCTTGAACTGACGAAGTTATCATCTTGAACTGAGATTTAACTCATTTTCCCTGAGGGGAAAACATGGAAGTCAGCATTAGTTCAATTCAGAATGAAGTAATTATATCATAAAATTTGGAACCTTTGCCTAGGGAAATGTCTCATCTGATATTGTATCATTTGGTAATTTTGGAAAGTGCCCTGTGGCATTAGACATGTCCACTTTATGAGACTCTCTATATAGTAAATAACCAGCCCCCTTCCATGATACCAATTTCTTGAGGATTTCAGATTCGAAGGGTCTCGCGAAATTCCTTCAAAACTTTTGGTTACTAGCAACTCATAAATTAAGCTTTGAACAACTGCATACAAAATTGTCTTGAAAAAAACTTGTCCAATCTGCCTCATCTACTGTTCGATATATGAGCACAAAAAACACCAAGATTTCATATTATTTGTCTTCTTATCTCTTTTACCTTCCAAGTTGAAAACCAAATTTTCAAAATGCACTTTTCTATCATTTTCCTAATTGGTGTGGTACCAGAATTCAATTAGTATGGAAACCCCCCCATCTTTGTTGCTTGCATCCGTCCCTGTGCATGAACTGCCTTTTTGATGGACAGGATGCGGATATACGATTCCTGGAATTGCTCAATGAATATACCCTCAAATGCCCCCCCTCCAATAGTGGTTGTGATTCACGCATTCACGCACAATTTTTTGACGTTTCACGCATTCACGCACTGCAAAATTACATTTTCGCGCTCACGCAAACAATAGTAAGTGTAATATCAGCTGTTGCTCATCAGAGACCTGTTTGAAGGACTACAATACAACTTTCAAAATTTGATTACTAATTTCAGATTTAACTTTTATTGGTTTAATACGCACTGAATTGAGGCAATTTTTTAAATTATCATTCAAAATTACATTCACGAATTCAAGGATAGTTAAAGCCTTTTCACGACATAACGCAACACGCTTCACCTAGGAATCTTAATTCACGAATCACGCATAAAAAAATCGAGATTTTACGATTTCACCCACGAAAATATGGCCAATAACGCATCACGCAAAAATATGGGAGGGGGTCAAATGTATATCGTTTTTTATTACTATTCCATTTTTCATCGCACAACTTTTTTCTTAAATTTTAGATAGCAACTCCCAAATCAGACATCTCACTTTTTTGGAATGGTAGCAGTGTCTGCTCCCTGCTCATGACATAAAAGCAAGGCGGGGCACAACCTTGACTTAACAGAACATATTTCTCAAACTTCTGAAAAAAAATTCTTCGTAATAAAATGTTTATTGTTCTTAGACTAATCATGGGCTCCGACGCAGGTTTCAAAGTGGGGGGGCAAGAGAAAATTTGACAATCGTAACAAAAGATGTTGAACAAAGCTCTTTTGTTTTGCAAAAAATTGGGGGCAGGGCTAATACTTCGCTCCCCAAATTTATAACGATTCTACCATGAAAGTTGCTATCCTTTGGGATATACTTTGTAAAAAATCTTCTCACCCCGTGCAAATTTACACGCTATGCCCCTATTGATCGGAAAGAAACCAACAGGGTATCGGAATCCCAGACATTAGTACTATTTCTATGGTTGCTACGAACGATGAGACAAAATATTTCTGCGGAGGAGCTAATCCATCTGGAGACCTGGAAAAAAGGAAGTTTTTACGATACGAAACTATAAGCAGGCACTAAAAATTTGTCCAGTGTGATTTGTAATTCAAGATGACTGCCTGCAGAAGTTTGTTATCATTGATATTTTTTCACAGCTACCTTATTTATGCTCAAAATTCATTCCAGGTGAGTTAGATCTAACCAACTTTTATAGAAGCAAGACTTGAAATTGTCGTTAGGCTTTATGCAGTAGGCAGAATTGCATTTTCACAGAATTTGCACATGCAGAATTTCCAACTACATAGGGTAACAAGATCAGTTACTGCACGCACAATAGATAGAAGTTGAGTAAAAGCTTGGCTGAAATGACTGTATTTTACGTGGAATAATTGCCAATTTTGTGATGCTAAATCGCCCCTACAAGATATGTTGTTCTATCTAGGCATTCGTTTTTATTATTTAAAATTTTTGTTTTTGTCCTTTTATTTTCAAATGCATGTTTTTCCAACTGTGTTGACCACGCATATGAATAGAAGCAATTTCATTAATATTTTGTTTACTAACTTCATTAACTCTGGAAAGGAGGTAAAATATTTCAGTTGCATAACTGCATAATTTTGTAGATTTTAGCTTGCAAAACTGAAATAAGCTTTTGGATGCATAAATACAACTTTTCCTGAATATGGCCTCATATCTTTGTCTCTGTTTAGGATAATTTTCCTGCAAGCAGATCTATTATGATAGAGTGTATAGCCTCCTTTTACATTTTCTTTTATCTTTGCAGGACATACTTTTTCCTCCTACCTTTGTAAACAGTCCGGACTTGACTAGCCCGCCTGGACATTTGAAGCCATTGGGAAACCAAAGGCCACCTGATGGTCCAGTCATAGAATACGACCATATTTTATCGACTCAAGAATATTGGGACAAACATGTGAAATCCAGAACACCCTGTGTATTTCGGCAAGCCATAAAGAAGTCACCAGCTCTTTCCAAATGGACAGATGAGTACTTGAACGAGAAATATGGGGACCTCGATGTTTTGGTTGAATTGAAGAGAGAAAATCGTACTTTTTCCACTGGTAGACTAAGATTTAGTGAGTTTCTTAGCAGATACAAGAAGGATGATTTATATGTTGTCACAATGTTGCCAAAGGCAATGATGCATGAAGTGCAGGTATGTTGGGAATATTACTTCAGCTTTGATTTGTAGAAATGTCTGTTTAATTGCTCTTCTCCTTGCACCTAATTTGGTTTTGGTATTATGTTCCGGTATTATGAGTGTTATGTTCACTGTCCCCTTTCCACCTTGTCTTATTGCACAATTTTTTTCTGACATTTCTTGAGAGTATCAGTTGAGTGTAGTTGAAAGAAGAAAGATTTGTTATATATATATATATACAATTCAACACATTATGATTACTGAGTAACAGTACTGCAAAGTGAAATTTAGTAATCTCAAGCCTCTCCGGGAATAAAAAGCATGCTGGCTAAGAAAGACCCCTGCTGGTTTGGCTGTGAGGGCTATTTAGCCCTTGCAGAATTTGTTGTTTATCTACTTATATTTGAGTATATGCAAGCCATGATTTGTCTTAAGAGGACAGCTGTTTGGTGTGCATTACTACTCCTAAAATGAAAATCTGGTTTTTTTGCAAAATGGCAATGTTTTGTGTAGGAACACAGATTTATTGAGTAGTATCCAACGAAACTCATCTTTATGCAAAAAGATATAGAGCAGTACAATGTTATTTAAAAGGTAATGGAAGATTAAGTTGTTTCACATTAAAAGTTCAAAAAATAATAACTGAAATCACTTCTTTTCTATTAGAAATGAAGGTTGGCTTGGGAGTACTCCAGTTTCTTAATGGTATAGGAAATTCCAATACTCATTCTTTCTTAAGAGTTTCTTAATCTGAAAAAAGTACGGAAGAGCAAGAAATAACACGATAAAAATAAGTGAATAACATATACATAAACCTCAAAGCATAAAGGGAAGCAAAAATGTGGATCGAAAGTAATGAGAGAGCTCAGACAGGGTGAATGATTGGTTCTATGTTTATTGACAAATCCCAACTGTCTGTCTCACCTTGTTGAAGAGTCAAAGAGCAAAACAAATCATTTCTGTTTACGAACTTTTTAAATTTTTTTTCGATTGCCCAATTCTTGTTTCTTATAGTGTGTTTCTTATAAAAAAGGAGTTCCTAACACAAATTTTGTACTTGACAATGTTGTGTAACAATTCTCATTCGTGCTATTTTACGCTTTTTGTTGTTCCTTTCCTTCACAACAATTTCCTATTCCATTGCTAGTTGTAACAGGTAATACTATAGTTTGTTAACATTTGATGTTAAAAGAAACAGAAATTTTCTTTTTATAACAATATTTTAAAAACCATATATCTTTTTGACACAACATTATTTATGATGTATATAGCGGTAGGTAGTTTAAACATTTGAGAGTGAGACGCAGCGGATTCGATGAGAGTATTGTTTAAACAACTGCACAGGTGGAAAAAGGCCCTTGCAAAACTATTTTGCGTGGGGTATGCGCAGGCGCAGGCGCAAGCTATAGCCCGTGTCTCCGGGAAAGGCCTGCAATCTATGAATGATTATTTGTCTCTCTTGAAGGCAGTTAACTCTGTGCTGTGTGGCACTTTCAAGAATTTCACTCACGAGTCAAACTTTTGGATGAGCAGTGGAGGAACAAGATCAGTAATTCATTATGATGCCGACCATAACTTGCACTGTATGATTGCAGGAAGGAAAGATTTGATTATGGTAAAGAATACAGAACAGAACAGAAAATGGTTATACATGAGTGCAAAGGTATACCAACCAAGTTTTGAATTGAAATTCAGCGTGACTTGTTGAAGGCCGAAGAGATTGTCATGTAGGCATGCAGTTGCAGTGGAGCTTAAAATTAAGCTTTGTTTCTTCTAGGTTGGGGTTGAAAAAATCACTCAGTCAACTAGACAAAAAATCAAGTGGTGGTTCAACTAGGCATTTAATTGCATTATATCAGCTAAAACTCTTATTCTAAAACTGCAATAGATATTTTAACTTCTCATTTCCACTAAATCTAAACCTTGAGTAGAGAAGCTTTGCCAAGAGGCAGATAAATTTCTAGAATAATTGGAGAAAGTTAGAAGAATAAATTCTTTTCCTTCTCTTTATGCAGAGAGGAAGTAGGGGAAGATCAGATAAGGCAAAGAAAAACAAAAACTGTAGTTCTTGGTAAAATCTTTGTTGAAAAGAAGACATATTTTGAAAGTATATTTGTCTGGTACAAGAACTGGAATGATGATACAATTTCTCTTTAACCACTTTCCAGACATTTGTCTGAACATACTTCTCTTGATGTCTCTTTACTGTGTGTCATGTATCTTTGCACAGATATATGCATCTTATCTCCTTTCATTTGAGTAATGGATTGTAATTCTTTCTATTTGCAGCCTGTAACAGCTGGATCTGGATTTTCACCTTTGAATCCTGACATCATTGATATGAATAAGTATCCAAATTATGCGAAAGTACCTTGGTTATATACAACTATCTTACCAGGAGACTGTGTTTATATACCTGCAAGTATGTTCTTTTTTCCATTTTTTCCCATTTATCACTTTTTAATCAGCTCAGGTCCCCTGATAGCTTAAATCAGCATGCAAAGTTAACAAGAATACATCACTGTTTAGTTAAAGAAGAATTACGCATTGTTGTGGATTCTTAGATGTTGTTCTTTCACTAACAAAACCATACATTGACTAACATGTAGTTTCCAAAGTGATGTAGAGGATACCTATGCTGCGATGTGAGAACGTGATGGAATGAATGAGAAGGAAAAATTAGAGTGTAAGCAGGCCTTAGTAGAGTCACTACAACTTAACACACAGCCAACACTTCAAAATTATGTTGGGCAGAAACTGAATGTGGGTATGATTACCATAAAGCACAGCTATGGCACCTAACAGTTATATTATGATGTCAAGAAATATTACTCAATGTTGAAATTTAATCAGGCTGTAGACAAGGCCCAAGTCACAAGGCACAGATACATATTTTTTTGCTAATCCCCTTCTTTGCTTTTACAATATACTTGATCACATATAGTTTCTCCCTTTGCTGCATTCAAGAAACTGGATGATTATAAGGTCAACACTTTACTACATAAGAAAAAATCAAGGGCATACATTATTTTTTGTGTTTGCTTCCACTTCCCTCTCTTTCCCTCTTTTCTTTTTTCTCAAGATAATTTTTTTGAGACTTCTTGGATACTCAATTGGTACTGATTCAATCTTACTCTTTTTGGTGTACAGTAAAGACCTGCGTAGAAGCTGCCCACACACATAAGCGGCCCCCGTACATTAGCTGCCCCCCAAATTTGAGGCTTCAAAATTCAGAAAAAATATTTTGCCTTACACTTAATTGTTGAAAATATTTTTGAAAATAACAATAACTAAAATCCATGAAATCCATCTTCAGACAGTTCAAAGAGTTCATCTCTTTCCATTTGATTTAATGTCACTCTATCGTCTTGATCTTGTCATGAGCCACGTGTTATGTTCAAGGATTGTAGAAACATCAAAAAGACAATCCAATGAGGTCTCATTAAGAGAATTTAACACATGGACAGATATGTGCCCCTGATTGTTTGCATTTTAAAATCATTTATGTCGGAAACTCAAGGAATTTTTTTGTTATCTACAACATTAGCAAGCCTTGGCTGCACCTACGAATTTTGGGGGCAAAATGAGAAAAAAAATGTGCAGCTTATATGCGGGTTTTTACAGTAACTGCCAAAAAGCCGAAAACATCTTGGAATGGAATAAGCCGAAAACATCTTAGGAGTAAGAGCTATGGCTCTATTCAAATGACCAGGGCCTGATGGAATGGTCTCTGTCAAAACTTTTATTGGTGAAAAGAAGTGTGCCTAGATGTAACGGTTCACAATGAGATAGTATTCGTGTTTTATAAGTTTGATCATCAGCATAACAATTTTATTTAGAGAGAAAAGTTGCAATACTCAATACTTATATTGTAAAATTTTTTTATAGTCTACATCCACCAAGTTAGAGCATATGGAAGATCTGTCTCATTGACTACCCTTTTTACTGAAGAAATCATTGGTAAACAGTTGCATTTCACAAGTGAAGGGTGTTCCCAGGAGCTGTTGGATGAATACCGTACAATGGCGGATATTGATTTTCATTGGACATATGAGAAAGGAGATGAGACCATTGATATGGGCTACATGAATGTAGAGAGGCTTCGGCACATCTTTGCTTCTCATATCAATGAGTCAAGGGTGGCCAAATGGGCTTTCAAGCATTTTAGGGAATTTTATCTGGAATTTTCCCATGGAGAGGCACAAAATAAGCCAGAAGAAGTTTGGAAAGATATATTAGGCCTTAAAATGAAAGAAAAAATTGATATTGAAACTGTTAAGACTTTCTCAAGAGAAACACTAAAATTGCTAGCAAGGTCATTTGATCCACCACATGGCCCCAAAACAGATGGGCTGCAAGAGGTTTGGCATGTTTTTATCTTCTTTGTTCTGTGAGGATGCAAATGTAGCAATTATGCAGTAAATCTTTTGAAACAGATAAAGAACAAGGCCATTTTAAAGCCACCAAGCAATTGAAATGCTTGATTAGCCCCTAGTATTTTGCTTCATATATCAATAAGACATTTAGGAAACAAGGCAATTTGGTTGCAAGATCTTCTTTTTTCTTTGACTAAAACTGAAAAATCCAGAAAATTTCGTTTTTGCTTTCGACTTTCAATTAAACCCCCTCTTGGTGGTGTAATGTAAATATTTGAATAAATAAGTATAGGCCTACTTGAATGGTTCATTATTTGCTGTTAGTTTTTTATCTAGGGTCTGTGCAAAAGAAAAAGCCATAGGGGCTTTGGTCCTGATACTGTTTTGCTCTTTGACCCAATAACTCCAAATATGCACTTAAAGAATCAATTTAATTTGGCACTCCTTTTTTTAACTAAATCTAAAACTGCATTGTTATCCCTGGTCCCTGGGGTAGTGTGATCAGGGCCTACAATTTATTAAACAAAGAATAAGCAGAACAACCCTGCAACAACCCAGGAAAAGAACGAATAACCCAGAAAACACAGGGTAATTTAGAAAACGTAATGGGACAAAGGCATGATTGATGACTGTAGTAACCCAAACATGGGAATTAACTCAAATTAGGCAATTGGCTCCCATTTCAGCTTGTTATTGGATTGTTCCACTTTATCTATTAATCCTATTATTCTCTTATTCCTGTTTATGTTTTATTTTCTTTACCCTCCAGAAAAAATGTATATACATCTCAATAAGCCGTGATGATACTTCAGTCAATTGTCTAGTTTAGATGCTTTCAGAAAAAAATTAACCACCAATCAAAAATCTGGCTTTTGTTAGAACAACTTCAAACAAGATGTAAATGGGAGATATTATTGTATATTTCAGATTACTGTATTGCCTGGTGATAACAAAAATGACCAAGATCTTGGTGCAGAAGCTAAAAATGACTTAGAAGGGGAAGAAGAAGAACAAGATAATGAAGAGGATAACAAAAATGACCAAGATCTTGGTGCAGAAGCTAAAAATGACTTAAAAGGGGAAGAAGAAGAGCAAGATAATGAAGAGGATGAAGGTGGTGAGGGTGGTGAGGGTGGTGAGGGTGATGATGAAGAAAATGAAGAAAATGAAGATGATAACGATGAAACAGAAAAGGCATTACCTCCTGATGAAGTTTATGATGATGAAAGGCAGACAAATGAACCAAAAGAGCCATCAGACAAAAACAAGCAAAATAAAGTAACATCTTCTGCAACACATGAAGAACTTTGATAAATGTCCTAATTTTCATGCAAAAATAATAGCCTCAACATGAACAAAGAAAAATTTTAACTTTTTTATTTGGCATTTCAAAATTAAAGGACATAATTTTTAGAGCGACTAAGTGCATGATAAATTTGATATGCTAAGTAGTCAAAAGCGAAGCAGCATCTTTCATTAAAAACAACTTTTTCTAGCTCAGTTTCTAAATTTTTAAGCTTCAACTTTTGATCTCTGTTGGTCACGTGTTCTTATGTAAGAAAAAACTTTTGAAATGGGTCACTTTTTGCCTTTTCTTAAATCAGCCCCTTAATTAAGTAGTTTTCTAAAACCTTCCAACTATTTTGTATTTGTAACCGTATTTTTATATGACTTGATTTTGTAGGGCAAAACAATACATGCACAGCATATATTTTGTCAGACTTTACTATATAAAAAGAAGTTGTGACTTTATTTATTAAGCATTGAGAACAGCATTATTTGCTTGCTGTCAAGTGGAGTCTCGTGATGTTGATTGCAACAGCTTCATTAGTTTTGTGTTGTCAATTTTTCCTTTTTCATCCACCAGCGTTGTTAAAATACCATTCAGTTCTGGCCTTCCTGTGAGTTTTTCTAGCAGTACTTCATCCAGTCTTTCTGACTTTTGATAGATGGAATCAATGTTATAGTAAAGTACAACTTTGTTTGAATAAGTCACATAACAAAAGCAAGGGGAGTTTTTCTGTGAGTCAGTGGCATAAAATCCAGCATCGAATCCACAAATATTACAGCCATAATCATAACAAGCCACTTCAAAGTCCTTATTTATGATGTATGTTACTCCTTCCCAAGAGCAAAGAATAACATCATCATTTCCCTCCATGAACTCTAATGTGCTCATGTGAAACCACTGATGCTCAGTTATTTTCACTGCTGGCAATAAATGGTTGTCTGAAAGAAAATATTTACTCTTAAAACTATAAAAAAGCATGTGTGACAACATGTGAGTCAAGTGAAAAGATCTTCAATTTTTTTGTAGATAGGGGTAAAGCTATTGTAAAGGTCAGAACTTGTCTAAACTTTAATAGATTGAATAGACTGTGAGCAAGAATCTGAATAATTTCATCTAGTTGTTTGAAACACAAAGAATTAATGAAAAGGTAGCTTTTACAAGATGAAATACACAATTCAAGCAGAACCAAAAAAGAATGCCAGTATACTGAAATGTTTAATATTTTGTCTGCTAAATTTGACTATAACAACTTCAAAAACCTGAATACCAGGGAGAAATAAAATTTTGTTTGTTGACATTTTAGCACTAAAAATCCTTGAATATCCACATTGTATCAATCCTCATGGTTTGCATTTTCCTGCTTACTGTGGAACATAACTCCTAGATATCAACTCATATTGATGCATGTCATTCAATGCACATTAATGTTTATTGATCATATAAACTGATAAACAAAATTCATAGACTTACACTCAAAGCTTGCATCCACTAGTGCAAAGAAACCATCCACTGTGAAGAGACCAAACAACCCAGAGACTTGATTCTCCCTTTTTATTGATCCCGTCACCTCACAGTTCACATTGAAATTCCGACCTGGATAACCTTGATTTGTATACAAAACATGGAGTTGTTCTGGCTCTGAAGGTTTTCCTTTAGTCTTTAATGAATTCTGCAAAATGAATTAGCCGAAGATAGTGAAAAATGGCTAAAACGTTTGCAAAAGCAGCGTTTTACCATTGGGTTAATAACTATCACAAACTTACAGATTCCTTGCATGTTATGAAGAGTTTGGTATGTAAGCTTTCCTTTATACTTTTTAAGTACACTTGAAATTAACAATTTGCCAATCCTGAATTAGTTACAATTTCAGTAATTCTCCACCCCTTCCAAATTAGTTTCATATCAGATTCAGTGATAAACAAAATTTTTAGAAAATGGCTATGAATAATTAAAAAACAGTGTTGACTCAAATGTTGGATTTTATGAGGTACCCATCAACCATGATTTTTGAAAAATTATAACTTTTGTAGCTTTAGTCGTAATTTGAGGTTGACATAGCTTAGGTTGTTTTGCAATCATAAAAGAAGAGACAGGGTAAGTTTGAGTGAAATTTTCTCAATGAAATTTTAATCATATAAAAATTTTGACATGAGATTTGAGTTAACCTATTTAGTTTATAGAACAGGATGGTTCAAAATTGTGTAAGAAGGAAGAACCGCAGAATAGGCTGTGCATTGGATTCTGTAAATCTTGCAATGAATAAGAATTAATACAAAAGAAATTCAGGAACAAAGCAATACAATGATGAGAATCCAATGTAATGAGATAAATTTTCAAAATGAATTAAAAAAAATGAATACTAATATTTTGCTCTGGCATACAGGGCTTCATCAAAGTAAATAAAACGAACAAGTAAATGAATTTGAAATGCGTGAATTCTAAATTGCTACTCTGAGTTAGCAAAGTTTATGTGGCAAATCGCCAGTACTTACTGCATGCAACAGCTGTGAGTCCTTCGGGCACCCTGTATTATACTCTCCAAGAATGACATATCCTCCCCCTGGCTGTGATGCCACTAGCTTAGTTTTACTTTCCCCACACTTGACAACAGCTACTGAGCCAACTTGACCAGGCAAATAATACTCATCAACTTTTTCAAAACTGCCACTAGTTGAACTGTCATATGTGAATCTTTGTTCTTTGTTGCTGTTTATTGGTGACATAGGAGAAGGTGATCTGTTAGATTCTGAATCTTTGGAGGGTTGTTTTCCTAGTTTTGACAGCATGGGTTTTCCTTCTTCCTCTTTTGAGGGCTGTTTAGAGAGTTTGGATTCGCTTTTTTTGTTCAGATCTTGAAACTCATCTTTTGACTGTTTCCTTTCCAACAACAAATTTGAGTGCTTCCTCTCTGATAACATAAACAGGTTCAGCTTGGTAAAGGGTCTAAAGAAATTTTTGCATAAACACCAATTCTAGGATAATGCAGTTGAACAACCTAGATTAGTTTTAGAATAATTATATAAATGGATTTTATAAATTTTCCGGGTAATGAAACCAAATACAAAAAGATACAACAAATAAAAAAAAATTAATGAGATCCTGTGTTAAATTTTTTAGCTTTCAAGCAAACAATTATGAATGTGGCAAAAATGGAATTTTGAAAGCTTCTTAACTCGTGGCTATTGATTATGGCACTTTTCAACAAGATCTTGCATATGGAGAGTCATTCAGGCCACATTTTTGCAGCTCTTTTTAGTAATTAAATGACAATCAAACAAGTAAAACAATTGTGCATCTCTTCATAACATATCAGTTATAATTATACAGACAGGGGGTGTGAATTTTATCTAGTAAATATAAAGGAATCTTAATGTCATTAAAAAAGGGTTAACAAAAATGAAGGACAAACCATGCAAGATATGTTTGAATTTAAACACTCTGACATATCTATCAGAGTATGCAACAATCAACTCCATTTGTCCATCACCATCAATGTCACAGACAGTTGCCATTTTTGGGTTGGCTGGCATCTCTTGTATGAAAGATGGCTTTATTAAGATGCTTCCTGAGTGGACTGGGGATGATTTTGCATCTTTGACTGACACAGGCTAAATTGAAAAAAAAATCTTCTAGAATTATCTTTGGGATGAAAATTATCACCCTGTATAGTTCCTTGCAACTTACAGAACTCTAAACACTGAAAGACCTATCTAATTGAACTGTTGCAACTCAATCTGCCCAAAAAATTATAGACTCGGAAAGTAAAGCTAAATTGAAAGCAATTTGGGGGCAATGAAACATTTATCATCTATGCTATTATGGAGGGTGCAGAAGCAACAAAACCACGCAGACACAGTTGCAATAACAAAATGTGATGTGGCACAAAAAGCAAAATATTCACATTTAAAAGAAAGGAAAATATTGCCTAAAGTTATCCAGATTGGATTTTTCACCTTGCGCAGGGGATAAATCACCGCACACATTAAGTATCAGGCGCAGTTGCAGCTGCACAATTTCTATTAAAATAATTCATTCAGTCGCAGACGATCCCTTTTTAACTGTTTGTTAAAAAAGTATGTACTTAATAATTGACGCTTTTAATGAAATTTGAATTTGAAGACCCTCAGAGTTGCAGGTCATCTAAATTGTCATTAATTTTTGCTTGTGTACAAGGCTGGTTTTTGTACACACATATGCCAAATAACAGAAAACATGTGAAGGATATTTTAAAAGCTGTTGGGATTGTTGGGAGTAAAATTCACATCTAATTTATCACCATGCACAAAGTTTTCAAAGTTTGAGCAGATTTTAGTTTACGGAAAGTATTCTCATCTGGTTGGGTTTCCCTGGTTCTTTTTAGGAATTACGAAAAACGTTTATCTTAGCTATATTGTTTTTATCACCACTAACTTTGTTACTAACGTTTTTCCTGAAATGTATACCAAAAAGTTACAAACTGTATTTTTATGGTAATTAGTCTCAGCTGCACAAAATTTTTATCTGTGCTATTTGCAAATGCGCAATTTTCATGGACATGAAACGGATCCCCTGCGCATCTGTCAAAAATTCCAATCTGGGAAATATTGAATGAGACGTTTTTTATGGTTCGCAGAACAAGCAGTTGCATCTTTGATCCAAAATTGCCAGCCACAAACCATTGCCAATTTACAGCGAAGGATGCAAGATGCATGTTAACCTTAAGCCACAATCCACAGAAAACCCATTGCCGAAGCCGTAAGCCAAACCTAGAAATAAGGTCGAGGCCGTGAAAGCCGGAAACATATAATAGGCCCCCTGGGGGTCGCCCCCATATCAACGTTGTACAAGTTTTCCGAGTCTCTTTTGAAAAAGCAAAAGTAAATATGCAATAAAATGCCTAGCTTCTTTATTGTACTTTTTCACCATCAAATTGGCGATCAAGACTTCTGAAATGAGATGACACCTTTTCAATTTTCGAACTGTTTGCTTTTTCCTGTTGCCTTCCACGACCTTTTTCTTGAAACGCAGAGGGATAAAACACAAAACAGCAACCATCCGTATTCAGACATAATACACATTGAGTATGGATGTTTGTTACATCGCAAACAAGAACCGTTGTAACACACCCTAGACCTTCTGTACAGACTCTCCATGGTTTGGAAGACCTCCCTTTGTAAACGAAGAGCTGCCCACTTGTGCTACAAACAACAAGTTCATTCCCACCATCATTATCAACATCACCGAACGCTATTGCATTTCTGTGAATTGTTCCTTGAAAATCGAACTCGATTTTATCAACAAAAGATACAGATCTATTCGACATTAGTTTCGACATATTTTCCTTTCATGTGCACTAATGTTTTTAAACCATTTTGTAGGAGCCTCATTTTCAACAGAAATACCATCTTATTTTAGACTCGGTTTGAATGTGTAGGCCATATGCTGCTGCTGTTCAGAAGGATTTGACAGAGTTTGACCCTTGGGTATCCACAATCATTTGTGTCATTTGAAAATAAATTATAAAATTTGGTGTACAGCAAGTGAAGATACAGCTAGGGAAGTCAAAAACTGGACTTTCCAAACGCTATCTTGGAAAGAGTGTCTTCTTTGGTCTTTTTCTTACCTCGTGTTGATGAGAGTCCGTACGATTGCCGCATCTATTGTTTTTGAATAACAGAGTTTTAGATTTATTATCAAATTATTTGGGATTGACTTCTCAACAGAAGATTCCAAGAGCTCGCAAGCTACAGAAAAACTGATACATAACGGATGTTTTTTTGGACATCACAAACACAACCCAAGGAACAACAAAAGAATTCAGAGTCCAGCCATCATTAAATTGAATGAATTAAACTGAATCAGCGATGGAATATCTCAAAATTAGCTTTTTAACCCAATCTATGATACTTTGTGTTTTACATAGCTTTATTTCAACAGTTATCGGCCAAGATATTGTTGGTTGTGGTGGATTTGTTCAGTCAACAGTTCCAATAAATTTTGAAAGAGTTGAAGTGAAACTTTATACAAAAACTGGTGCCTTAAAATTCAAAACAGAATGTGCACCAAATAATGGATACTTTCTGGTAGCTGTATATGACAAGGTATGACTTCCTTTGGATCATTTTCATGAAAATATAATTGATTATCTGTCTGCTTATGCTCACAAGTGATAGTAAATAACAATATTTCACATGTGCACAGTCGTTCCAGCAAGGTTTGCCATGTACAATCCTTCTTCTACCAAACACTTGGCTGCAAACATAGGTTTTTCACGTGAACAGCATTACACAAACCTTTTGTGTGACTTCAACCATACTTTGCTTACTGGGTTGTTTGATTGCCAACAAACCTGCAGAGTATGACTGTTCTCCTCAAGATCTCATCTTTTTCAACATTCTGTTATGGGACCTCATAAAGTAATGAATTCCTTTTAAAACTGGAATTAATCAAAAATAGCAAAAGTATACCTAAAAAATAGATAAACTTTCTAAAAAATTGCAAGAAATGACAGCAAAAGATATTCTGCTTCTTAAAATTGTTATGTGCCAACATCAGTATTCTTGTCACTTCTCTTTATGTGTGGGGCACAAGCATATTTACGCAAGACAGAGATTCAAAAACCACACATTTTTGCAATAGAAACTGGAAAACTTTTCACCAAGGCAATATTGAAAACCGCAAAACTGGCAGATTTACAGGGAAAAACTGAAAAACTGAGCAGAAATACAGCCGAAACCGTGAAACGCAATCAGCCCCTCATCATAGTCTTCTCTGCCTAGTTCTATTCTCTATCTCTCTTAAACCTCATCTCTTTGATATTACTTCACTGGATTCCTATCCTGCATCTTTCCATTGCTCAGAAGTGCAGTTTATCGCACGCCTTAAATGATCCTAAATTATTCTCAAGTGACCAATATGGCCCAATGTAATTTTTTTATCATAATTCAACTATGAACGAACGGTGATAATCATGCAATCGTTTCTATTTGATTTCTTCTTGACGGAAAATTTGGCGAATATTCTAATTTGCTTAAGGTTATGGTAAGCCTTTTCTGGATGGAAACATCCATTTTTCGATTTCTTCAGATTCTAGTAGCCGGATTTTCAAGGCACACGATGATACCATGTTTAAAACTAACAGAAGTTTTGAAAGCGGTGAAAAACCCCTGTAAACGAAGGTTTCCATAATTTCTTTATCAATGTTTTGGGTTGGGGTCTGAAAATCGCTCTACCTTTTAAGCCAATAATCCTTGCTTTGCGGTTGTAGTCGCGTGTCTCATTTGCAACAAGTACAGTGGAATAACAATATAACAAACCCAAGATATATCAAACTTCCCGGTATAACAAAATAAATGCCTGGTCCCTTGGATTCTGCCTAACAAACTCCTTACAAATTCTCTCGGTAAAACAAACCCTGGATATAACAAACTCTCGTTATCACGAACCATTTTTAGGTCCCTTCATCATAATTACCCTTGATATAACAAACTTTCATAAATTTTTCATCATCTGTTATTTTTCTTTATTCATTTTTCACTTGCTTTTGGGGAGAAATCATTTTTGTAATCGGCAACAAATTCCCATGATACATTTCAAGTACTGGCTGATAGACTCAGACCACGAGATGAAAGTTTGATTGCGTCAGAAATTACTGCAAATGAGTACATTGACACTAACAAATACCTTTTTACATATGAGACATTGGCAATGAGAGACAACAAAACTTTATTGAGAGACCCAGATGGAGAAGCAGAAGAAGACAAGTAAAAATGTGAAGTAATCGAAGACATCAGCAAAGCGATACCAGCTTTTCCAATCTCTTGGTCCCAAGTTATAAAAGGACATCAGATTTTCATTTTCAATGACCAGCCAGTTGTATTATTTGAATTCAGATTGGTTTTTTTGAGTTGAATGGCACATGTATGGCTGTACATGTGCACAGAGGTTGGAGATTGCCTAAACAAGCCCACCACAGGTTTTTTAGGCGTGAACTGCGAAAGGTGGATTGTGAGGATTTAGCTACTGTAGCTTTCTTATAAAATAAAAACATGTAATTAACCATTTAATCTGTTTTAACACTAGTCAACAGATAAGTTTTCTTTATGGTGAAAACACAGTTAGAATTCTTAAATTTTGAGAACAAAATTGTCAGGAGAAGCAGATGAGAAGGGTTTATAAACTGCAGGATTACATTTTAATTAACCTACCTTATTGTTAATGTTTTTTTCTTTAATATGTTGGGTTTGACGTTAATAAAGCTTGTTTAATAAAATGTATTGATTGGACTAGCCTTGTCTTATGTTTTCTTATGATAAAGTCATGTGGTCTAGTCCATATACAGCTGACTGTATTATTAAGTACTTTGGTGCAATAGCACACCTGCGATTCATTGCACCCCTGCCGTTTTGTTCCCAGCATGGCCTGGGCCACGTTTCAACCATGTACAACCATCCTGACCTATATATACATGCTTTGTAGACATTGCCTCTTATCTTGACAGGAAGACACTGTTTGCTAACAAACTAGCCACTTCTCCTTTTTCATGTTGTTGCTTCTCTAGTTCAAGGAAATCTCCCAGTTTTGTCCAAAAAAGAAAGATCTAAATTATAAACCTTTAGGGGTTTATGTTGTTGTTATGTTAACATAAAAATATTTGCTCCGTCAAAGATACTGCTTGATTATCATAGATTCCAAAATACTACTATTGCACACTAGTTAGAAGCAAATTCATATAGCATATTAACAGTTTTGAGTTTCAAAAACCTCTCTGTAACATAATTTTTATCCTTTGTTTTTAGGGAGAATATACGTTGAGAATTGAACCCCCAAATGGTTGGGGATTTAGTGAGTTTGAACTTTGCACATTTTGTATTTTTTGGAATTATGTGTATTGCAAAATGGCTTCTTAACATACCTAGAGGAATGATGTACAATTTTATGTTGTTTGGCTAAGATCTTTGCTATAGTTCTTCTTATTGTTCTGCTTCTTCATTCATAACTTGCCTGAAAATACAGTAAAGAAGTAGTCTTATACTAACTCTCATTTGCATTTCCAGATCCTACTGAAATAGATCTGAATATTGATGGGAAAACAGACCCTTGTGTAAAAGGACAAGATATCAATTTTAAGTTCACTGGCTTTTCAGTAGGTGGTTTGGTGAGTGTTGCATAATTTTTGCCACCAACATTCTGCCATCATATCATTTTGACTATTGTTAGTAGGTTAATTAAAGACAAAGTATTCAAAGAGGCATGGATTGTTGAATATTTTTTCATTTCATGTTGGTACTTCAGTAAATGTTTTCCAATTCTTTGAGGAAATTTTGATGTACATAGCAAATTGGGATCAGTTAAACACAGACCTGGACATCTTTCAACCAGTGGGCCACATCTGGCCCTTTGGTCCTTTCTCTTGGCCCTTGTTTATGTCAGAACATAAACTTTTGTAGGTGTATTTTCCTCCACTTGGTGTACACCAAAATTTCATATATTTCTGTAAACATTTATGTAAGATCTATTTCATTTTGATAACCAGTAAAAGCTAAACTATACCATAATTTATTGCTTTAAACTTAATTGCTTTAAACATTGGGAGAAAATGAATTGTGGAGAATAAAGAAATCATTTGTTTGGCCCTCTAACTTAGCTCAGGTTTCCCATGTGGCCCCTTGTAAAAATTAATTGCCCACCCCTGGTTAAAAACCAGTGTATTAGTTCTTTGGTGTTTTTGTCTGTGTATGCTTATGTTTTTATTTGATTATGCTCATAAAAAATTACAATATACTACTACAAACTACAGTACAATACCATAGGGAGCATGAATCTTCATAGCAACCCTGTGGCCATTCACAATTATCCCAGAGCCTATCCCAAAAAACGATGCTTTGCAAAAGCAAAATTTATGTTTTTATTTATTTGTGTTTTGGTCTTTGAATCAAATTAAATTATATTTTTTAGATAGGAAGCAAAAACAGAGCAATAGGACCTGCAGGAGTAGATATACAATTACAAGGTGTGCCAGGTTTTTTAAAAAAAAATATTTATTAGAAGTAATATGTTGTTTATATAATATATATGTATTTTTATTTGTTCTGTTGATTGGTAAGCCAATGTCGGCATATTGCAATTAGTTTATTGAGAAATAAAACCTAGTTGTATGTGCTTGTTTAATGCCAAGGCATGTTTTTTATTGATTCACAACCAATTGGTGACCTTTGTCCTGATTTACTTCAAAATGGAGGCACTTCAATACCTAGTGCAAAGCTGAAAAAAACCTGGTGCAAACCATAACTGCTATAAAAAGCATAACTGCAAGGAAGCCATTTAGTTCAACATTTTGCTGGGCTCACATCCAACATTTGATACCATAAGATTCTGATAAACATTAGTTGAACCAATGTTCAAAAACAAACTTTCAATTATCATGATTAGCCTTAGGTCCTGTACAGCCAGGGGGACCCAAGAAGCGTTGTCCTTGTTATGTTAGCCTTTATTTTTTGCTTTAAGCATATGTACAAAAGTGTAAGTATGTGACACATTTTGGCTCTGTGACGTAAATAACTTGCTGTACAGGCGCAGGTCTGCGGTTTATTTCATTTTGAAGCTAACATTCAATATTCTTAACTAGGGGATTATATTGCATTTTTAATAACTTAAGAAAAGAACCTTTCCAGCTTTATCTCAAAGATTTGTTTTTTCTTGGCTCGTAGCAACATCAATCGTTTTTTAATCCTTCTTAAAGTCAGAACAACACCTAAAGCTTAAATAAAGTCTAACGTTTGACGCATTGTTTTCAAACCACATAAATGTAGTCAATGGTGGCTCTGTAATGAGAGGCAAATTTAATTTTCGTTTCGTTAACCAAGAAAGCAATGAAACGTCGATGTCTGCACTAGAGAAATCTCCAATTCACTATGAAGTTTAGAAGTGGATAAAGAAAGTCTATTTTGATCCCTAAGTGTATTTTAGGGATAAATTGCCTTTCAAGGAATTGCTGGAGATGAGAGAGTATTGAACTAGATATTGCAAGCAAAAGAATTATTGTCTCAATGATCTCATTTAATTTCGAGGTTTCTGAACCAACAGCAAATGGTATCTTTTGTGAAGTCTTCACGGGAATAATTTAAAGTTTCTACTATTTTATAGGGGTTCTCCTCCTTTTATTTTTACTTGATGAGTCTGCTCGAATCGTTAAATATACGAAACTGTTATTTGATTATATTGATTTTTGGTCATTATTTCTCGACGTACAAAACGCTAAACTACATTGATTATCAAACTTGAATGTGTATTTAAAATAGCTAATATGCAAAGATACCAAGCGATTAGACCGCTTTACTGTTTTGCTGAAGGTCGAGGGCTCGAATCGAGTTTCAACTCATGGTCTGCATGTTGGTCTCCTTACCACCAAGTAGAAATTTGTTACGTGTTGGCAATACTGAGAAGGCAAAAGGCAGCAAGAAAAAGAGCTGGCCATCCTACCAATGCAGCTCAGTTCCAATCGACTTGAATTAGCTCAGTTCTTAGCTAGTCTACAGCTCAGCTCCAATTGATTTGAATTGGCCTAAGACAAGTGTCCTTTCTAGCAGACACATCTCCTGCGTAGGATCGTATACGGATAACAGCTTTACCCTTACGAGATCTGTGACAACTGAACCAGTTGTTATGCATATTGAATATAGAATATTGGTTCCAGTTTTTTAAACGACCTGTTTTTACATTTTTGGTGTTCACTTCATATCTGCGTTTTTATTCTGATCAATTGCATCTTGCGCAGTTTGATTTATGTAGAAATATGAACACAGAAATCGTTTTCTTATGAAAATTAAAAAGTTTGAATTGATTATAAGTTGTCGTGCATCCCCTTGCCTGTATCTATGAACTCTTACTTGTCTTTCCTCTTATAATACAATGTCTATCCTATTATAATGATACTTGTTAGGAAACTGGACTTGCAAAAGTTTCAAGAACAGTCCTGAACAAGTTCGGGCAATAATGCCCCAATATTGCTAACTGAATTTGTCTCATATTGATCGACGGTGATTAATTAAGCTCGCGAATTTTCATTTAGTCTTCAGCTCAGTTCCTAACGACTTGAATTGGTCAATATGTTATCTGTCGTGAATTGTCTGTATTGTGGTAAATTTACCAGCAGCGCGGAGATTTCCCGTTGTGTGCAAGATATGAATTAGTTTCGAAATCATCATCCGCAAATTGTGTAAAGAATTCTGTTTGCCACTGTCATAGTTATCCGTTTATACACGTGAAGCGGGAAGGGAAAGTTCTTTAGCGACCTTTCACGTTGAAATCTTGGGTATTTGGAGATTATGACGAACCAGACACCTTAATTTTAAATCTTGTCATCCTTAAACGGTATTAAGCGTACAAAATTGAGCTTTGAGAGACCGCTAATTTGACAGAGGTCCTAAAAACCCAATGACTGATACGATTTTCATCACTTTGCCTTTTTTTATTGTTTTTATTAATTTGATGTTTCCATTAACTGCATTTTCAGGCGCTGGTGAAGATATAAGAAAGAATGTGACTGTCGAAAACGGATTGTAAGTGTAATTATTCGTTTGCTTTGTGTATTGAAGTTCACTGGAAAGGGCAATTGTTGGTCGAAATCTAGTTTAATCAGTATTTCAATGAAGGCTTAAGTTGGGTAAAATTCCGTTTAGTTAATTTTATGTTAGATCATTCTTAAATTTATTTTCAGTGACTTTTTCCATTATACTTAGTTGTAAAGTGGTTTGGTAGATCATTTAATTACTTGAGGGCCTTTTGATCTTTGTAAACCATGCTTGCGCATTTGCGATTATGATGCATCTCTAAAATAAAACATGACTTTAGCATGTTGACAATTTTGTTATACAAATTAGTTTTAACTACAACAGCGTCTTTGGCAATGAATTCCAGACATGGTGTATAACGGTTTTTCATTAAAATGCTCTCTGGCTACCCTTAATATAGGCCTGTCGACAGGGGGCAGATTTCCCCATGCCCCTAGCTGAAACCGGCTTAAAAAATTCATTAAAATATTTCTAATAATGACGTCAACAATAAAGATTACTGGTTTTATGACATCATCACGGGCCCTAATTTTTTGCCCCACGTCCCAGAAAAGCTCTCGGTTGGCCGACCTGTATATTTCAAAGACCAGCATATGCACCTAGTGGCATGCAAATTCTTATTTAACAGCCTATTGACAAGTTGATTTGCGCATTTATAGCCTATCAATCAAATGCTCCCTCTTGTCAATCAAATGCTCCCTCTTGTCAATCAAATGCTCCCTCTTGTCAATCAAATTCTCCCTCTTGTCAATCAAATGCTCCCTCTTGTCAATCAAATGCTCCCCTTTGTCAATCAAATGCTCCCTCTTGTTAATCAAATCCTCTATCAAAACATTGTCATCAGCTTTAGAATATGTTAATGTTTAACTCTTGTCTGGTATAACAGCTATTAGCATTTTGCGACTGAGTCGCTTAACTTAAGAGCAAGAGCAGCTGATGATATTTCCCGCTAGTTGATCACAAATTTTGGCTGATATCAAGACAAAATACCTATATTTCATTGTGATAGTCTCGCTCTACAAGACTGCCAGCTGTAAACTTATTACCAGATAAGACATCGTTCAAACTTAGTCAATTCAAATTAAAAAAATCTTTGTAATCACTGCGAAACAATGTTTCACTAATTTTTATCTTCAAGTCTTAGCTTTTATCTTATATTATCTTTACTCTAATAATTATTAACGTAATAATTAATAGGGCTAGGCTTTTAATTTCTATTCTAATTTGATCGCCAAATTATTTTTGCAGGTTTTCTTTTGCGAATGTGATGCCTGGAACATATGAACTGAAGGCTTCGCATCCAGTTTGGACCATACAACAGGTATTACATAAATTAAAGAATATTATCGATTTGGTTCATAAACCTTGACGTGTAAAATCTACTAAGAATTATAATTGTGAATTCCTGTGGACCTTGTACATAAGAGTACCAAATAAAGTGCAAACGAGTACTTAGATCAAGCGAGTTGTGGGTAGTTTGATTATCCTCATCCAATAATGGTTGATTTGAGGTTTGTGTAATTGCGTCTTGTGGAGTGCTGCAAGCTTTTGATGCTTTGAACATCTTTATAGAAATTCAAAGTCTATCGGTTAGGCCATTAAACATTCTCGGCCCATTCTGTGTAAATGCATTAATAGGTCAATGTTCTTTGTCGGTAGGTCATCAAATAGTTTTTTACAGCGTAAGAAAAACGACCTTTTTTTAAAAATGTTTTTCTTTCAACACCTTAACAATTTCCGCCAAAAGGTTTTCCTTGAACTTTATGCTTGCTGAAACGTATGAGAAATTACGACGTTTTTTGTGAATAATATAGTGATAAAAACCTTCCTGTATGTGAATATTTTAGAGATGTCACAATATCTTCTGCCTTTTCGAGCACAATGTATATTTGCTCGATATCTACAAAGCCTTGAAGTTACTTGATCCTACGAACGTATCAACCCTCTTGAATTTCCCAGCATTTTCCAGTTGTTAGATTATTCCATTTGTTGTGAATTACATAGATGCCATTTCAACTGGTCTAATTCACAAGTTATAGATAACATTGGAAGATGTCACTCGCTGCTAGTCAGTCAAATGACTAATTATGTGTTAACCAAGTTTCTTCTTTCCCGGTTCTCTTTCCTGACTTGGTCCGGGTCTCACGGTTGGCCTTTCCAATCTTTGCCCGGGCTTCACGAATGGCCTTTCCAAACTTTGTCAAGCCTCGCCGTTGGCCTTTCCTAACTTAATCCGGGTATTGTTCAATTTTCAACTGCTTAACTTCCCGGTATTTAAGCTGACTCTGCTCATTTTTAGGATGCGAAACCGGTTGTTGTCAAAGACGAGAATGTATACTACCCTGGCTTAATTATGGTCTCTGGATATGACGTCAAGGTATAGTAAGCTTAATGACAAAGCTCCTTTAGCTCATCATGCTCCAGCACATTGATATTGCAACACAATCCTTACATTTCTTTGAATAATGCCCCAATCAAAAATAAGAGCATAAATCCTTTTTCATTGCATATCTTTAGATCTTTGGTTCTCTTAACTTTAACTCCAAAGCAACCGCTTTTTACTCCAGATCTCAATGAAATTCACACAAAAATTAGGAAAGTACAAAATCATCCTTGTTCGATTTGCTTTGATTATAGTTTTGATTAAATAATATTTGTTAATAATATCCATTTCTTGAAACTATGACTGAGAAGATCATAAATTTGCATTAATTGAATAGAAATGCTAGAAAATTGTTTGTTTATCTTGAATCGATTTGAAGTTTGCAACCCAGTTCTTCGAATTAAGGCGTTTACTGTTTTAATTTAGGGTCACGTTCGAAGTGCTGGCGAGCCCATTCAAGGAGTGATATTTGTTCTCTTCGCCGAAGAAAAGACGGTAAATGTTTTGTATTTATTTTTTCTGATTAACTGCCATTAAAAACCGTTTCATATCAGTTTGAAAATATCTTTTTGCTCAGTCACTAGTTTGCGCTGTTTCTTTTAATTGCACGTGTCCGTATTATTGTGCTTTTGTGCATCGTCACCTTAAGAATATACATGCTGCCATGTTTTCATCTGGGAAAGCTTTCTTAGGTTTAGAAAGGTTTGTTAGGTTTAGATGTCTTTCTTTTCTTCTGCCTTTTGGAGCACAACGTATTTACTCGATATTACTACTACTACTGGACCCGACAATCAGATTGGCCCTCTTGGATTTGGCAGCCTTTTCAAGTTGTCAAATTAATTCAATTTCTTTTGAATGACGTAGATACAATTTCAAATAGTCTAGTTTAACATTCTGTGTTCTCCATTTTTGTGTTTTTCATAGCCAGTCCTTTATTCAAGTGATATTCCATCATTCCTCTGCCTGTTTCACTTTGCAAAAACTATTTTCCTTCAAATCTAAACGACAAATTGGAAAGTATAGTATGCAAAAAGAATCCCGAGTTGTTTTTTTCTCAGAGACCTCTTAAAAATGCTATTTATATTTCCAATTATCACTTTTTGCAGTTTCTTGTCTAATACATCAATTTTTGTGCCTTATCACCATCCTTAAAGTATTTATAATTTACGCAAATCTTGCTACCCAAATCCAGATCACGTAAAACCGTGCACTATATTAAAACAAAACAGCATATTGTGCAGAGGCAGTTGCAGTGGTTGAATACCATTCTTGCAAGTATCGATAGTTTTGCAAGACCTTCAGCAAGTGCGAAAGTTCCTCGTTTTTGACATATATTTTTTTTTACAGCAAATGTCTGGTTGCACTGAATTGCCTGAAGATGTTGCACAAAAGTTAGCGAAACGTGTGAACTTGCCTCAAATTTGTAGTGTCTTGTCAGGAGAAGATGGCGTCTTTGTCTTCCCCAGTGTACCAAGTGGCGACTACACGCTGGTAAGAACTTTGTGCTTCTCATTATTTTCTGGATTTGTATCTTAAAACTTCAAGTTTCAAACCAGTGCAAGTTATTAGTAACTGATTTAAATGCTCCTTAAAGAATGTCAACAAAAATATAAGGGCGACCTCCATATGTATTTTTATCTAAAAAATCACAGTGACGCCCTCTTCTTGTTACTAGGTGTGCCATGTAACAATGTTTTTGGTCACACTCCTATTTCTTTGCAGATTGGGTGGGATTCGCTTTTTTCAGGCGACTAGAATTTTTATTCCTTCATTCTTTTGGAATTTAGAAGGAATTGGTATTTAAAAACGGGTATAGCTTTTTTCTTTGAAAATCGTAAGTACACTTAAACACTTGCCAGATTTACTGTCCATCTAAAGAAGTGCGAATTGTCATTTGGTAGCTTCTTATAAAAGGTGTTGTCTGCGAGGGGAGGTGTCCGTTGTAGGGAGATATCTGTTTATTGAAGTTTCATTGTAAGCCTCATAATGCCCTTTTTCAATTCCATATTGAAAAGCTTTAACTGGGCCCATTAGGCATTTTTTTCTACCACGAGAACATAATCTCTTTTAAAAATCTAAATTTTTTCTCTCATTGAACTCTTGTGTAGAAAGGCGTCATATTTCATCCAAGCACCCTGAAGTTTGCTTTTTGATGGATTTGTTTTGATGATAAATTTGTTTTAATTTATAGTTTATCTTTACCCAGGTACCATATTACAGCTCTCAAGGAATAGTTTTCGATGTCGTACCCACAAAAATCACTTTCCAAGTCAATCTTAAAAGTGTGATGCTTAAGGTAAAACTTTGCTAAATTCATAGTATTAATAGAATGAGCTTTTTCAAAATATTGCAGCAATTGATTCACGGCCAATTGCAAGCTTTCTGCCTGCCCAAGTGTAAAGAAAATTCCCTAGGCCTTGTATAGGTTTAAATGGATTATACTGAATTTCGTCGTCCTTGATTACATGAAGAAATACCAAATCGCTCCTAATACTCTATTCGTAACTCGAAGCTTGTAAAATGGCGTCTTATTTGAACTTTATTTTTATGTACGCCACTTGGTTCAGAAATATGTTTGGGCAATTGAAGCTTCTTTTTGTTTTTCATCCTTCTAAATTTCAGTTTGTTTTTCCCTGTTTATTTGTTACAAAAGATTTAATGCTTGCTGTTTTTCGTACCATATGAAAACGGTCAATTGGTTTGTGATCGGTGTACTTAAATCTTCGTACCTGCAAATGTGTTTTCATAAACGTGCATCAAATGTGGTGTCCTTTTTCATAACCTTTCGAATATTTTGGTGTGAGTTTCAGTATTTTGTTCAGTGCGTATGTTTCTTTCTAGACACCTTTCCAAGTGCATGGATTCTCTGTAACTGGCAAGATAATTGATACCGAGGTATGCACAGCTTTTTATTGCATAATTATATTTTTCTTTGTTCCCCTAGCAATTTTCAGTACTGTTCGGAAAATTGTGTTTATTTAGCGAAAATTAAAATGACTGATTTTATATGATTTTACATGAAATTGAAATGATTTGCGAACTTGCCTTCGAATTTTGGTTACCTAATGAAGTCAGCGTTGTTTAGAATTCTGATGAATGATGACAAGATAGTAAACTTGTTTTCAATAATGATAACACTAGTAGTTTATTATGACAAATTAAATCAAGAAATGTTTTGTTTTATGCTTTCAAATAAACTTATAAGTAGCGAAAAAGTATTCATGAAAAATATTATATTGTGTAAGAAGGAAGAACCGCAGGATAGGCTGTCCATCGGATTCTGTGAATCTTGCAATGAGTGTTGTTATGAAAGATATACAGGAACAAAGCAATACGACGACAAGAATCCAATGTCAGGAAATAAAATTTTCAAAATGAATTAAATTTAAGGAATATACTAATATTTCGCCCCGGCATACAGGGCTTCATCAAATATTATATTGTTTGTAATAATGGCTTTTCTTTTGATTGTTTCTTTTATTATTTGATTTTATCGACTAAAAAACGAATCCTGCTCTAATTTCAAATTTTAATTTATTCATTTAAAGAACTTGTTTCTCGTTGTAGGGTAAAGGAATCCAAGGGGTAACTGTCAATCTTGGCAAAGACACGAAGCCTGTTATCACAAATTTTGATGGTGTTTATTTGGTTGAGAATGTTACATCCGGGACATATCAGATTGAGGTAATGGAAGCAGGGGATGCATTGTTTAAAGAATTGATATCTTGTGAATCATTGTAGCAATTCTATATGCTGGTAACTGCCAAAGTTGGTATACACTCTGTTTCGTAGAGGTGGCAATAAGCCAGCTTCCAGGTTGATAACGAACGACCAGTTTCAAGCAACAGCAAAGTTCGCGTGTTGTTGACAAATAACGAATCACCAAGTGAAATCACATAATCCAGCTACTAAAACATCACCATATGCCTGACTGGATGGCATAACATTACAATAAACAACATAGTGACAACAATTATTGTAATACGTAGGTCTGCGTGATGCATTTTCATTTGAATGTTCTGTGACAAAATGGATACTCTTAAGTCATCTTGTATATGGAAAAGTGCAGAACAGATGTAAACCCAGCATTCAAGATGTGAAATCGAATAAATATGGTTTATTGGACTAGAAATAGAACTTATTTCTTTCCTCGCTTTTGAGATCTCAACGTTTCCTCCCTTCGAATTCTTGCTTCCAAATAATTTCATTCCTAAATATCGTTTATTTCAATTAGAAGTATAAATATCTTCTGAATCATTTCCTTTTTCAGGCAAGCATTCAAAATCTGTTTTTCGACAAGACTGAAGTCCATATAAACCCGAACAGCCCACATATTGCCGATATTCAAGTCAAAAAGTTCAGCGTTTGTGGTGTGGTTGAAATCTCTTTTTTGCCTCCAGGATTGTCCCAGGTATGATGACGACTCATAATTTGCCCTTTGCTTAGGGAACAGTAATTTGAACAGTGATTTCAACGATAGCAAAGTAACTGTTGCCATAAAGCCAGTTTTTATATATCCTTTTTCTCGCATTATCACAGAAGCTTTGGTGTCATTTTTTTGGTAGTATCTTTGGATAAGAAACCTTTCGAGCCCTTACAAATCAGCCTGTCTCGGGTTTCGAGGTTCTGAAATTTGCTTGAACTGGGAAAGTACTTTTCCTGTCCCCTATATAATAACTTATAAATTCCTTTTGTGTCAGTGTCTTTGCTCTCACTATTACGTTCCAACTACCTCACCGAGTGAATTCACTAGCAAGCTCTCCAGTAACCCACCATCACTTGTTATTGACGATGCACGACTTGCAGTACCTGTCTCTTCCATTAATGACGTCACTCGTTTACTTTAGCTTGCCTATTTGATTATCTTTGTTTATTTGATTATCAGATTGGACAGCGAAAGGTAATGCTCCTTCGCAGTGGTATGACAAATGCTGACATGGTCACTGTAACAGCGGATGCGCAGGGCAAGTTTTGTTTTCAGGCTGCTCCGGGAAAATATCAAATTGAGGTAGTTTGCGTTTTTTCAAAATAACAATTTGGTTCTTTCGCCATACAGATATTGAGTAGCCTCCCCCTTCGAAGGGAACCGGGTTGGAGTAATTGCGAATGACAAAATTCTCTGGAAAGGGATTTATGATGTAACACTGTTTCCTTTGACGACTTTCCTTTTCCAAAACAAGCAGTTCAGTTGTCTGATGATCTTACTAAGCTTGAAACTCGAAGTAGCAACTTAGAACCGTCATTTTTTTAAAAGGGTAAAAACGATTCAAACGTTTTGCAACAAGTCTTTGAAGATTATGTAGCTTTCTTTTACAGTTTCAAAGGTTAATCGTTATATGCTGTTTCCATGATATGTTGGACTGAAGATTGCTCAATTTACTTTCTATGTTTCACTTTTCTTCTCTATGGTGTGAAAGTTTTCTGTTGATATTAGTAATCAATTTGAGCTTGTTGGTATTGTAGGTTCTCATCAGTCCATCGGAAGCCAAAGCTGGTCTAAAACTGGTTCCTTCCGCAATTGAAGTAGACATTAAAAATCAACCTGTCTTAGATTTGTCATTCAAGCAGTTTCTTGCATCTGTTTCCGGAAACCTGAAATGTATCGGTATGATTTCAAATAATTTTTGTCTCGTGTTTTATAATGCAGTTCTTTTAAAGGCATATCTTTGCTTATATTTTAACTCTTTCGTAGTTTTGTTCCGCCAATAGTTGTATATGCCTATTAACTACACTTGAATGTTATCAATAATGCTTTATTCTTTGTTATTTGAGATTGCCAGAGATGGATGTTTTCTGGGATATTTTCTGTAATTAGATTAGGTGTAGGTTGCAAAATTTTACAAAAACTGACAGAATTGTAATTTTTCATTGTTGCAAGTTGTGAAATTGATTGCCTTGAAAACGTTTGAAGGGTCTTACTCCAAAAAATACATGGAATGACATGAATATTCAAACGAAAAAGATGATGAAATGTTTGTCTATTCATTTACTTCCTGCACTCCTTACTCAAACAAGTTATACTAACTGACCAAAAAGTTCGAATGTTGATAGGTTTTTAGAAATATAAGTAGAATAAATCTTCTAAACTACAAATATCAACATTACATTAGGAGCAAGTAAAAATAAGAACCTGTTTACTACTATTCTATATTTGCTAAGAATTGGTACGCGAAAGGTCTAGAAGAGAATACTATATGTTATAATAACAGGTTATACGAAGGTGTTATACCATATGATGCGTGATATTACACCATTTTAAAACAATACCATAATGGCGTAATGCCATATGCTTAGTTAGAAATGCTGTTTGAAATGTTGCTTTGATTTAACTTGAGGTACTGAAGTATCTTGGGACTCATTTAACAGTTTCCTTTGCCAATAGGGAGCTGTGATGATTCCAAAGTAACGCTTTCATCTGTTGATCGACCAGGCCAAGAGAAATTTCAGAGTGAGGTAAGAATGATCACCTATTTTAGAAATTGCTTTTTTGGCAAATATTTGAACTTGGTAGGTGGCTGCCTATTGTTTTTTATAATAAGTTTATTTATGTCTCCAGTTTTTTTTCTCGTAACTTTATGTAAAGTGAAATTTCAATTATGAGTCATATTCCAACAACGGGTACCACCAAACAAGGAACAAATTGTTTTCTCCCAGAATTTCCCTCCTGCATCCAAACGTTTCTGTACAGCGTTATTATGATCCTATAGGTATGATTTATTGCACTGAGTTCAGTCTGATAAACTGTACAGATAAACGACATCTTATATGGCGCAGTGATTCCTTAGATTTTATTGAGCAGTACCAAATATATCTTGATGTTCTCAAATGCTTTTGCGCTTCATTTTTCTGTTTGATGTAGCTATCTATTTTGAAATGCGCTCTAAAGTTTGTTTTCAGTGTTTGCACAAATCTTGTCACCTCATTCAAAACTCTGGCCAACAATGCTACTGTTGATTTTTCATTTGTAGATTGAAAGGTCAGAAAAGGGGACAACATTTTCTTTTGACAAAATCTTACCAGGAAAATACAAGCGTAAGTCTCTAAATTGTTTTGTTTTGTATGAAAGGGTTATCTAATATTGTTTTTAGAACATTGCAAAGTTTTGAAATCAAGACATCAAGGTATAAGTGAAGTAATCTATTGTGCAAAACAATAGATCGTGGGATGAATGCCAAAATAAGCTTTAATTTTTGTAAGCGATGCAGCATCGCTTGTTGGTGTCGTTTCTTGAAAAACTTAGACAGATTTGTTTTTATTTCTTTTCCTGGACCAATTACAGTCGATTCTAGGTAGAGCCATTTTCACTGCTGGCTTATGTTGCTCTCGACTACCGTGCAAAACCTCTTGAGTTAACATCAGTTTACGGCCCTCCATTTTCAATTAAAAGTTTTTTTTCAATTTTGTTTTAAGATGACTAAAATCCACTGTTGACAAACAGACTTGATCGAGTTGTAATTTTGCAAGCAACAGGGAATTTTTGCATCATATTTTCTCTCAAGATTTTTTCGATCTTGACTTTGATTTCGGTTCATCTTTTGGTCATCATAAGTTTGATTTTTATAATTTTTTTGCAAATTAATTCTTTTCAATTTTTATATTTCACTTAAAAAGGAAACTTGCTCTTTTTTAAAAAAATCGTTTTTGAGATTTTGAGAATGTTAGAAAACTGGTTTGGTGTGACGAGAAATTTTTTGTGCAATTTTGAAGTTGCTTTGATTATGTAAACATGACAAGTAATTTGTGCTTTTTAATTGTAGTCACACCTGTACGCGAAAAATGGTGTTGGGAGCCAAGAAATTTGGAGATCGAAGTCAAAGACAGCAATTTGCACAATCTACAACTTAATCACGTTGGATTTTTATTAAAATGTGTTTTATCGCACAATGTAACTCTGGTAAGTTTTGTATGGTCTGGTTCGATCAGTGAATATTGTGATAAATTCACTTTTCTGCTGAATAAAAGTTTTATAAAACAATCTACTTGCCCAAACCTAGTGCCAATAGTGATTATTTGCTGTGGACTTTCACCAGGGTCCGTATGCAAGCAAAAACGAAGTAGAAAATTGCGTGAAATTTATGAACGTATTGAATTAAATGTTAAAAAGTATATATTAAACACGTAAGTCAAAAAAACGCACATAATTCTTCGAAAGAACTGCAATGTTAATGAAGAAGAGATAGCTCTAACACAATTTTGATGTTCACGTTTCTTTTTTTAATACTTTGCAACCTGCGATGAATCTTAGAGTAGAGCTTAAGTTGATTTAAATTAAACGTTCTCCAGTTTTTTCACAATTTCCTGATTTTTTTGGGCAGAATTTTGCGCTGGAAGGCAGTTCAGCACAAGTTGGCTCATTCAGCTTGAAAATGGGAAAGAACAAGTTTTGTCTCACGGCTGCCGGTATGGGCCTAGTTATTTCTTGGCATTGTAATATTGAAAATGGTTATTGTCTCGCTACAATTTATGAGTAAGATTTTTAAACATTGCAAGATCAAGAAATAGAAAAGATAGTTTATACGGCCATAAGATTATAATGGCAGTGCTTTTTCTTGTCTCAATGATAACTTTCTATGCTATTACCAAACTTGTAATAGTTTATGTTTTTCTGGCAAACATACTGTTGCCTGATCTCGTTTAGTGTGAATTTGTTATTGGTATGATTTGAAACCAAATAACTCTCGGTTTTAGAAGTCTCTAATTTGCAAGCTCCTTTTTAAGGTATCTATCATCTCACGCCAATATCATGCTACAAATTCGACCAGGATGTTTACATGTATGATACGTAAGTATTGTATGGCGTTTTATGTATAATATACAGTAAACAGTAAAACCATTTATTGTATATTGTAAATTATATATTTAATTTTAAGGTATTGGTATACGACTCTTTGTAGAAAGCATCCCGTTTCCAGAAAATTGTATCATGCCTGTTTCATCTGTTTAAACAGTCTTCTTGAAACTTAGTTTGCATTTGATTCGGCTTCAGACGCGGGTAGCTGTAAAAATATGGCCTATTGTTTAATGCAGCCAATGAGGATTTATATAGATAACCACCGATATTGATCCGGTCATGGTATTCTTTATAGCGTCTTTGCTTTTAAAATAATATTTTGCTCTGTCCCATTCCAGGTCAAACCCAAAGGAATTGGCTCTGTCAGTTGTAAAGTATAAGCTGGTCGTCACTGTAAAGTCGCAGAAAAAGCTGGATGATGTGTCTCTAACTATAAGGTGTGTCATGGTACCAGTCAGTGACGTTACTTTGATAAATTCGTTTTTTGTGATCTTTCAATGGACATACGGCTGTTATGCTGGATTTGATATCTGTGTTTATAATCTTCTGTCAATATTAAAGGGATGGCTCATAGTAAAAGGGGCTTGACTGGAATCTTCCAAAACTATATTATAAACGTGAGGTTCAATACACAGGGGAGGCTGGGGGCTGGGGGTGTTAGTTTCTTATAAACGCGAGGCTCAATATACAGGGGAGGCTGGAGGGCTAGGGGGGGGGGGGAATTGATAGTTATAATGTTGTGTCACAGGTATGTGCTGTGAAATATTTCTTAGATTACAAAAAACAGAGCAATTTGCTAAAAAAATTCCACACAGTTCTTCAATATGTTTAATATCAAAGATTGAAATCTATTTGTGATGCAACGCTTTTATCCAAAGCACACCAATATAGTGTCCAATAATTTGACAAACAGGGGAGGGGGGGTCTTGACAATCTTCAATTGGCTGGGAAACTTTGTAAGCTAGTAATGCAAACGAATAAGCGGAGAAGTGATGTGTTATTGGACACAAAAGTGAATATTTTCAAGAAAACATATACGTTGGCGTTGGTAACCATGTTTATTTTTAGTTTTAAACATGCCTGTATGAAAAACATAATACATGTCAATTCACATTTTGTTAAATAGTTTTTATTATGAAAAAAAGTCTTCTGTTGCAGCTTTCATAAACGCCACATCCTTTATAAAACTAACTACAGATCAGATGTGATCGACTAAGAATCAATGGTGATCGACTGTTTAGATCGAATGTAATCAACTGTGAAGATCCAATGTGATCAAATACTGATCGAATGTGATCGGCTATAGATTGAAGGCGATCAAGTATATAGATAAAATATGATCAACTACTGATTAAATGCTATCAATTTTTTAATAATCTGATTTGCTTGATTACAGATCAACACGATCAAATACAGACGATACAATAACACCAGTTCTGTTGAGACATGAGGCTGCCCAACAATCTACAAGCAATGATACGAAGCCAGTTGATATTGATCAGGTGTTTGAGTATCAAGGAATTTACTGGGCAAGGTAATTGGATATGTGACTCTTGGGTTTTATGTAGCCTAAGTACATGGCATCAAGCCATTGATTAAACCCAATCCCTTATGGCATTGATGTATGGCATTTATGACAGAGCTATTTCGTATCTTGCCATAAGTAATTATCATATCATGTACCTGGTAATTTTTAAATGGTTTATAGTTCTAGGAAAAGTTACATTTTAAATATCTGATCGGCAGAAACAGTATTTTTTTTGCTCTTTCTACTAGCTGGTCGTTTAATTGCTTTGGAACTGATGGTCTATGAAAGGAAAAATTTAGATTTCTTTTCATCATTTTATTGGTTTTATTCTAACATTAACTCTTCTGTTGTTAGGGCTAATGAAGAGGTCAAAGTGACTGCAACATCAAAAGAGGTTCTTTTCAACCCAAGCACAAAAACGACGGTTATTCAAGGTACGAGGTTTTTGCAAACAGTTTTCTTATAACAGCTTTGCTTGATAAGGAAGGGGATGGACAATCTGTCTAGAGAGTAGGTAATTGTGCTTGAAATGCTACTAGGAATAGATAAGGAATAGGAATAGCGCCTGTTCGACACGATGTTAAGTTTTGTCAACAGTGTTAGCTTATCCGTTTCTATGAGTCAATTTTCAACGTCGTTTATATCATTCACAACATGGTTTGTGGATTATTATACAACCAAGGCAAAGAAGGGAAACATGGTTAGCTTCAAGCTTACAAAAAGCAGTACTGCCCAAGAAATTAGCAATTTGATTAGGGACAAGAGGCACAAATCTCTCATTTCTCAAATGTTTACTTCATTGACATATTTTTTGCTATTCTTTTTTCTTGCATTGTTTACATCTAATAACAGAATCTTGTACTGTACATTATAACTACATTAAGCACCCTCTTTGGTGTTGAGCTGTGTTATTTGAATCAAACTTTGTTTTTCCAGGAAACTGTCCTGGTGGGAAGTTGGAGTTCGAAGGAAAAGAAGGCATATTCATTAAAGGAACTGTTTCTCCTCCGCTGAAAGATGTTCTCATTACAGTCAAAACATCACCAACTGAGAATCACAAAGAAAGCAGAACAATTGCCACACTGACGGATGAAAGTGGCGCTTATAGGTGGGCCTTGCGTAGAAGTCATTTTTCTCGTTGTGGAGAATGCTTATGGAGGGGGACGCACAATTGTGGTGAAACATTTGGCGAGAAAAATAGAGTACCAATGTGTGACGTCATCAAAAATTTACTCTTTGAATATTTAAGCTTTGACCACATGAAGAGCATTATAAACTACCCCTAAATGTGAAAATTTTGTTTAATATGTTAATCATTGGATGAGATATGGCATTTTCACTTTTGAATTTGTATGAACTTGAATAGGCATCTCGAATTTCTGTGAGTGATTTTAATTCTTAAAAGTGAACTTATGAGTTGTCTTTTAATTGTATAATCTTTGCTTACAGCGTTGGACCCATGCACAGTGATATATTATTTGAAGTTGTAAGTATCCGTTAAATTCTATTGCAATAGAGGAATTTTTTGATACCAGTAAATAGTTGAAGAAACCTTAATCGCTACTTTGTCTTCTTTGATCCTTAAATTTACATTCTTGTTCCTTTGTTGCACCTTTTTTAGCTAGGCCATACCAAACAAGTCAACACCAATTAATATATTTTCGTATTAATATATTTTACCAAGCTGCTATCGCTTTATCTGTCTAATGTTTATCCTTCCCTATACACTAAGCCTCCAGCCTTTTAAGGACATTCCCATTGCTTAATAAGTTTATTCAATATTCATATATATATAACTGTCAATTACTCATCTTGTGACGTTAAACATATCCAATCTTTTTTTTTCATTTCAGTCTGCGAAAAAGGCTGGCTATGTCATCTCTGAAACTTCAACCAAAGGCACTTTTGCTGCCATGAAGTTGGGTCAAATAACAGTCAAGGTGAGACTTCACTAATTTCATCAGTACCAATTGATTGCCTGTAGCCCCCCTGCAACATTAGAGAAGCACTTGTAACTCAGGATTAACCGCATTAAAATATATTGAGTAGATCGCCGAGAGTCTAGACGTCACCGTATATAAGAAAGAAGATATCATCGAAAGACATAGTTTGTGATTTTTCCTTTAGATTTTTATTTTATTGATACCCAGAATATAAGATTTTTCAATTCTTGATCAATTTGTTCTTTCTTTCAAAGCTTAACCTTTGTCTTCGAATTTCAATCTTCCACGTCAATGTTTCTTCCCACCTTGCCTTTGGTTCTTATCTGAGTACTAATACATTGTCTACATTGATCAGTCCTAATTCTTGCTAGAAGTTCTTAAATCACTGGGTGACGTCATCTAGATTTTGGTACATTTTTTGGACGACTTCTGCGCTTTCGTTAGCTCTTACAATAATAAAAATCATATAATGAATTATCGTCCACTCGATAAAAAGAAATGAAATTTTTGAAAGTTTTACGTCTATTTTAACCCATCGATATTTTTGAAAAGGGTAGGACTGAGCACATGAAATAAGCCCTAATATTAATGTACTGTTGGAAGTGATTGCAGATTTTTGTTGTTTACCAGATTTGACTATGACTTATGCCTAGTTATTGTTTATTTTAGATCGTCGATGAAAGCGACAAACCCATGCAAGGTGTGCTGCTGTCACTGAGTGGTGGCCAATACCGTAGCAATACAATCACACCAGAAAATGGAGTCTGGTCGTTCATAAACCTGGTAAGGCTTTTTCAACTGTTCCCTACAATGACACGGTTGCAGGTGACACGCCTCTTTATAGCTTTAAGTCTGCACAAACGCATGTCTGGAAAAAGCTGATTATTAATTTTAAAATAATCCCTGAATTTCTTTTATTGATTCAAAAATCGATGATTTGTGGCCTGTTTGCCCTGTGTAAAAACTTTGATGCCAGCTTTTGTGACTTTCGTATGGAAGTTAAAAGAACTATGGTCATTCCCAATTTTGAAAGTAAAGCACTGTGCAATTTATTAATAATAGATTTTTTGGATGTAATATACCATAAGTCTTGTCCTTCCTTCTCTCTACCACATCCAAAGCTGTTTCTCTCTTTATCAGCCGCAGATGCAAGATCTTTGCTCGAGTAACACACTTCATTTTCTTGGATATTTATATGTTTGAGTGCCACCTTTACCAGTGGCATCTTTAATAGTGCCATCTTTAATCTGTCACACACACTTTTTACGTTTTATTTATACCATTTCCATTATTTGCATTCCCTGTTTATTTTCTTTACGATAATTGCTTCTTGCAGAGCCCTGGTCAGTTTTTCTTGCGTCCAATGCAAAAAGAGTACAACTTTGAGCCGAATTCACAGGTAATGAACCTCAGAATTATCATTATAAATCAAAAATGAGTTTTGTTGGGGATTAATGCCTGTGACAAGAAATGTATTCAGCTGATTGTTATTTTTAGCTATTTTTCTTTATTCTTCGCGCTTGAAAATATATTGTAAATTCTTTTCGAAAATTCACAGTGATGCAAGGCTTATTTATTATCACCATCTTTTGTTTTGCAAATCTTAAAAGCAATTTTTGTAGTATCCTATGCAGTGAAATAATATTTTTATTCTAGATGATCGATGTGAAAGAAGGAGAAGAGGTGCAAATAGACATCAAAGGCAAACGGGTTGCATTTAGGTAAGATCTTTCAATTAACCATCACAGCTTTGGTTTACGCTTTGTTTTTCAACATTGATAGCAGAGAAGCATATTTATCTTAGAGACATTACATCCCGTGAAACATTACATGAATGCAACAGGATAGCGTGTTTCTCCTCCTTTTATTCATCTTAGTGTTAAGGATTTCGTGACAATATAACCCAATTGTCAAGAGAAGTTTTTGGAAAATAAGGGGGGGGGGGGAGAGCCTCAAAGAAAGTTATATTCATTTCAAAGTAGAATATGAAATTCTCAATTTTACTTACATTTCGCGTAATCGTGTGTTTGGTATGCCTCCAACACTATCTAACGATTCGTCTTTTGAAATGCCTAATAGTTAATTGTCGAATTATTTAAATCGATTCCAGAAATACTTATCATGCACTATTAATGCTCTAAATTATGTGAATACCTTTTTGAATAAGCACATTTTGTTTTTTGTTATAGTTTCATTGGCTCAGTCACTACTCTTGCTGGTGATCCTGAGAAGAGCATCGCTGTTGAGGTAGGGTTCAACACCATTCATTCATCGAAAACACTCAGCCCGTGTCCAGGGGCAGACTGGGTGAATATATCCGTATTTTGCAACTATGACTTATAAAAGCAATAACCCAACATGCAGTTTCGGTGAAATTTTGACAGAGTTGTCTTATGACATCATAGTTTTTGCAGGGAGGAGTTTAGCTGCTGATCAAGGAAATACGGAAATTAAAAGATACATTTTATTACTTAGCTAAAAAGGATCCTTTAGTTTAAGATAGGTTTCTGTCAAAATAGTTTTTTGCAAATTGTCAAATACTGCAAGGATATTCATCGTCATCTTAATCGAAAATTAATAGTTATGCTAGCTTCATTAATGTTTATCATTGCTTCACAGGCAGTGGGCTTGGACAAATGCTCTGAATTTCACGAGGAAACTGTCACCGATGCCAGTGGATTATATCGTCTCAGGGGACTGCATCCCGATTGCGAATATGACGTCAAAGTGAAACTAGGCGACTCGAATCCACACATCGAGAGAGCAGGACCAACTAGTCTAAAAATGAAAGTTGGCTCTGCTGATGTCGAGCAAATAAATTTCATTGTGTTTTACAAGCCAAAGGCCTTTGAGCTTACTGCAAGCATTGACACAGAGATGGAATGGCTGTCTCACATAAAGGTACCAAAGTGACACTTCATTGAACTATATTTTATGTCCCAGACAGTTTGGAATCTCTTCCCATTGACTCCAGCATGGCTGCATTTCAAATGAAAACCTTCATTGTTAGAATCATAATGCATGTCTACTAGTGGTTCCAAGGGTGAAAACGTCTAGAATTATCAAACAAACTTCAATTAACAATTTTGTCATCAAAATTTACCTTTTCTGTACGGCATCCTATGTGATATCAATGAATCATTTAAAACCTACTTCTGCCCTTGTGAGGCACATCCAGAAATTTTCCAACGTTTAAAGCCTGCTAATTTTAGCCACATAGATTAGTAGATTTTATACCTATTTTGAATATTTTCATTTGAAAGCATTTGTACATCGTAGTAAAGTCTAGGCAGAGATTATCTCTGGGAAGAATCTTCCATTGTCAATTTATCTGGCTATATGGACTAAGGTTGTTGAGAATGCTAGCATAATCATGATAACGGTCATAACTAGTCTCTTTAGCTAGCAACATATCTCTCTCTCCCTCTCTCTCTCTCCCTCTCCCTCTCCCCCCCCTCTCTCCTCTCCCCTCTTTCTCTCTCTCTCTTCCGCTTTTCATCCTCTTCATCGTCTCTTCTCTCTCTCTCTTTCTTCTCTCTCTCGATCTACCTCTCTCTCTCCCTCCCTCTCTCTCCATCATCTCTCTCTCATCTCTCATCTCTCTCTCTCTTTCCTCTCTCTCCAATCCCCTCTCCCATGAACTCTCTCTCTCTCTCTCTCTCTCTCTCTCTCTCTCTCTCTCTCTCTCTCTCTCTCTCTCTCTCTCTCTCTCTCTCTCTCTCTATCGCTTTCTCTCGCTCTCTCTCTCAGTGTATATGAGTCATATTTTCAAACAAACCCATTATTTATTGTAGGTTCTGTTGTACAGAGAAGACAATTTCGATTCTCCGGTTCACTCAGTTTCCCCAGGGCATGTTAAATTTGTTCAGTTCCCACCATTGCCATTGGACAACCAGGTAAGCAATGCAAAATTCCAAACACGCAGATGTCTTTTGCATTGATATAACTGCTAATATTGTTGCTGCTGTTGCTATTGTTTTTGCTGTTGGTCTTCTCTAAGCATATCGTCTTGCCCGTAACGTTCCAGATTTCTTTCCTTACTTTTGTCCTTGCTCTCTGCAGTTCGTTCTACCCAAATTTCTTCTACTATCAATGCAGAACTGTTTTCATTATTCACTACAAATTTTTTATTCGACATGTCTTGCAATAAATCTGGTACTTTTTAAAGGTAAATATATCTATTTTAATCCATTCGTCTTGCACAAGCATTCAGTAGTTTTTTCTTTTGCTCTGCAGTTCTACGTTGTTCGGCTGGAGTCAACCCTTTCGAAGAAGACCCACAACTTTGATTCGACGTCAGCTAGTTTCACTACTGGAGGATCATTCAAGAAGCATGTTGAGTTGAAAGTCAACGTAACGGTAAACACAGTTTTTACTTATTCCTGTTTATCTCTCTCCTAATTATGCATTCTTTTCTTTGTACTTATCACTACTGTTCTCCTTCAACATTTGTGCTAGAGGCCGTTCTTTTTGCAAGCTGCCATGTGTCTTTTATTCATTGGTTTTTATCCTACACTGAAAGTCTCCTCTGATTGTTTACATTATCAAGTATTTTATCAGCGCTCAATTGTTGAATGATTAATAGATTCCTGTCAAAGCTGTCTTTTTTTCAACGCTTGCGGAAAATATGCACTTGAGTTTATGAAGTGCATGAATTGTCAGAGCTTTTTTAAAACAAGATAACGTTGATCTTTTGTTATATCATTAACAGTTTTTTATATGTAGTCGAAGCGTTTTGTTATGGTTGTTTCTTGTTCTTAATCGACTTTTTGCAACAAGGTGTTATTTCAAAAAGAAACTTGATAATTAAGTTTGTTAGATAGCAAAACAACTTGAAGTTGCCTTCGATCTGTTTCATGCAAATGCTAATCTACTATATTCAATATCGTTCATTACTTTTTATTTGATATTTAGCCTTCGTTTTTCTTTTTTTTCTACTCAGGAGCTCTCCAATAGTTTATCCATACCAAATAATGAAAACAAATTTTTTTTTAGAAAAAGAAACTAGAGCTGGAACCAACTCAGTCTGTTCTTGCTCTGCCGCTTACCATCATTTTATTTGTCCTTGGTTACAACTACGAAGTGGTACGGGTTTGGTTATTATTATCATTATTACCATCGTGACGTGAAATTATTTCCTCAATAGTAAACCAGCCTTCGTCAGCAGTAACTACTGCCTGAAGGTAGTTTCAATTTTGTAAACACCGACAGAAATGTATAAATTTCATTAACACGAGAATCAAATTGGCCTTTTAAATGTGGATGTATTATGCAAGCAGTTCCATTTTATCATTGTTTTATTTGTGGAAATTGATTGGATCAGAAATATGCATGTAAAGTGATTACCTTATCATTTATTGATCCTTTATTCTACATTGCAACAAAAATAAAGTAATAAAGATTACCTAATTTTCAAGATTAGTCATTTTCGCAAAGTTTACCATCAGATAGTTGATTGCTGATTTGACAGGACGGTCTACGAATCACAGTAATACAACACCAATAAGGTTATGATTCGTAGATCGTTGGAAGATGCCGTAGATCGAGTCTTGAAATCGGTTTGACGGAAAGATATGTTAATAGTCTTTTTTCCACGGCGTGGTTCCATACTTTCCTGCTTATCTGTATTGATGATTTGACCATACTTTTGCTAAGTAGCAGGGGATCGGGAAGCTCGATCGTTTACCTTTCGTTCACCTTTCTAGGTAATGGCATTCTTTTCACGTGTTAGAAAGACACTTAAAGGAGACTCCCAAGACAAGTCAGAAAATGGAGCTGATGAAACAAATAAGTCGAAGAAAAAGAAGAAATGATAGCACATAGTACTTTATTCGATATGAAAATTGGATGAATCAATGAGCAATAATCAACTGCTATGTACTGCCAGTCTTTTTGGAAGACAAATGAAAGATTGCATTGCAAGCTTTTACGCAGAACGATGAAGTGTTGCTATCGATTGCTAAGTGTAATCTAGACATTTGTGAAATTGTTACTGCTCGTTATGTATGTTGTTTTACCAATCAATTAATTTTGATTCCTAGCATTCATTGATTACAACTTGCTAAACTGTAGGATCTGCATTTCCCTAGAGAATTTAAAAAGCAAATATAACCACAACTAGCAAACACCAACCAAAACTATACACGTTTCTCCATTTCAAAAATTAAGTTATTCAACATTTTTATGTTGCTTTCTCTAACCGATTTCACTTTGTCTCTTTCTTTCTAATTCTTTTTCTTACTTTTCTTCTTTGTTCTCGTATTAATTCACATAACTTTAAAACAAAAAGTCTATGCAAGTCTATGCTATATCTAGGAGGGGCGAGAAATATAGTTTTTCCGACAATAATCTTATGGGCATGTTGATTTTTCCGTATATTTTAACATAACATTAAGACATAAAATCTGAAATGAATAAAGAGATGAAGGCTTATCATTTATTTGAAATTAAGTGTCATGAATCATACGAAAAAAAGATTTTTATGTTCATCTCCTTGCGAAATGTATTTTTAAGTATCGTACCTTTTTGAAAGAGATAGCCAATCTAATTCAGAACAACGAAAGAAGTCGTCATTATTAGCTGTGAAATTTTTCCACACAAAATGTAAGACTTAGATAAATATCACAATCATGTTATAATCCCGACAATATCAAAAGTTTTTGGACAAAATAGCAGTTTAGCTTTACAGGCGGGTTTCGTGCCCCCTCTGGACCCCCTCTATCTACGCCACTGTATCAATGGGACCATAAACTTCAAAGAAGCATGTTCCAATTCATATATTTTTTGGACAACAATGTTTGAATTAAAATTATTGGCAATAGAATTTAAAAAGAATTAATATGAGATTGCTCTACCCTTTAAATCTTTTATTTTCATATTATGATCAATCTATCGAAAAAGGCCCGAACATTCAATGAATCTACCAATTCGTGCTAAACTTAGATGTTTGAACCTTTAAACGGTAGGAATTAATCCGATATGAATTATGCCTTGTTAACTTCACATAGCCTTTAGCCTTATTTCGGATGCCTCTAGCTTCGAGGCTTTCTTTCTTTAACTACAATGCGTTAAAAATGTTCTTTAAAATTGTTTTTTATCAAACCAGCAGGACAATCCGAGTTTTCAAAATCAGAATTTTGTCAGGCTTTAATTCTTCATCTATAATGTTTGTTTGTTGAGAATGCGCGAAAACACTTTTTTAATTAAAAAACACGACTAAACCATGTTTGAAAAGAAGAAATTTTGCCAAGCTTATAACCTTTGCAAACGACCTAGATCACTATTTTTGAAAATATTATGAAAAATATTTATCCCAGGTTTGGAACTGCAACCGAACATATACTAAAGATAATTGCATGCTTGTAAAACACTTTTTTAATTAAAAAACACGACTAAACCATGTTTGAAAAGAAGAAATTTTGCCAAGCTTATAACCTTTGCAAACGACCTAGATCACTATTTTTGAAAATATTATGAAAAATATTTATCCCAGGTTTGGAACTGCAACCGAACATATACTAAAGATAATTGCATGCTTGTAAAACACTTTTTTAATTAAAAAACACGACTAAACCATGTTTGAAAAGAAGAAATTTTGCCAAGCTTATAACCTTTGCAAACGACCTAGATCACTATTTTTGAAAATATTATGAAAAATATTTATCCCAGGTTTGGAACTGCAACCGAACATATACTAAAGATAATTGCATGCTTGTAAAACACTTTTTTAATTAAAAAACACGACTAAACCATGTTTGAAAAGAAGAAATTTTGCCAAGCTTATAACCTTTGCAAACAACCTAGATCACTATTTTTGAAATAATTATGAAAATTATTTATACCATCTTTGAAACTGCAACCGAATATATACTAACGATAATTGCGTGCTTGTAAAACATTTTTTAATTTGGAAAAGCACAACTAAATCATTTTTGAAAAGAAGAAATTTTGCCAAGCTTATAATGTTTGCAAACGACCTAGATCACTATTTTTGAAAAAAATTATAAAAATTACTTATCACTAGTTTGGAATTGGATTTATTTTTTTAATTTGCATTTAGATATATACTCAAGACGTCTGCATGAATGTAAAACAACTTTTCAATTAAAATGAACGACTGTATCATGTTTGAAAAGCAGAAATTTTGCCAAGCTTATAACCTTTGCAAATGACCTCGAAAACTATTTTTGAAATATGATGAAAATTATTTATCACTGGCTTGGAACTGCAATTTCCGTGAAAGCTCTATTAAGCCCATTTATTCTTTCAGTCCTAGAGGGGGGCTTAAAAAAGATGGGGCTTATTAGAGAGAGGGGGCTTATAAAAAATTTGAAGCAAAAGATGTTTAAAAATGCCATTCGTCATTTTGTTATGAAAATGCCATAAAAACGTTCTCCTAAAACTTTGCTAGCAGCTTCGAAAGTTTAATTAATCAATTGTAAGGTGCTCATCTTCATCAACGTCACAAGGATATGTTGATAACCCAACCCTGGGACATGTTCAAAATAAAATTCGACTGACTACTAAGTTGCACAAATAAGTCTTTACATAGGCCGTTTTTAATGCACAGGATCATCGTCACACCCGTGAAGATACCAAATAAATGCTCATGTTCTCTAATTTTGACATTAAAGGCTAAAGAGGGGGGGCTTAATAGGAGGGGGTTAATAGGGGGGGGGGCTTATTTAAAATTTTTGCTTGATGATTTTTGCTTAATAGAGCTTTTACAGTAGATATATACTAAAGATAATTGAATGCTTTTTATCCATTTTTAATTGAAAAAACACGACTGAATCTGGTTTAAAAATCAGTTATTTTGGCAAGGCAAATCAGTTAGTCTTTGCCTTCGTCATAGGGTACTTTTTGAAAAATTATAAAAGTAATTTATGACAGGTTTGGACCTGCAACCAGTTATATACCAAAGATAATTGTATGCTTTTAAGCATTCTTTTCAATTACAAAAGCGAGAGTAAATCAGGTTTGAAAATCAGAAATCTTGTCAATCCTATAGCCTTTACATTTGACGTCGAAAACCATCTTCGAAAAATCACTAAAATTGTTTATCACTGGTTTGGAATTAAAACTAGACATTGTAATGGAAATAACGTGGTGTCAATAAACACAACTAAACATCAAGATATATTTCATAGATTGTCCACTCAAATGCATAAAACACAATGTCGTCAAAATGTGTTTATGCTGTGTATGTCTTCTTTAACTCAATAAATATGAATAAATACTCTCACTTGATCAATAAGAACTTGTCTTCTTTCACTTGGGCTCCACTGCTCGAGGTTAGGCCTATCTTTCGTCTTCTCTTTGACGGATCCCTTCGTCATGTCTCACCTGTTGCTCTCAAAAACAAAAAATTCTGTCTCCACTGTTTTTGTGTCATGGTAGCTCCTTAGGGAACTGGTACGGTTGTTCACTACCAACACACAGGGAAAGCAGATCGAAAAAGCCAACTAATAGTCACATGGGCTATATCTCTGAGGGATTCTCCTCATTCTAGTCGACTTCCTATTATCTTTGTAAACAGATAAATACTAAAGAAAATTGCACGCTTGCAAAAAATATTTGCAATTAAAAAAACAAGACTAAATTAGGTTCGAAACACAGCAGTTTCGCCAAGCTGGTAGCCTGTGCATTTGACCTTTAATACCTTTTTTGAAAAATGATGAAAATTATTTTTCAGAGGTTTTTTCGGATATGAACTAAATTCGCACTAAGTAAAAAAGCGAGATCAAAACACTAAAGTCAGAGATTTTTCTTAGCCTATTGCTTTTGGGATAATCTCAAATGTGCTCCAGGTAGTTCTGAGAAAGGGAGAATGATTTTATCGAATTGTTTAAATCTTATGTTAAGATGACACCAAGGACTCATTTTCGTCTCATTGTTAGCTCGCAGAACATTTCGAAAGAGAAGTAACCACCATAGTTCAGTTCCTGTTCCTTCATACTTATGATAAACTTTAAGCTACAGCTATGACCAAATATATAATCTATAGTATGAACACATTTATTACAAAAATCTTCCAAATCAAACAATGAGTAGCTAAAATACATAGAACTTTGGCCCTCCGTATTTCAATAAATCAAGCTGATTTGCTTCAGAAAAGATATTGTAGTTAAGTAATTCGTTTTTCATATTAGAACATTAGAAAGAGAGGTTAGGATGAGAACAAGGGGGAGACAAGGGGTCTTTTCTAAAATCAAAGATTCAAAGACTCTCCTTCAGCTAAGATGAAACTCTGTTTCTTTTATATCGTTATTGAAAATACAATATCTTTGAGAGACTACTGTCTCTTGTCTATTATTGTCTATTAAGAGTATTATTACACAATAGTTCTGAATGCAGTGTGAGTTTTGAAAAGGAATGGGAGTAGATAGCTTATAGATTTTTACTTTGTTATTGATAGACAAAAGCAATCTAAAATTGGGGTTCCATAAAGAATGTTACAAAGTCTGATCCCTTCTCAGCCTGGAGTAAGAATAATTTCAAACACACATAATTAAATACACACCTAAAAGAATTGAAAATAGTTACAATTTTTAAGATCATTTGAAAATTGAGTTCTAGAAAAGATTCCTTAACGAGTTACAGAAAAAGTCTTAAAGGACTGTCAAGACTTATGCGAACTCAAAGCGTAGTATAGTATAGGATGATTTCAGAGTTTTAGCAGTCTTTGCATGGTCGTTCATTTAACTGATTTGGGTTAAGAGAAAACCAGGACCAGAGTAAGAGTGGTTTATGATACAAGGTTCTTGAAGTTCTTTAACCTAATAATCCATAACGAAATAAGAATTTTATGGTAATCAAGGGATGATGCAATCTCCAATACAGTATTGATTCGGTCTTTATAGATCAAAGTGCGCTTTCTTAAAGACCATAAATATGGATGATGATAGAGTAAAGATCATTTGAGTTAACACATAATACGGTTGTATTTTGCATCATGCCAATAAGCAAACGTCCTACTTGTCACAGTAGCTGGGTGCATTACGTGGCTAATGAGAAGTTATCAACTGCTGCCAATTCAAGCGAACGAATAGTGTCTTAAAGGCAATTTGAGACATGTCAGCAATTACGGAAATTCAAATAGAAAAAAAGATATCCTCAAAACAGACGTTAATCGAAAGCATCATGTGCATTAAGTCTCTGTACTAAAATTCGTGATAAGAAACTAATAAATTTACCCTCTAAACCTAATTTATTCAAGTAAGATCTAAGTAAAATCTAGGTACCCTTCTATTTTGAGCTAAAAACTTAACTATTTGAAAAAGTGACTCCACGAATCAGGTAGGCTGAGAAAGGTTTTTACAGCAAAAAGCCATTGATGAAAAATCGTTGAAAACAGCCTTGAATGTGTAAATCAGACAAATGTGCAGTGGGCCTAATGTTGGCAGCAAAATTGGATACAACATCTTTTCTGTAGGTGTTTCGGAGTTTAAATACAGCAAATTTCCAATACATGCAGCAAAGTTTCCTTCGAATGCAAACATTTCATAAACCTACAGCGCTGTACCAAAGCCACATTGTTACTTGAGATTCCAGATAAGCGTGTTCAGGTACTCCTCAAACAAATGTTACTCCACCTCCTATCTCTTCTGAGTTGTCATCAATGAACTTCTGAGGAGTATCGAAAAAATCTAGCACACTCTGTTCCCCGGCAAACATTCTCTTGATGACATCATCATTTTCTGCTTGGCTCGTCCCATCGTGGGCAGCGCCATTCGTCAACGGGACATCAGCTTTACCATCTTCAAATGCATCGACATTACTGTTTTCATCCTTTTGCTCTGATTGGCCTAACTTGGCAACATTTGCTTCATTGAACTCCTGTTGTCCCTGTGCGTTTTCTTCCATAAAGCCAAACTCATTGTTAGTGATCTTGCAATGTACGAGGGTCACTCCAAAATTATTGAGATATTCAAAAACCGCAAGAGGCATCGTGTTCAAATTTTCACAGTTTCTCAAAATACTCTCCACTGGCTTCCACACAAAGTCTCATACGATAAAACCACATATCAAAACAATGGGCCCATTTTTCTGCAGCAAGGTCAGAAACAGCCTCGTTGAAGGCACTAACTGCATCATCAGCGCTATCAAACTTGGTTCCGCGAATTTTTTCTTTCACCGCTGGAAAGAGAAAGAAGTCACAAGGTGCCAAATCAGGTGAATAAGGCGGGTGGGTCATCAACTGAACTGAATTTTCGGACAGAAAGTCGATGGTCAAAGCAGCTGTGTGAGCGGAAGCATTGTCATGGTGCCAAAGTAGACCTCTTAAGCCGGTCCTTGGATGTTTATTTCGCCAAATTTCTAGAACCTGTGGTATGCAGTGGTTAACATACCTATCCGCGTTCACTGTACGACGGTCTTCAACTTGAATGGTTGCGACATGACCCGTCTTTGAGAAAAATGACGCAACCATTCTTTTGCCGACGCTTCTGGATCGCCGAAATTTTTGCGGCGGGTTTTCACCTGGAAAGATCCAAATTGAGGATTGGCGCTTTGTCTCCGGGTCAAATTGGTAAACCCAACTTTCATCGCCTGTCACAATGTCATAAACCCGTTTCGACTCCCCTTCATTAAATTTTTGCAGCATAAACTGGCACCAATTGACGCGCTGCTCTTTTTGCTCATCTGACAAGCAATGTGGCACCCAGCGGGCAGCAACTTTCCGAACTTGCAGGTTTTCATGCAAAATTGTGTGCAATGCTGCTGATCCAATCTTTATGCTATCCTGCATCATAGAATAAGTCATCCGACCATCTTGCCTTAGCATCTTCTCCACAGCGGCAACTGTTTCTGGCACAACAGCAGTTGGGGGCCTCCCTGGGTGGGTCTCATCTTTAAGGCTCTCCCTCCCTCTCTTAAATTCGGCAAACCATCGAAAAACTGTTGCCCTTGAAGGTGCATTATCTCCAAATGTCTGCAGAAGTTGAGCTAGGCACTCTTCTTGTTTCAGCCCCCTTTTAAAATCATAATAAATCATTGCGCGAAAATCACGTCTTTCAAGCTCCATTTTTAACAAATAAGAACATCTAAGGTGCTGAAATTCAAAACCCTTTTTTATTTTTTTCCCGCGCTTGAAATTAACAAAAATTACAAAACATGGGTGAAATAGATGGTACAAGCCACCAAAAAAATTTCAAACTGATATCTCAAGCGGTTACTGAATATCTCAATAATTTTGGAGTGACCCTCGTACGTCATTAACAATTGCCTCTTCAAAAGTGTCCTCACTGCAAATGTCTTTCTTTTGCATAATCAACTGTGGTTTCTCTTCAAGTTCTACTACACCTTCGCAACTACTATCTTCTTCAACATCAATCGGTAGGTTGGCAGCTCTTTCGCCTCTCGTCGTTGAATCTTCGGCCACCGTCGGTTCGTACGAATCATAAAACTGTTCATCGTTGCCCATCAATTCTTGAAAATCTATTTCACTCTTATCTCGTTCCATAAACTGTTCAGTTATTTGTTCCTCACTTTCATTTTGCCCCAAACTCCCTTGGGTATCTATCCTGGGCCCCTGTTCGCCAATCACCGGCCCTACATCGAACGCCGAAACTTCATTCTTCCTAAATTCATTTGTCGGGAAATCGAAACGAAATCCCTCGGTAGCACCCGCCCGCTTTTCAGATGTAAAAACACTGTCCAAACTAATAGCTTCAACGGGTTTCGTATCACGTGACACGGATGGGTTATCGTGAATTCGACGAGGTGGAAGTGCTACTGGGGACTTGCATTCAACTAAATCACAGAGATCGCCTCTGCCCGTCTGTTCAAGCGCATCTCGCAGCACTTCAAAACTGGCATCTTCCCCTCTCGTTGATCTCCACAATTCTAGCATTGTGAGAGCAGCAAGTACGTGTTGGTCAGAGCTAGGAATCGAATAAATCAATATAAGTGCAAGTTCAGTGGCGGACACCTGGGGGGGGCAGGGGGGGGAGAGGGCCGTCGACCCCAATTTTTTGACAAATAATGGTTTTTTGTCCTAAAACAATGGGAAAATGTGACGCCATCTTGTCAAAACAATAGGCTTCCCCCTTTATTTGACTAAGTGTCCACCCCTGATCAAGTTGTATTAAAAATAACCACACGTGCACACTGGGCCAAAATAATCTTAAAAGGACGCCACTTTTAAATGGATTTTTTTTAAAATTTGAAAAAGCCATAAAAGAATACCGTCTTATTTCTTACCATAAATGGGTAGTATCTGGTTAGGAATGCAAAGCATACGTTTGTTCCAAGGTTCCCTGTTTTGCACAAAATAGGGCCTTAAAAAAGTTATTCTCATTTCTCAAAGTGGGAGAGAAATTGGAAGGCTACACTGTTGTTACGGCACATAGAATATTTAACCATCTTGGCTCTTTTCGAGTAAAATCATTGAATGCAATCACACACTATGAGGCGTTCTTAGCAAAGTACAACAAAAATACCTCAGGTCGATGACGCCTTGTATTTCGTTGTCGTTCATATGCAAATTCTTTGCCAGAATTTTCCAAACTTCACCAATGTTGTGAGAAATGGTTTGCAGAAGATTGTCACTCACTGTGAATAGAGATTAAATGAGCGCTGAATTCAAGGTTATTCGAGTATTGACAAGAAATACGAAAACATTGAGGTGATATTATGGTGACACATGTACACAGCAAGACACAAAACCCTGGAGCATTGCCTTGGTGCATTAAGCTGCCCAAACAAATGCTTCAATGGTATAATAAAAATCCAATAAAATCCGAAGAAGATGAGAACAATTCTCCTGGCAGTCAATGATTCGTAGAATAAATTTTAGTGTCCTGGAGTATTCAATAAATGATGTTGCAGTCTGGTGGGGAATATAGGCTTTTATTAAACATCTAAATACGTATCTAAGAAATATCACAGAGAATCAACATTTATAGCAAAAAAGACCTGACACTTGCTTATTCAAACGAGGCTGGCTGCAGTTTCAACGTTGTCAATGTAAATGTTTTTAAACCGTTTCGAGGCTATTGTGATGCGGGAACCTATTTTGAAGCATGACAAAATTTCCCCATTTCGCATTCCCTAGAGGTTCTTATCCGCCTAGGAGATACTTGCTGAAGATGATAAAGAAAACATTTTACAATAATTATGAATTTACCTTGGTGCCAATAAGAATCCTGAATAATCTGCATTTTGCTTCGCACCATCTGTTATACAGAGACGAAATAAATGTTGATATCAAAGAGGACTGAATGTATATCAGAGGGCAAGAAATTTCAATTTGGAAAGCATTAGAAGATTCGAAAGTCTTGATTGATTCTTAAAGTTTTTATTAGAATGAGCAATTTGTCAGTGCATTAAAGAAATCTTCTTGTTTCCATCAATAACTTAATTATAATTGCTGAGAAGATTGATTTTGAAAATGCAGAACGTCTGTCTGTTCAATGCTTCAAGGTTAGTGTGGAAATCCACAGCTTGGAATGTCGGTTCATGAGGAAAACAAAACGGATCTAATGAAATCTCAAAAGATGTGGACTTTTAGGAGAATTCTAGAAGCTGAAATCGTTAATTTGATGGGGTACCTTTTCAGTTACAACAGCCTCGAGACTGCAGATCAAGGGGATTTTTCCATCAGCATCTGTCCTGAGACTGGAGATAAATCCAAGTCGATAGGCCCATGGACCTCGCGAGTTCAGCCCAGTAGCCCTGAATACAAGTCGATTTTCTCTGAAGGGCTTAAAGGTAAGTTTCAAGCTCTTTATATCCGGTGATGTTGTAGCATTGCATTTTAGGTATACAGTCTGCTCGTCGTGCACTTCAACATCCCCTGAACGTGCAATCTCAACAAAGCCTTCCCGCTTCTCTAGTGCTCTTTCTGTTTTGCCGTCTGTCATGCAGAACACGCGCATTTCTGCGGAATTCACCGTCAACGCGCGGGCGAAGACAACAAACTTCGCCAAAAAGGGCAGTCCACAGATCAATGGGTACAGACTTTCGACTTTCCTTGGGATTTCGTCAGTTTGGTCGTCTTGGCACAGCCAATAACTACAAAAACACTTATAAGTTACTAAAGAAGTTGAAAAGTTTTGAAATTTGTCACCCAGCAAGAAAGGAGAGCAACAAACACACGGGGTAAAAAACGGGACCTGCTTTGAAGGGTCATTCCAAAACTCACAACATGTGTTTAAGAATGTTATATGTCTGTTGGCACATTAAATTGATTCACCAAAAAAATCGAACCTTATGATATGTTCACAACAATTGATTTTCGTCGCTATCTGTTACAAAATTATCTGCTAAAAGGTTATCAGTGATCGATTTTCTTTTAAAGACGCATTTTTGCAGCTCTTTCTATTAGCCCAAAAAAATTGGTTTTAAAAAGATGCCATGACATTTCATCAATAACAATCCTTGTTTTGTGTCCAACTGTAAAGGAATTAACATACGTTGTGAGGTATGTAGTTTGGAAGTGACAGCAGTTTTCGCTGGCTGTTACAGAGCACACATCTGTTACATCGCTCCATGTCCATTGCGAGTTCTCACTGACCTCGTTCTCATTCGCCGGCATCATTGCGAGTAGACGGAGATTGGGTGGGACCCCGTAGGAGTGATCCGTGGTGATCCAGGGGCACGGCATTGTGACGTTGACCGGGTTGGCTAGTTTGACATGAGGTTGTAAGCGAATGATTGAACTATACTTTGCTGTGTCAGCTGGATCCAGTAGTAGCTCATTCACGAATTGTATCTGCAGTAAAAAATTGGATACATCAGAGAAGTTTAAAACAAAAGGGTGCTATAAACCCAATTGAGAAGGCAGACAACAGGGGCGGCGCCAGCCACTAGACTCTCTTTGGCAAAACAAAGAAATTTAGGCCACGCCTTTTTTATTGACAGAAAAGGTCTGTATACCAACAAGGAACGTGCCCCCCCCAGTCCCTCCCGTGGCGCCGCTACTGACAGACAATACGCTTAAAAAATCCTGCACCGAACAAAAATGACTTACGACCGAAAAAAGACTGAAAACGTTCCTTCTATTGATCACCAGCAGTCATTAACCCTATAGTTCAAATGTCCAAACGAAAAAAATTCTCTCTGAAAAAAACTAGAGACCTTTTTCCATATATCGATACATCTTTTGAAATCAAGGTCTTCCTTGTTCAGTGGTTCTTAAATTCCTGTCGCAATTTGGCTTCGCAAGACCCCCAATTAACTACATGCGACAGTCTCGATGAAGCAACAAGGAGCAAAAAGTGAATATTATCAATTACCTGTAAAATAACTTTTGTGCTCGTATTTAAGGATGTTTCTTTAAAAATCACTTGTGCCTTCGGCAAAACGCATGATTTGATAACACCTCCTTCAGGAAACATTAAGAATTTTTCTTTTCGTGGCCTTGAAACAACGGCAAATCGTTCGGGCAAATCTTGAGAAACAATCTTCACAAACTGCCTACCAGACTTGTATCCATGTTCAGGTGAGCTGGGCATCTCACCAAAAGCCTCCTCGTCGATGCCTAAAGTATCACATAAATCAAGTTTCAGCTTCGAATTTGGTCAATATTTTATCACTAATGGAAAGTAAATATTGCGAAAAAGGTTACTACACCCAGGGGCGGATCCAGAGCAAATTTGAAGGAGGGGCAGTTGGTAGTTGGGGCGCTGAAAATTTTTCAGATATTGGTGACTGGTGTACGCTGTTTACAACAATTATTACACCCAGGGGCGGATCAAAAGCAAATTTGTAAACGCTGTTTACAACAATTTCAGACCCCGACTACTGACAGAAGGCTCTCTTTTTAATTTGTAAGGAAATTGTCACAAAATTTGTTGTAAACTTTGAGGTAATCCTTGAAGTAAATTAACCTATAAGTCTCAGAAACTTTTTCACCTGATTTTCATTCTTTAAAAGAGGAAACAATTTCCAAAAAAGGGGCACCAGACTTGCTTTAACTCGTTGAGGGAGGGGCAACTGCCCCTAGTTGCCCCCCTAAAATCCGCGCCACTGATTAAATCAAGAAAAAATTTAAAAAAACCAAGACAAATTTTCAATTTACTTCTTAACTTTTCATATAGGTACTTAAACTGAAATCATTCTCATTTTCTCACGTTATCAAATTTCCTCTACCGAATGTTAACAAAATGTAGTTTATACCTTCTGATTGTATCCTAGTGGCAACATGCTCTCGCCAAAAATCTGAGTCAGGATCGCTTCTCAAGACAATCAGTTCTCTTTCACGCTTTCTCAAAGAACCAAAATGAGGTAATTCCATAATGATAGGCTTCAGGAACTGCAATCCTTGCGGAGCTACTTCGACCACGCGGCTGACTAGTCCTTCGTTTATATATAGTTTAGGCATTGGCACCTTCTGGCTGCTTCTAAAGAAAGATTATAAACTCCCAAGTCAATGTGTTTGTTTAACATAAACATTCGACATCGACATTAGTTTTAACGTTAAATAGGTATGGAATTAGGGGGCATGGCCCAAAATAAACCTTGATAATTTTGGTCTTATCTGCATTCATAAAGTGTGTTAATATACCATCTATGGCTTCTATTTATGACTCCCCCCCCCCCCCCCCATCCAACAAGTTGTCTGACGAGACTGAGATATGACAAAGTAGTAAATATTTGTCATCATGCTAGCTAACCAAAAACATGATACATTTCAAGCATTAACACTTTCACGTTTAGCTTGAAAGAAGGAAAATGTATGACTTTGTATCGAAAAGTCTCGATAAGAGTGTATTCTCATTCCAGTTTGACTTAACGGCTTTGCAAATAGCCTAGTGAGTTCACAATGAGCACGATTTGCGAGAAAGGAAATTAAGATAACAAATCATTAAGTCTTGAAGACAAACTTACCGTAACAATTTGCACATTATACGTGTAGGCATCTCGCAAGCTCCCCTTGGGATAGTCACACGTATGCCTGTTTGCCTGCTTTCAAAGATACCTCCCCTTGCATCGACCAGAAAGCTGATCAGGAACCTAAAACAAGAACGATGTTTAAGTATATTTCTATGCCATAATGCACCATTCTTACAAACATAGCAACTTTTTTACTGACAACTGAAAACACATTTCTCAAGAAATAATATCGTCAAGCCAGATTAATGGAATAAATAAGCAGAAAAATGCGTTGATGTTAAATGTTGGAGGGCTATGCATCCCTAACAATTCTTTAATAACGGTGATGTATGACATTTTAGTGACAGTTTTAGCAATGGTATTAAAAACAACTTTTGGTCCTTTCCTTCCGTATTGGTCTCCCTATCCCAGATAGGATAGTTAGCGGCCAGCAGGGGCGGATATCGATCAGCCCCACCTTACTGGCCAACCCTGATACCTTCAAGGGGAAAAGACAACAGTGTGTTGAATTTTCAGCAAGAAGGTTTCATAAAATCTTATAAGGATCCTTTCAAAAACACTGAGAGAACAGTTCAGTAGCTCATAGAGATTCAACGATAACAGTAACAAGGAGGGGAGATGTGACATTTCAGAGCTTTGAGAAAAAAGAAAAATTCACCAAACTAAATAGGGCTTTAGTCCTGTCTGTCATTGGAGCTTTTACCTAACGAGTATTGATCGGTTTTCAAGAATTTGGCTTAAAATTGGAAGAACTGAAATGGACCTTTAATTTTCACACGCTATTGATTCAGGTTTGCAAATTTAAACTTATAGTTCCAAAAACACCTGGAAATGAAAATTGTCTACCAACTTTCGTACTGTTTCACAGAATCATGATTATCAATAATAGCCAAATAATAGAACTATTGATAAAAATTTTCTAAGCAAATAAAAACGAAACCATAACAGAGATGGAAAGCATGGATTACCAAGCTATTTGTAAACCAAAAATTTAGTCTATTTGTAAACCGCTCTGAACAAAGAACAAATATTGTGAAAACCAATTTAAATAAAAAATTCAATTTTTTCTAAAAATCATAAATAGTTTAGAGATATTGTCGACAATTTTTTTGACAAATTTAAATATTTCTAATACAAAAATACAAAAACTTGAGTCTCTAAAACCTATGAATAAAATAAAGATTTTTGGTAACTAAAATAAGAAAAACGAAAAACAACATCCTCCCCGGCGGGGAATTGAACCCCGGTCTCCCGCGTGACAGGCGGGGATACTCACCACTATACTACCGAGGATACATTCAAATACGGCAACTTCGGTGAAGTGATTCAATTAAAAGGTGATTTGAGCTTTGCCTAGCTTGGCCTAGCTTGGCCTGGCTTGGCTTGGCTTTTGGAGCCCAAAATTATGGAAGGATTGGTGGGAGTAACTGAGTTAAAAAATTTACTAGAATTTAATTTGTTTTTCAACTTACGTTCCTGATAACATTTGAGTTATTTTGGAAGAACTTCCAGCTCATATCATTCCTAGTCATTATTCAAAAATCTTTGAACCCCGACAGGCAAAAAAATTGGAAAATTGTCAATTTTCGAAAATATATTTTTGCTCGAAACAAATTTCTTTCCTCAAACTAAAGACAAAACAAAACTAAATAGTGGCGGGCACATGGGGGCGGGAAGGGGGCAGTCCCCAATATTTTTGAAGACAACGGAATGTTCTAAGACAATTGACAAATGTGACGTCATCTTATCAAAACAATAGGCTAGCCCCCTCACCCCAAATATCTGAACAAGTGACCCCACTCCTAAAGACTAGCTGCCATTGTAAACTTTTCACTTACCCTCCGACAATTGTTGGCTCCATTTCCATTATACTCTCAGGCCTATCTTCAGACTCTGATGATATCAAAATCTCTGGGGCTAAGGGTGCCTCAAATGTTGGTGAGAGGGTCTCTGTTGTTTGCTCGGGCGATTCGCTGACGCTGAAAAGGTTTTCCTCGTATTCTGCCGTTCGGTAGGACGCGACTGATTCGTTTCCAGCATCAATGAGACTCGACTCGCTCAAGCCAAGAAATGATTCCTCGAAATCTTCGTTGACTATTAATCGGTCTTTTGAAGCTGGGAGAAAAGAAGGACGTTGTCTGAAAAGTATTTAGCTAAGAAAATGCAATAATCTTTTGGTGGTACAAAACTTGTAAATGGCTTTGAAAAAAGCAAACATTTAGTAAACTAAAGCTTTTCGTCTGACACTCTTCAGAGTTTAAAACGTCAGAACATAGATCGAGAACAGAAATCAGATTGGTCAACCTTTACAGTCATGTGCTCGTGTTTCTGATTGGCCTATTTCGATCCACAACTGGGTATATATATTTCTTAGCGTAGAGTTTTCGATCTATGTTCTGACGTTTTAAACTCTGAAGAGTGTCAGACGAAAAGCTTTAGTTTACTAAATGTTTGCTTTTTTCAAAATGCAACAACCATGTCTATAAGATATAAACTAAACCCATTATTGTGCAACAGGTGGCTCAATTTAGTTTCTTATTTTAAACTGATACTGATGGTGTTGAACTGGTTTCTTATAATCAGCTTTGCTTACTTGTTGTTTTCAAAGCCATTTTGCTTATCGCTTTCTGTTGTTCCATTCCTCTTCTTTTATTCTTTCAATTTTAGCTGGTATCTTATTTCTTGAGTTTTGTCGAATCTCAGCCTGCCTTTTTTCTCACGTGGTTCTTATTTTGTTGGCAAATCTCAGTCTAATGTTGCTTAAAAGGGTTGTTCTTGATGATAAAATTATAATATCTTATCATAGTTTTCTATGATATAACTTGAGGTAATCTGACAGATGCCATGAGCAAATTCTTTATGGAAAAGAGGAAAAGGTCTGAAGCCTTTAGTGTAGTGTGGTTAAAACGTGAATCACAGTCAAAGCTTTAGATCATTTTTTGTTTTGCGTCACTATAAGCTCACCAAAAATAATAAACTTTAAAATTTATGAGAAAAACTCATATAGATACTGTTTGTGCCAGTGCTAACCGCCAATGAATAAACATTGTCAAATCAAAAGATTTTTGGCACGTTGATCCGTTGCGGCGAAAACCTAATTCATTTTAAATCTGATTTAAAAATATACTATCAATGTAATTTACTTGGGGTAATAGGGATTGGCTCAAATTTTCCCGCTCTTTTTTGGCAGGAATTAACCTTCTGTTCCCGTAAAAAATTCCAATCTATTTTAATGCAAGGTGTATAGAGAGGGGCAAAAATAGAGTCGTTTTGGATATAACTTATACCCTAAAGTATAAAATCTTTTTTCAGCTATCAACAATGGGTATAAATATTAATATAAAGGCATATCAACCCTGTTATATTTGAAGGTGCCAATGGCTCAAACTTTGCTATATTTTCCTCTTACTATGAGAGTAGTTCGCATTCAGTAATAAACTACCATTAAAGCCTCTTCCTATACGGTTTTAGCCCCCCCCCCCACTTTTTTAGACCCCCACTTTTCTCAACGCTGCGCGGTGCCTGAACTTGCGATTGAGCTTGACCTGAGAGGCGTCCTTCTGTTTGTGGTTAAACAAGACAAGGTTGACTGTCCGAAGCCGTATTATTCAATTAATGAATCTTGAGTAGTCAGAAAGGCCGAAAACAAGACGCTTAATCCAAGAAATGATATTAAAACTGAAAGAAATTCATATTTGCATCGCCCGTGAAGTTCTTAACGAAACGCAAAGAACACAATATGCGCTTCAAGGTGCTTCGATGTAAATATGACTTGAACTGACTGGGGCAAAACAAAATTAGCTTGGTTTTCGTGACAACACAACACAGGGGCTGGGTATGGGGGGGGGGGGTCGGACTTTTTTAGGAGATTTTCAAAGCCTTTATAAGGACAAAGTCAATGATGAACGTCCCAAAGAGAACATATAGGGTTGGGGAATGTTTTCAGAAGAAGGGGGCTGGGGGTTATATTTGATCTGTGTAACTTTACAAAGGATAATTCTGTTGAGGCACACTTATACCCTCTTTAAGTAGGAGGTTCTGCCAAGGTCTAGATGACAATTAACGACCCTTTGTAAATGATACTTTGTGAAAGGCAATTTGTGAAGACGAAGTAGATATAGCTTAGGTAAGTTGAGAAACCCGGGCCAACATGTAAACGTATACGATCATGAAAAACAACATTTGAAAACGAACAACATGGACAGTGCACATGCTCTGTGTGAAATTTGTTTTATGAAAACACACATAATAAAGTGCAGCTGTTTCTTGAATCAGCAAATTGAAACACATAAACAAATTATCTTCCCACGTTGCAAGGCTACCGTGAAAAAATCTTACCTTCGATGTAAGATTCATCAGCTGCCTCGATCAACTGTGTTTCTTCAAGCTCCTCTGGAGAACTGCAGCTCAGCTTTACGTCTTCGTTTAACTAAGGCAGAAAAACATGAATTACACAAAGTACGGCTGAGGCCTCGGTCGAACCTCCTGGCCACCAACATCACAAGCCACGAATACCTGGGATTTCAAGAATCTAACAGAGCAACTGTTTCTCGAAGCCAATGCTCTATAGTGAAACTATGAGAACAACCAAGAAGATAAACGAAAAATAAATATATTCCGACAAAAACCCAGCATGTTATCTGCTCCAGTAAGGAGCTTGCCGGGATGCACCAACCCTAGTTCTGATCAGAGCCCTTCAACGAGTCACCGGCGTCTGCTTTTAGTAAGGCATTTAAAACATTTGTCCTTTATTTACATTTATCCAAACTAAGCTGCAAACAACCCTCACGATGTCGATATGAATTCATTCACGACACTTAGTTTCACAAAAGGCGTGGTTCTATGCTTTTAGTTAAATATTGTTAATTATCAAACTGAAAATGCAAAAGGCACGTCAGAACAAAGTTAACGTGTTCAAAAAAATGATAATGTAAATTTTGTTGGCTTTGGGGCTCCTTTTCCCAAGAGGTTGATGAAAAAGGTCTTTATTCTTGAGATGGATCAACAAGATCACTGCAGCGTTGTTGTTATCTAAGTCAATCCTTGTTTAAAGCATAAAACAATGCTTATAAAGACTTGTTATTTTAATGCCCAAAACTTTCCTCTGTTCTGTTACTTAGGGATTAACATCAGCGATCAAAACAAATAATCGATTTCAGGGTCGACGGGTGTGGCAACAAACAAGCAGGGGCCGCCGGTTAACTCTTTGAATAAACTTATCCGCATGAGGATTTGGCTTAAGCCACGGCTAAAGGATCGGCTTTAGAACAAAATTATAGCTATACTATAATCAGATGAGCCATCAAAGAAGGGGGAAGGGACAGGGGGCTTACCCAACAAGCCCTTCAAGAAATTGACAGGGTGTGTAGTATTGCAACGAACATGCCACCACGTGAGCACAGTTACACATTATTGCAAGGGGCAGCAAAAACTTATGTGTTATTGATTTTTCCTCATTAAAACATCATGCACAATAATCGAGTTACGTTTTACATATTCAGTAACGGGAAAATCAGAAATCCCTCCGGGTTCTACATTCCTTCTTATGCATACTTCAGCAAAAAATTTATGTTTTTAAGAGTTTATTCTGTATATAGAATTTGCAATATAAGTTCAGAATAAATGGAGATTTTGAATATTTCTACAAAGAATTAGAAGGGTCATTTCATTTGACACGGCTGCAAATCCATTCCACTATGGTGCTTGTTCACAGGGAAAACTTTCTCAAAAATCCAGAAGGGTCTTTTGGCCTGGTTTTATTTGAATTGCTGACTATGTGCAAAGGGTTTATAAGAAGGAAATCTTGAATTCCACTTGATAGTGTCTACATAATCAGACGGAACAATATAAAAACAACCCATGTGATACGGGAGGTTTAAAATTTCTTGCTGTAGTAAAAGTAAGACTTAGCAAGACCATGGCATGTTTATATAAAACAGTGTTATATTAACAACACCCAAACCCGCAGGCCCTTCCACCGTTCTGGACTTTGTTCCTTTCCTGGTTATAATTTTTGATTGAAATATCAACATTCCTTCTTCCAGGAACTAATTCTGTTGCATCATAACTGGAATTGGTGTCCTTTTCCTAATTTTTTTGGAATCAATTCTTGCTCAATTTTCGCTTCAAATAACCTTTTTGTACAACCTGACTTCGTTATCAAAAGCTGTCAGGACGTTTCGTCATACATTTCTTCCATTGAATAACTATTATCTTTTCATTATTTGGAAAATCAGATGATAATTTTCATGATAATTTAATTACTTAGTCAAAGATGTGAATAAAATGTTCCAGTTGAAATAATAAAGGTTTATTCGCGAAACATTTTGTATGATATCATCTAACTAAAATTCAGCTACTAATTTTAGTTGATGAGATATGGGTGTGGTCCGTTGAATCACCGTTGGACGATGGGTTCAGAAGCCTTAAGCTTTTGTATTTTAAGGGTAAGAGAAAAAAATCAATGTAAACAACAAGGTGGAGCAGCAGCTCTCCAGCATTTAAGCATCAATCGCTGACCAGTACCTTAATTTCCTTGGTCTTGATAACAGCCTGCGTAACTTTGATCAGTGTCTCTACTATAACTGTCCGGCGGGTCACTTCGGCTATGTACAAGGCTGTAAAGCCATCCTGCAAAAGGCAAAGTAATGTTTTTTTGAAGTAGATTCGTGAAGGTAATAAAATCACAGCAAAAGTCGATCTTTTGCAAATGCCGAACTTCATAACACGTTAATGCAACCTTTAGGTGTTCTGTGGCTGTTAAAGAGTTACATATGCCTTTTAAAGACACCTTCGAGACTATATCACAGTCTCATCAGCGCAAAATGCAACCTTTGCTTGAAATGTGTTATGGGTGGATATTAAGTGGGGCGTTAGTGATCGCGATACAAAAATCAACTGCCATGTTGGAAAACTGCGATTTTTGCAATAGTATACTATGGAGAAAAAAGCATGGGCACACATTGGTTGCCGGGAAAACCTAGAAATGAATATTGACTTTGCAAAGCCCTTTGGAAAGCTTTTTTGAATAGCAACAAAATAGTTACAAATAAATTCCTCAAGGATTTACAAAAATTATTGACAGTTTATCCGCTTATCTTTGATTTCGAATACAGCGTCAAGTTTACTGTCACGAGACACTTGCTTACCTAAATGGATCACAGAATTTATAAATGACCTGCAGCTGATCTCACATTCCTTCAGAATCCAAAGGCTTTTAAAATCCCACAATTTATGATCTCAATGTTGCTAAAACCTTCTTCTCTGTTTTAGCAGCATGCAAAGAATGCACACGTTAAAAAAATTTACATTATCATGTAATTTGGAATATCAACAAAAGGAAGGCAGGTCAAATATACGCTAAAGTATCGATTGGTCTGAAGGCTCGTAGGAAAACTAAATTAAAATTACGTGTTATCTGATAGTCATTATCAAATGATATTTGCCTAACCGCGCAATGAAACCGAGTCTTGCCACAGTGGTTGCCAGGTTGTAATGGTTGTACAGAACAGTTGGATACACCTTTCTATCACGATCAATCAAATACCAGTCTTGACGCCTTCCCAGTCTGCATAAATGCGGTGTCGGCAAGACTGTGGTTATAGTAACACCTGATGTTGCTTGAAAATTTGTAAAATCGTATTGCTTATCTGGGTCTAAATATTTATGTGACTGTGACTGGTAGTGCGACTTTAAGTGGAGTTACTATAAGTAGAGTCGACTATACATATAAAAATTTACACGCGCCACAGAATGGCCTAGTTCTAGTGACATCCATTGTGCTATAGATAAAATTCCCGTGCTAAAGCAGGATAATACGTGTACTGAACCACTTTTCAGTTGACTACCGAAAATATCCACAATATATCGTACGGTATTCATTGTCGGATTATGAATTAACGAAATGCATCGTACAAAGTGTCTTGGGAAAAGAACTGTTTTTGAAGTTTGGCATCTGACACCCGAAATAATTTGTTTGGAGTTATGACTGTAAATGTGTTAAAATGGGTGTGCCGCTGACCGCAAATAAAATTCAAAAATATTTTTCACTCTAAAATATTTAAAGGATAAATCCAGGTTAAACAGTAAGGAATTTTTAAAAAATCGCGTGTATACGTGAAGTGCATATTTTATTGCACGTTGCACACCCAGGAATGCACGCCCGAGATCTCGGAGAATGGTGTACCACTCGCCAATTGGGGGGAAGAGAGGCAAGCGAAGCAGGATGATCAGAACTCGCGGAAATGGCAATTCTGGCAAGGGAAAATGGATGCGGATATGACAAGTGCAGAGCGAGACTCTAGCGATCGAGGATTCGCTTATGCTATGTCCCTCGCGTATATGACAATTAGTTGATCAAATCGCTTGTAAAGATTCTCTAGATCTGTATCTTACCTTATTCAAAGTATTGGCTGGTGCGTTGTATTTCAGCAAAATCTCTATGGTGCTCGAGTGTCCCGTCAACGCAGCAATATGAAGTGGAGTGTTCGCTTGCTGGAAGAAAATTACAACATCAATTTTTTGCCCAAGCTTCTTTCAGGCATACTAATGACCATACGACAAATGACACTAGTTATCACACTAATTGCTACGTTGCACGCAGATTTCCCGCGGATAATTTGTTGAGCAGAAGTGGCATAGGCATTTTTGGCAACAATTCATGCAGTTATGCCAATTCATCCAGCTAAACAAAAATATGTAATGAATATGAAATGAACACTTAATTCCCCATAATAGGCCATTCTGAAAAAAATATGGTATCTTGTGATCTTCATTTGTAATATGTGGCATCACAAAATAGAAATAGGCAAAATCATAATAATGTTTTATTTTGCACACTTTTAAAATACATACACAAATCTAAAGTCATCTATATCTTATAAGAAGTTAAATGAGCTAATGAACTCTATGAGCCAATATCCTAATGTGCTTGATGTTGCTAAGCCTAGACTCCCATTACATATTAACAGTACAGAAAAACCCGAACACTGATTTAACACCAATAAAAAACGAACCTTGGTTTTTGCTTCAACATTTGCACCTTCTTCAAGCAATAATTTGACGATTTCATCATTCCCGTAAAAACAAGCATAGTGCAATGGTGTGTATCCATTCTAAAATAACAACAAAATACCATTTTAACCAAAACTTTGACCTACACGTTCACCACGGTTTGTACGACAACTACCCATATTGAACTTTTAATCAATTTCTTCAAATATTTTCCCTTATCTTGCTGATTATTGAAATACCAACTATAATTTATCAAGGTTTGCCTGCCAGTAATACCGAGCTTATTTTTGGGAAAGTTAAGTTTCTAAAAGTTCCAAAAAGTTCCACATATCTACCAAACCTTGAACCCCAAATCTCTATTCTACAACCCCTTCCAATCGATTTAACCTTGGCAAGCTACTTAGCCCCAAAATATTTAGTCTTACTAGTACTTGTGCTTACTAATACTTAGTAGTACTTGGCCACTTAGTCTCTAAAGACAGACCTAGATGCCTTAGATGCAATGGACTGATTTGCCGAAATTAATTTCTAATTCAGGCTGGCAAAAATTTCACAATTAACTCAAATTTCACTACAGAATACAAGAAAAAAATTGCTCAAAAATCGTTTTCCAAAAGAACGAGATCTGTTTACAAATTTTTTGCGATAATCAACTACTATTCATGAGAAATGAAGTAAAATTTTACCGGCGTTTGTGCGTTGATAGGAGCGGCATATTTGACGAGTTTCTTTGCTACGCGTAATTGGTTGTATCTTGCAGCTAAATGAAGGGGAGTTAGGCCATTCTGCAAAATATATTTCGCAATAAGAAGTTGCGTAAATACAAAAACAAATATCAGGTCATGCAATATTAACACACTTCTCAAAAAGCTCTATATGAACTGTATACAAGACCTAGCTTGAAGACAGGCTCCGGAACAACAAAAGGCAGAGTGATATAAAAGTACTACAATTCTTGGGGTAGCTATCGAAAATCTTTAATTCTTAAGACATTGCTTATAAGCTCTAATAAGGCGAGTAAAATTTTAGACCATAGAACGAGAGAGCAGCATTTTCTATAGACTGCAAGATGAAATAAAGACATGTTCCAAAACTGGTATCTTAACGAGTACAGCATTACAGTATGCATCTTTGGTAAATCGAAGGTGCAGCGTTATAAGTTAAAATGTGATACACTCAAAAATCCTTTATCAAAAACTCCTATGTGAACATTAAAATCACAAAATTTCAGTTGTCAAAATTTCACAGGACAAAATGACAGCGTGGCACTGAATAGCCCCATCTGATAAACTAAGCAATTAGGACCTAACTAAAATGGTATAAAATCACGAGTTAGAACCAAGGAACTTAGCATCATAATATTACGGAATGTTTTTGACACCAGGAAAAGCAATTGAGGACGCACCCTTGTTTGGATGCCAGGGGAGGCGCCGTTTTCTAGAAGGGCATCAGCGATCATGAAGCATCCCTCCTTCGCAGCAAGATGCAATGCACTTATCCCAGTCTGCAAAATACAGCACATGCACATAGAATAAAGGAGAGATAAGGTGTATTTCACTACTGAAATTATGCCTACGATTGTATTTTCATATGAACAATACAATCACATGCAATGGCGTATCTTTAAAATTGCAATTTGACATGTTTTAGAAATGCTGTTATGATGTGGAAGGAATGAAATGGAAAGGTTAAATTGTGCAAAATTATAAATGAGATATTTTCATAAACGTTTCAAAAGTAGCAAGAATTGAAGAAAAAAATCTAGAGAGATGGATGTTTTTGAAGTGATGAAGCCCTAACTGATTTGAAACGTTAAGTTGAAAACACGGCAATCTTGTCAAGTGAAAAACGAATAAAGATATAAACAATGTTTCAAACTCAGTTTTGAAGTGTATAATGAATAAGGAAGCTTACTTTGGTAGTTGTATCAGCATCAACGCCCTTTGAGAGCAAATGATGGGCTAAGTCGAGGGCATTGTTCTTCGATACAATGTGCAACGGGGTAAATCCATTCTGTGAAAGAAAGGTTTCAGACGCAATGCCCAACAATAATTTTTCAATCAAATTTCTACATCGAGCGACAAAAACTTGACTTTGCTGGATCCTAATCTAGCAATAATATGCTAAATTATTACATCTGAATACCAGAGATGGGGCAGACGATGTAAAGTTTTAATTTGTCGGGGTAGAAACCAAAGGAAAATGAAGATATGAAAACGATAGGGTTAAAATATATACGAATACAGCGTTGGGTTTTAAAATTCATTGAATATCATACCTTTGCAGTTGCTTGAAGATCAGCCTGGTTATCCATTAAGAAAACAGAAACTTCCACATGACGATAATGGCATCCGAAATGAAGCGGTCGCAAGTTATTCTAAAAGAAACTTCAATAGTTTAAAAAATATCACAAGCAAGTATGAAGGTATTTTCCTGTAGCATTTTCTAGAATCTTTCCCTAGGACCCTTTTCGAGAATCTTTTTTTAGGGATTTTCTCTCAAAATTTTCTGAGTATTATTCTTTCTATATAACATTTTTGGTAGGCTCTTTTGTGAATTTCTTAGGTTTAATTATCTTCTTTTTGAAAACCCAGGGTGAGGTGCAGGCGTATAAAAGGTCTGCTGAGATTTCACTTGCTTTTAGTATTAAGTTGGCAAGAACTTATCGGTCTTTTACACATTATTATATCTTTTGGTGATGACTACATTTCGGTAATTTTCAAGGCATTCAAAAAAGACCAAATATATCCTACAAATATGTTATAACGTTGTGTATAAATACAAAATATATAAAAATGTGGTTCAAAACACCCCCAAATTAAGCCCATCGAGCAGTATAAGTCACTGCATCAGACAATAGCAGGCCATAAAGGTAAGATAGGGAAGTTGTTAGCAGACTTGATCTAAACTTTGAGCTTTTGTCCAATGGGGCCCTTCAGGAAGTGACCTATTAATATATCTACTCAAAAGGCTGGCGTTTTACAGATAGGAAAGTTCGTAAGAGGGGCAAAAAATTTACATTTTCTGACAAAAATCTGATAAGCATTGAAAGTTTTCATGAATCAGAACTACGTTAGAAAATGAGAATGAAATAAAGCAGAATATAAAGTTTTATCATTTATTCCAAGTAAAGTGTCAAAAATCACACTTCTTGAAGATTTATCTGGTCTGCTTAGCTAATAAATATTTCTAAGTACCGTTCCTTATTGAAAAAGAATGCAAATCTGATTAAGAACAACAGAAATTCAGCTTTCAAATCTTTTCTTTCAAGATGTAATACTAAGATGAAAAATGATAACAAATTGTATTTCCAACAAGATCAAAAATTTTCCGACAATATATCAGATTATATTTACAGGGGGGTTTCTTGCCCCCTTTGACCCCTCTCCATTTACGACATTGAAATTGTACGTATATTACTGTAGCTAGATTGCTGTCTAGCATTGTATTTCAACAGTAACTTGGTATAAATAGAAAAGACTCGCTTTTCATCGAGTCGTGCCATTTTCACATATACTTGCCAAGTATTTTTTCAAATCGAGAATTTCACGCAACCTTTCTCCAGTCTATAACTTTGATCTTGTAAAATTAATGCAAATCCCACAAACTCAATTGATTTTGTAGAAATTCTCCCAATACCCCTGCAATCATCATAAAAATATTTGGAATTACTTCAAAAATTGGAGCAAACCTTAGCTTCTGCATTTACATCCGCCTTCTTGTCAACCAACATTTTTACAATATCAAGATGGCCTCTTCGGGTTGCCTCGTGCAATGGAGTGCACTTTTGCTGCAGAAAAGGTACATATGTCAAAATTTCAACTCCAAAACAAATTAAAGAATATATTGAACCACTTTCCACATAGAGCTGAAGGAAATTGAATCTGAAGAAACAGATCTAAAGAGAATGAAAAACAGGGTTTAGCCTAATCTTTTGAAAAGTGCTTCATCTCCAAACGTAAATACAAAGAAAGCAGATTTTGATATAATCGTACATGCTGAGAAAAATCTTTGGTCAAACTATCATTGTCTTTATATAGTTCTGTTATAATTCAGCCGAATTTTCAGATTTTTTTATGTTGAGCCTATCTGTCATCGAGACGTATCCTGTACTTCGTTAGGGAATCTCAAAATAGCAACGAGTATACTACCCTAGGTACCAGGGCCACATAATTCGAGCGCAGAAATAGAAGACAGGAGCGGGAATCGGAGGAGCGTCTCTCTGATCGATGGTAGAATAGGAAAACCCACACAAAACATTTATGATCTACTAATAGCTAGAAAGAAAAACAAAATCAGGTATGGCAATTAGCAAATAGACAAGAATCCTCTTAAGCTGATTTTAAAATTCAGTTAACTTTGTGCGGTTGCTCACTCTAATTATGCAAATGTTACTAAAAGTAACAAGGCATGAGTTCTACCTGCAAGGGATGTAAAGAGTGTAGTTATCCAAAAGGCAAGAACTTACGAGTTGAAGAAAAATTCCAAGAAATTCGCTATCATCCTAAAACTCAATCTGCTTCCTTGCTGTCAAAAATCAATAAACAGAAGTAAAGTCTTACCTTATTTCGCGAATCGATCTTTGCACCATGCTCCAACAGGCATTCTACAATAGCTTCGCAGCCAAATCTTGCAGCGATGTGCAATGAAGTGGACTCATCCTACAATGAGTTACAAAACTGATAGGAAAAAAGGAAGATATACTGAGAGAAAATGTGAGCAAGTGACAGCATTGGGGTTTTTCCTGTTGCATTTAATTAGATAAAGAAAGTTATAGAACATATGATTTGAAATTCTTCACAAAACTTTAACGCAACAGGAAAAACCTTCTCAGGACCATTGGAGAAATTGGCCTTCGAGGTTTTGTCAACATTTAAATTTTAGAATCAAATTCATACAACAAAGACTTCAATTTTTGTTCATTCTGTTCATTAATGTAAAATTGTTAAATGATTGTGAATAATGCATCAATTGTAACTAACCTTATTTGTGGCATCAGGATCAGCACCATGTGCCAAAAGAAGCGAAGCAATTTCTTGAGATCCTTGTCGAGATGCAATCAACAAAGGGGTTTCGCCAGTCTACAAGGTAACGAACTGAGACTAGAGAAAATATGATCAAATACATTTACGGTGATGAGATAAAAAGTGCAGTCCATGAGGTCTTCAAGGTATATCAAGAGGTTAAAATTCGCTCTTGAGCAATTGATTCTCAATTATTTCTAGTTGTCACAGATTTGACCATAATTTGTCATTCGAAACAGTGGCGGCCTGGCCATTTTCGCCTTGAGGGGCTGGCAGCAAAATGGCGCCCTTCATAACTAACATTATTGTCTTTCTTGTCCTGAAAAGATTGATAATGCTCTTACATTTTTTAACCTTGTGTGTCAAGGATCAGAATCTATCTGTTGTAGCGTCAGTTAAATGAGGCAGTAGCAAAACAGAGGCTCATTGAGTAAGTCTAGGGGCAGGCTTGAGTAAAAGGGCATTCGCAAGATGATTCTCAGCTTCTACTAATTCCTTCGTATCTGGCATTTTAATTCGATCTTCTGTACGTATCTTGAACATTGGCTATCTTTTGGCATATAGAAATTTTTAAAAAGTTTTGAGAAATGTCGTCATTAACTAGGCACTACAACCAGAATCAAATATAAATCTATCTGATTATTAGAAATGGCCGGTTTCAAGAGCACTTAAATGGAAAGGGCACTCTGACCCCCTTGCCCATCCTATCAAAAAGCAACAGGGGCAAGGATAACAGACGGACTAATCTAGGATGAAGCAATTGAACAACCGAAAGTCTATTAATCAGGTCTCTGAAGGCCAGCAGAGCCAAAGAGACTCATTGAAATTCAAAATTTTCTCTAGAAAGGGGTGGGGCATGAGTCCCGACACCCTAAACACAGAATGTTTTCGGAGTATATCTGTGTGCCCCATGAGTGCTGAGCCTTCCACACAAAAGAATTAAACAGAAAGTTTCTTGACAATCCTATAAAAATCGATAATATTTGCGCCCATGAAAACAGTATAACTGTTTTGTCTGGATAATACAGTAAAAAAGGGCACAAAGACGTGTCCTGAAGTGAGGCAGTTCTAGGAGGTATGGGGGCATGCCCCCCAAGAAAGTGGGGTATGGGGGCATGCACCCCTATAAAAAGTCAGCTGAGGGGGGGGGGGCTGGCTGTGATGACAAGGAAGTGATGACGCCACACCACTTTACTTTTTAGAAGATTTTAATTTTGACCACATGAGCAAAAAGAGCACAGCTCAAAGTCATTCAATAAGTGTCTCTTCTATGGAACGGCATTGCACTGCTGTTAGAATGCCACACGGTCCGGAAAATTTTGTTTTTTAGGGGAAATTTCTGTCAGCTTTATGAGCACAAGGGCCACGTTTTGCTTTTTCCTTGCTCGACTAAAATATATTTCGATCAGCAACCACTTTAGTGGTACTTCAGGGATAACAGAAGCATCTTGCATGTGCATAAATGATATCTTGAAAGCCACTGAGATTTGGGGTTTGATAAAGCTCCGGTGATGTGAATTTTCCAGGGATTTCAACACGGGTAAGCGAGAAGTAAGGGCCTACCTTTGACCTTGGGTCCACCGCAGCCTCGTTTCGCAGGAGTAGCCGCGCAACATTGATTTGTTTGGTCCGACAGGCGATATGAAGGCTGGTTTCCTCTCGCTGTAGAAATTAAGATCGACAATTGAAATAATCGAGTCACGCTTCAATTTGAATATTTAACTGATAATTGAAAATGCTGATCACAAATAAGTCTCGTTACAATAAGATAACGAATATTTTGCAAACCAAAGTAACAACACTTAATCGTTATGACCTTGCAGTTGGCTTTTCTATTATGGCGAAGCAAAGACTATCACAGTACTCTCAAGAAGGGGCGGATCCAGACGGGCGCAATAGAAGCAATCCCATTTATCAGATTTTTGAGTTTATGGATATGTTTCAGCGCTAGTTCCAGCGACCCCGCAGGAGCATTGGGTTTTTGTACTCTGGTTCTATCCAACCTCACAATAGCAGTAGTGGGTTCATACACAGACCGTCTTTAAACAAATACAGGCCCAAAGCGATTTGCAAATCAGATCTACAAAACTGCGCCCAGAAAGATCACCATCTTATACATTCAAACCTATCTCATCTGACCTTGTGTAAGCCACTGAAAACAGTTTTTAGCTTGAAGGACCATTATAACGATAGAACCATTAGCCAATTAAATATCAATGGGAGGCAGAACGAAATGTAAACTTATAAAGCAATGTATCTTAATGTTGCTAAAAACGCAGATAGCATTGATTTCGATGTCACTTGAATCTCAAACTGGCTTGGCTCGTCACAATGCAAATCAGCATGGTGTTTTGCGGGAGTGTTTTTAATTAGCTTTGTTACAATTCCTGCATTAGCAAGTTTATGACCGCTTGTATTAGCAAGGTTTCTCGTATCAACTTAATTTACTACATTGTTCATGTGATATTTTGTGTATCTGTTTTCTGTAAAATCCAACAAACAAAATACAAGAAAAGACTCAATAAATTATTACTATGAATTATCAGGATTAGGCAGTGGAAAAATTGGTCTTTAAAAAGCAACTTTCTCAATGTCACTTACTATGGTTCTTTCTTCAATAAGAGTTCCGTTCTGAATCAGAATCAATACAATATTCACCATACCAAAGTAAGCAGCCAGATGAAGAGCTGTCTGTCCATGCTGGGAAATACAAGCGTACGATGAGACAAAATATTGTTAAGGCACTGTAGTGATATTGCCAAAACATATATGATTTCTAGCCTTGGAACTCTCAGCAAAACTTGATGTGGTGGCAGGGAACCGTAGCTTAACAAAAAATCGAAGAATTTTGGTTTCTACCATAAAAATTTTCATGTTTTCCATACTTCAGACTTTCCCCACCAAATGGAAGATGACTGATCCAAAGAATAAAGATATTCCTGGTAAGATATGTCTATCAGCTAATTTAGAGGCACATTATCAAGGAATCACTTTATTCTAGACTAGGCCATGATTTACAATCAATGTTTCAAAACAGTAATGTGCTTCATCTTCAGAAACATATACTAGATCTTCAGTTTTGTTGTTAGGTTCATAAAATGAAGTTTTGAAAATTGCTAGGCAAAGTTCATAAGGTAAAGTGGTGGGTTCAAAAGCAAAAAAGGACATCGATAAGAAAGGGCAATGTTCAGAAGATTAGAAGTTACTACTGACTCCACGTCCTGCTTGCTAAGATAGATGGAACAATAAACTACAAAGGTGCATTCGTTAAGGAGAGATATTCATTCTCTTACCATATTTTTTAGATGAACGTTTGCGCCATAGCGAATGAGTAACTGCACGATGTCGTCCCGGTTCTTCTTACATGCAACGTGAAGTGCCGTATAGCCATTCTGTTTGGAAAGGCAATGCATACAGCAATTATAAAAAAGCATTCGACCTCTGTACATAGGTATTCGATGGTGAGAATAACATTTTAATCTTTAAATTACACATGTTCTGAACGAATTTTTTATCATAAGGTTAACTGTCAGCCGAAATCAGTATATCTAAAAATCCACAAAAAATCCTTAATGAAGTTTTCTAACATTTTATCACGTTGTTTCAAAAGTTCTACAAAATGCATTAAATTGCATAAAAAACATAAAATGAGAATTCGGTCAAGGGCGAATGTTTTTTTAAAAAGGTATTAATATATCATGTTTCTAGTGATGTCCTCTATGAAAGATATGTTCTTTTTGAAAATAGCTTCGCATGTTGCGTTAACACATGCCTCAACATATTGACTTAATTCGACTGATTAACTCAACGAAGAGACAGAAAAATGCCTGATTCTCGAGAATCATGGATTTTAATAGCCTTACCCTTGCTTTCCTGTCCACATCTGCCCCTCGATCAAGAAGCAGCTGGGTAATATTCGAATTCCCATAATGCGCTGCCACATGAAGCGGGCTAACACCCTCCTTACGAAAAAAGTCACGCATCTTATTAAGACATCATATCAATTAACGACGAGTCAAGGATTAAAAGAAGCGGTTTTGAAACTTGCAAAGACAGGCTTCAAAGAAAGCTTAAAATGCTCGTTATGCATAAAATATTCAATTTGCACGTGTTTTAAGTACTTTAGACACAGAATATAAATGGAGCCTCTCAGATGAAAAAAATGCTGTAACATGGTCATGGAAAGGAACCCATTTTTCCAAAGAAGATACAAGAACTCTAGCACTCCAAGAAAATGTTTATATATGTAAATAAATAAAGCTTGATACTTAATCTCGAAACTTGATAATTGATAGTTGATACTTAAGAAGTCTTTTATATTTGAAAGTTTCAAAATCCACCAACAACCGGCAAAATCATAAATTATACTGGAAGTTTTATCTGACGCTTCTCCAAGTATAAAAATTGTGTAAAGACAAAAACTTGAACAAAAAATTGCATCTAAGTGCTTATAAAAATAACTAGAGAGGAACAATTTAGCATTTGATTGGCTCACAATCATTCCCCACTTAGGTCCAAAACTTTCTCACCAATCAGTCTTCACTTAACCTTCCCAAAGTTGGTTTTTGTCCGACTTTTAACACTCTGAGGAGTGTCGTACACAATAGCTAGAGACGGGATTTATTATGGGAACAATAAGAAAAAGATGTGCACTCCTAAGTTGAACTAACCGTGGTTGGTGAGTCAATGTGGCATCCGTGGCCGAGAAGAAGATTTGCACAGTTGACGTGGTTACCTTGGGCCGCCATGTGAAGAGCAGTAAGGCCATGCTGCAATATTCAAGTGATATTTTTAGACGTAAAAAACGGGATCACGCAGATAGGGACATACGAATCGCTTAGAGTTATAGCATTTCATGTACCATTTGGGTTGCCTCTCTGGAACCAAATGACAATCGCTGCTTAAATTCTCTAGTCATAGTTAACTACCAAAAAGTTATGTTGGTTCAACCCATTAACAAATGATATATCATACAAAAATACCCCCCGCAAACGAAAGGAATACTACTCGGCACTTCACAGAGAAAAAAATTACATATCTGGTCATTTACTAGTGAAACAACGATAGTACCCAAAAAAATTGACTATAAAAACGAGGGGCAAATCACTCTTGAAATTGGCGTACGAGATTAAAAATCACTAGTGATAAATTTGTGATTAAATCAATTTTGTGGGTGATTAATTTGATCTTTATTGATTAAAATGATTAATTTTTGATCAATTTATGATTAATTTGTGATTATTTAGAAATTGAATCATATTTTCAAAAGTGCTCTCAAAAATTTCATGCGCAATAAACGTCGATTGAACGCATGACGGGAAACTAATTCATAAGCTGAATTAAACAAAAATACTTCATAAATTAAATGCCAACCTATCGTGCCAGTTTAGCAATGATTTTGAAACATACTTGTTGAAATTGAAAAAGAAAAATAAGAAGTTCAGCACAGGGGCGGATCCGGAAAGATATGCAAAAGAAAAAAGGTGCAAAAGTTTAATAACATTGACAACTATAAACAGAGTTATCTTTTCTGAACAGCAGCATAAGCAAAATATTAAATCAATGTTATAGGTTTTCTTCTTCATGGATGTAGGGGTGACAATAGCCTGAAGTGAAAAACAGTGAACAGTTGTTGAACATCTTATGAAAGACATTAAGGCAAATGCACGTTTTCTGTTGTGTTGGCAATCTACTTTCGTCATAAGAATTTGAATATACATCAAGAAAGCTATCTTTCCTGAACTAGCATTAGCAACATAGATGCCCAATAGTCTGTAATGAAAAACAGTGAACAGTTGTTCAACGCCTTGTAAAAGACGTTAAGGCAAATTCATGTGCTCTGTTCTGTGGGCTGTTTACTTTCGTCATAAGAATTTGAATATACATCAAGAAAGCTATCTTTCCTGAACTAGCATTAGCAACATAGATGCCCAATAGTCTGTAATGAAAAACAGTGAACAGTTGTTCAACGCCTTGTAAAAGACGTTAAGGCAAATTCATGTGCTCTGTTCTGTGGGCTGTTTACTTTCGTCATAAGAATTTGAATATACATCAAGAAAGCTATCTTTCCTGAACTGTAGCATTAGCAAAATGGATGGAAATGGCCTTGGATGAAAAACAGTGAACAGTTGTTGAACATCTTATGAAAGACATTAAGGCAAATGCACGTTTTCTGTTGTGTTGGCAATCTACTTTCGTCATAAGAATTTGAATATACATCAAGAAAGCTATCTTTCCTGAACTGTAGCATTAGCAAAATGGATGGAAATGGCCTTGGATGAAAAACAGTGAACAGTTGTTGAACATCTTATGAAAGACGTTAAGGCAAATGCATGTGCTCTGTTGCGTGGGCCGTCTACTTTCGTCATAAGAATTTGAATATACATCAAGAAAGCTATCTTTCCTGAACTGTAGCACTAGCAACATGGATGGAAATGGCCTTGGATGAAAAACAGTGAACAGTTGTTGAACACCTTGTAAAAGACATTAAGGCAAATGCATGTGCTCTGTTGTGTGGGCCGTTTACTTTCGTCATAAGAATTTGAATATACATCAAGAAAGCCATCTTTCCTGAACTGTAGCATTAGCAACATGGATGCAAATAGTTTGGAATGAAAAACAGTGAACAGTTGTTGAACACCTTGTAAAAGACATTCAGGTAAATGCATGTACTCTGTTCTCTGCCCATCGCAAGTGATGTCGCTATTGGAAAAAGAAACTGTCATTCCTGAAACTTTAACCGATAGAAGAAATTACAAGTTCCAAAAATATGGAACTCGATTACCAAACCTTATTTGGAAGAAATACAACAATATGACATAAATCATTTCCCATAATTGTAACAGTTGTAACTGGAACTGCCGGAGCTGTCTGGATCCGCCCATGCAGCAACCAACGAGAAATGAGTGAGAAAAGACTGCTATCAGGCGTGGTTTTCAGTCAGATCAACTTCAGTAGCATTTGGGCAACAAAAACAGTAATGGTTGTTTCAGTGACCCCGGCATCATAATGAGGTCATAATTTTTGCTACATCGCAAGGTACCTAGAAAACTTGTTGTTGTTTTGTTAATGTTCGCGAGCGTGTTTCCAGATTTTCGAATCTGTTCATGCAATGTTTGAAAAAGTGTGAAAGAGAAATTGCATTTTTCAGTAACATATGCGGATGGACGTGGACAAAGATTCTAATATTTATTTTTAAGTAATTTTTATGATTAATGTTATATTTTGTGATTAATTTGATTTTTTTATCAATGTGATTATTTAGTGATTGAAATGTGATTTACTCGAGAGCGTACGTGATTCTAAGCAGCGATTTGCCCCTCGTATAAAAATATGGATAACGGAAAGAAATATCACATTTATTTAAGAAAGAAGAAGAAAATACATGTAAGTTATACTAAAGATGATAACATTCCCAAATCGATCTCTGATGAAATGGACTTAAAAATAAAAACAAACTGCGATAAAGCTAACAAAAGAAAAGCGAAAGGACATGTTTCAATCATATTTAGATTAAAAATGCTGATCTAGTTGCACCCAATAACAGAACAGGATCGTTAAGTGTTCTGTCAGCTTGCTGTGTTTTGACCTTTTTTACTATTCCAACAATCCAAATTTGTCGTTACTAAGCTTCGAATTTGGATCTCCCTGCCAGGGCGCTATTTTCCCCGTGACCCTACGACCATTGGTCATAGGGAATTACAGGAAAATTATATTTGCTCTCACAAGAAACTTTTGTATAGGCTATCACAAATAATTCAACAGCAAATAATTGCTAAAAACATCTTAAATTCTGTTTGCTAATTAAAATGATAAATCACTTCATATCTAAGTACAATCACTGGGAGATACCAAATTTAGGAAGAAATATCTAATGCTGTATTAATGAAAGATATCGATAAGGCCCAAACCTTGGTTTTTGCATTTAAACAAGCGTTGTGGACAAGAAGCAATTCAACACAATGTTCGTGACCATCCCTTGCAGCACAATGGAGTGGAGTTAGGCCATCCTGCATTTAAAGAAAGTGCTAAGCATTAGGAAACACTTTGTAATGAGAATACTGAATTGAAGGAAGGAAGGTTGACACATGAGTGAAAAAATTGGCAGAAGGGAACGTTTCTTAGTTCACTTTTACAAGAGGCTATAAAATAATCACATAACTTGCTCAATTTTCCCACATTTAAGGTTTTTAAATTAAGAGACGTCAGCAAAAAAAAGCACGGACAATATGAAAACTTGATTTATGCAGTCATTTAAGAAACACATCCTACCACTGAAATTTTGAGTGAATTCCACTCTTCTGGAGACATTTTTGAATATCCAGCTAAATATGCTAAGCTAAAAAATTCATGTAGAAAACAACTAAGATTCCCTGATGAAGATATTTTTGCTAGTAGTCGAGGAAGAAATTTAAATATGGCTCTTTTGTTCTACTATTTAACTACCCTGTTTAAAAATTAAACTAACAATTTGTTACATGCTAGCCCCGTCTTCAAAATCTGATCTCTCTGAAACAGAAACTGCTTGTTTTTTCAGAAGCCCATTAACAAAGCAGGAATAGCAAATTCATTCATTCATTGCTTTTATTTTCACTAAACGAAAAATCAAGACATTGTTTCATCCAAAAGCCCGACCAACATTGTTCGCTGGAAAGATTATTTCATAATGTTCCCCTACCGATGTGTATCGCTAGTAATTCTGCTTCTTTTGTACGCATAACTATTCACAGCAAGAGCCTGATAATCAGAAAATCAATTAAAAAATACCTTAGTCAACACATCAAGTTTTGTTCCAGCCTCGATCAGCAACGACACAACCTCTGCTTGGCCGTGTTTCGAGGCTACGTGCAACGGTGTGATATTGTGCTAGAACAAAGTAAAGCATGTGAAACACTAAGGTCGCCTCAAACACCTGTGTGCTTACGTGTCTAATGTCAAAAGGAAAACAAAAGATTATCGACGAATCATGTTATTATTACAAAAATTAACATTCTGAAATTGTAACAATACCTCAGAAATTATACTAATGAAACATTTTAGTCCAATAGACCGAGGAGTCTAAGCTTCGAAAAATGACCAAAAGGAAAACAGAAATCTAAATGTGAATTGAAAACTGTCGTTGGAGGAAAAATTGCGTAATTTATTGACGTCTTTTTTTGTCATTATCAGAATGAAAATTCCGCTTTTTCTTGCAATCTCAAAATGTTGATTCCTGAAATAATTTAACGAGAAACTTTACTTGCAGCTCGAACCAAACATATTATTTTGGTTTTCCTATTCATAAGCATTCTTATCAGTATCGTTTTCATTCTGGTGCTGCACATAAAAACGAGGTTGTTGGCCATTGTCCAAGCAAATAAAGTCTCCAGTGCGGAGACGATGTTGTTGAAAGAATTTAGAATAAATGCAAAAAGGTGGCTACCTTAGCAGCTGCATCGACATTTGCCGATGACTCAATCAGCAGCAATGCCGTGTTTATGCTGCCATATTTGGCAGCGAGGTGAAGAGGAGTATAACCATTCTGAAAGTAAAGGGGAAGTCAAAATAAGTTCTTAAGAACCAGAGAGTTAATGGAACAGATAATGCAGTCAGGACTTTTAGCAACACTCATCGAGCAATGACGACTCATAATAACAAATTTACTTCATCATGATTATCATTATTTTCGTAAAAATGCATAATTTCAGAGATTATATTAAAGCCCGTGCTGGAAATTATCAAAAAATTAACACACTTTGAGAAAAAAATTTCTAAGGCATAGAATAAACAAAAAATGATCTAGAGATAGCAAACAAATACAAAAGGATTTAAGTTAATTAGGGGAAATAGGTATCCCCATGACTCGGAAAACCCCCATTATTCGGAAAAACAGACAGAAGTTATTTCATACTTACAGGGGCTGTGATGTTTGGATCATATCCATTTGATAGAAGCAAAGCCGCGGCGTTGCACGCATCCTTCCTTGCTATGACATGCAACGCTTTGAATCCTCTCTAGGAATAAGAAAATCACTCATTGTTATTTCAGCTGTATTAATGCGTCGATCATTCTCTCAAGCAAAAATGATGTCTCCATCACTCCATCCATATGCTCCATAATAGAAAATGGGACATATTCGTCCAGTAATATCGGGGTAGATAGACAACAATTTTGCCATATCACGATCATGAGATCCCAAAGACAGTTCAAACTTGTTTTAATCTGCATTTCAATGACTGTTCCAATATACAGTTAAAAGAAAATTTCTTTCTATTGTGTTAAATTGTGTTTGATGCATTGAATGTTATTGTATTGTTTCGTAATGTTTTATATTTTGTCATAATGTAAGATAAATCAAGCGAAGTGAGAAGGCTCTAGAAGAGCTATGTCTGTAGATGTGTCTTGAGATCTTAAATATATTTTGAACCAGATTTGAAATATCTAAGGTAATATCAAGATACATCACTCCCCAACCAGAGGTCTTCCCATTCCCAAAAACCCAGTACCAGCCAAACCAGGCCTTTCATTTAGGGCACAAACAGGTGTGAAAATCGAAACATGGGAATGCGCTAAAGGAATATCGTTCACACTTGTGTAAGAAATCCAGTTCTCCCTTCTTACATCTTCTTGATGTTTTGCCCAAGGACCTCGAGGTCAAGGAGGGCCTCTTAAAGTAATGAATTCAATTTTAGAATTGAATTAAAAAAACGTAGCAAAAATATGCCTAAAAATAGTAAAACGTTTAATGTGATTGCAAGAAATTGGCTACAAGAAATGTTCTAAAAAGCATTATAAGCTAATCCAGAGGGCATGGTCCCAAAAAGGGGGCCTCGTCTTCCGCTTTGTCCCAGAGCCTCCGGAACCTCTTGACGGCTCTACACGTTGGGCAAACCTACACAGGTTCCTTTCCTGTAAACAACTTTTTAAAAAAACAATGGATACTTGGCCTAAGAACCCCACCAGTGGTGGGGCAATACAATTGTTTTTATTATTGGTGTTGGGACGCTTTGGCATGCTGGGACCATTTGTTAAAAGTTATTTAATCAAATTGTTGTTTTTTAGATGTCAAAATGTACTTTTTTTAACTTTTTAGATGCGACCTGGGATAGCTGAGCCTACTAGAGAAAATCTTTTCAGGAGTTCGAGCTCCAAGCCCCCATTAAGCTGACATTTAGTTGATTTTTTTAATTGTTAATTTAAACATTTTGTTGTCAATCTTGCTATTCAAATTACTCTTTTCTGTCAATTTTACTCAGATTTGCGTACATTAAGCACTTTTCCAGATCGGTAATGACAAGTGACTAACTTAGGCGACCTGCGAAGGAGCTCGTGTCACAACACAGACATAGCGGTGTCATATGATAGGGTCGTAGCCATGTGACCATAACAAAGTCGCATCTCAGAGGAACTCGGAAGTTTGTCACTCCAACTGCCAAGGGTAAGACAGAAATGCAATTACAATGTATTTTTATTTCATTAGTTTGCTACTAGTCTCAGCACGGGGAGGTTTGCTAGCAACCTTTGCTTTGGAAGATGGATTTGACAAAAAAGTAAAAGCCACGGCCGTTTTAGGCCACTTTCCTCCTTACACAAGAAAAGATGTGATTTATTCGAACGATACATGTCTTCCAGCGGGCAACGAGAAATATAGAAGTTGTGCATGCACTGTTACGCGGACAAATGAAGTTATTAATTTAAATGGGATATTGAAAAACACTAACTGTACAGCTGTACCAGGGGGCTGCAAGGTCCCAAGATTTGTGGTTGAAGGAACAGACAAATGGGAATATGCTTACCATCCTTGTTTTCCTTTTAATATTTTCTTAAATGATAGTCACATACATGCTGGGGATCGAGCTTGTAAACAAGTGGCAGCTGCCCGTTATACGACAGAATCTGCTCATGTATGTGATAGTCTTGGTACACAAAGCAGTTTCCAATTTTCTACACAAAGCAAAAGCAACTATGTTGTGTCTAACTTGGGACTGAAGTTTACATCAGCAAAATTCTCAGCTTTCGTGTCGTTGGTTTGTAATTTGAGCGTGGCTGCCAATGAGTCACGTTTTGGTTTTCTTGGAATTGATAATCATCAACAGCCTACTTACTTCATGTCACTTGAGAGCAGTTGTTGCTGCCCTGGTGGGTGCAATGTGACGTTTACAATGAACCCTGAAAATGGAAAACCCTCAAAGGGATTTTGGGCCATAATCGGTATAGTTATAGGAATAGTGGTTGTTTTGATTATAACACTGATTGTAATAAAGGTGCGTGGCAAGAGAAGGAAAGACCCGGAAAGAGAAAGGCTAATTGAACCTGTAGCATGAGTGTTACTTGGTTTCCACCCAGACATCTTCAAGATCTTGACTCATTGCGTAAAGAAAGTTTGCAATTATTGAATCAAGGATATATTATAAACCAAAGCAAAGAAACCTTGATTCTCTTGAAACTGAGATACCAGAAATGATAAAAAATGTTATTAAATAAATATACCATTTGGTGTAAACAAAGAATGACCTCTATAGCTCTTTTCTATATAATTCTGGGCTTGTTTGTTAAATAGATATATTTTTATAAAATAGAATGATTTTTACAGTAGATATTTTCACGATTACTTTCAAGATAATAATTGTTTGTTTTGATTATTTGTGATTATATGAGTAAGGTAGACAAATAAGTTCATAAATAGTTAAAAGTCTCACAACACAAATGAGATTATGCTAACTTTCGAAAATCAAGTTGAAAAAATCAAGTGTCTCTTGAAAACACCCTCTGTTTCTAAAAGTCCTTTTGTTTTGTAAAAATCTGAAGGTCCTCTTTATCAGTGACACAGTTCTTGACTTCCACCCTTTACAATGTGATTGAAACAATTATGAATTACCATACTTTGGTGGGATACATTTTTTCTTTTTCTTGATGCCCTTGGTCCAGGCAGTGGCAGTGCTAGCCACTGATTTCTGAGGGGGCTGGAGGGGGGCTTAAGGGAGGGAAACAAATAACAAGTGTTTAGGTCACACCCTTTATACTGCCACAAAACGCCTTTTACCAAAAAGGAACACAGATTTTACATGATAGGAATGCCTATCATGTAACTTTCGACTATGAACTTTCGGTTACATAAATCATAGGATTACATCAGGAAAAGTATGTTGCCTAAATATTTCTCCTCTCCGAAAATTTTCTAATTGAATTAAGATAAAATACAAAATTGATCCTGTCCAATATTGGACATCCCCCCAGTACTTTTAAAGTATAACTGCATACAAATACAAGAAAACACAGCAGCATTAAAATCACTGTAGAGATATTGAACTTTCTTAGTAAGATAAAAACTCAAACATTGAATAAGTAGGTAGCATTTATATAAATAAAAAGCCCAAGAGAATATCAATCCAACAAGAATCCTATAGAAAATGAGGATTGTATAAACTATTGGCCTAGTTGTTTATGAAGCATATTTCACTTAGAGGCATGACATATGTCAAGCAGGTGGCATGTAAAAGGTAGGGCCCCATTGTTGCTAAAGATGCATGTTTTCGCAGCAGTCAGTACAGTAGTGTAACAACAAGATAGGAAGCCAGGGCAAACCCCAGAGGCATTAAGACCAAAAACTAACAAAATTTCAAAACAAGCAATGAACAGTTACCTTCTTCATAGGCATGAACACTAAACAAAAACTTTACTAATTTTCAGAAAGATTACAGATATTTTTGGAAAGAATCTAGTATTTATTAAAAATTTGGAGCTCTAGTGCCTCGGCAGAAAATTTGATGGAAACTTCTCTGCTCTTAGTAAGAGCTTTTTTGAAACTATGTAGACTTTTCAATTATTCTTTCCACGCAAGATTTTTTAGAATATTTATAACTTTAATGTTGTGCAAAATACCTCAGTTTTCTTTGCATGAAATCTTCGACTTCCGATTCAGATTAAGGACCAGAATTTTAGTGTAGACGCAAGTTTCAGGCGCTCGTGACATTGATTTTATAAGGGCAATTTAAAAACGTTCCAAGGGATTTGAGCGTGATTAGCGACGGAGGGTAAGGATTTTTGCTGTCATATCCTTTATAAATATCCAACTTTATATCGTCAAAAATCTACAATATAAGCAAAAATAATTTGAAAAGTCGAATAGGGACTAAAGAATTGCGGTAAGTCCTAATCTGCGCTTAAAATATCTTACAATGAAGTCTTGATTGATTTCAAAACGAGACCGTAGATTAAATTGGTATATTTTTGTAAGCTGATGAGCAATTTCGGGGATAAGTTTTCACGCAGTGGCGTACCCAAGGGGGGGAATAGGGGGGTCCGGACCCCCCCCCCCCCCTTTTCTAAAATATGATCCTCGAGATTTGTCCAAAAACGATGTAAAACTCATGGGGGGGGGGGTAGTTTACTGTATGCTTGTGTCAATAACAATTGTGAAATACTTTGCTATTTACCGTAGCTAACATTAATCAGATAATGGGGTTAAATTTTGCAAAAAGGGCGTTCCCCCGCATTTGCGAGTGTCTGAAGGGCGTGGTCCAACATATTTTCTGGGGGCTGCGCCCCAGACCCCCCACTGCTGCAGCCCTGGGTACGCCACTGTTTTCACGGATCGGGGACTGAAACCAGTGTTGACTGTAACCTGGGATCGACTTTATCGGTATGAGATCTATCTATTTGAATGCCTATTTTCCCATAAATCCTTTACTCACCTAAATAACCTCTAAAATTTCAAATCAAATTTTTTTAGTGACGAACAATTGAACGGTCCATCACTGCAATCAGTCGTCAAAAAGGAGCTGCACCTGGTCTTATATGACAGGTCCCAAACTCAACTTTGGTCTTGATCACGCGCTGCGAACAAATGTTGAAATCGCTTTGGTCGCAATGAACATATCCTAGTTCGCGCGAACAAGCAGGTTACAATGTAACAATAAAGTAGTACGAAACAAGCAAAGGCTGTTGCACAGCAACGGTCGTATGGATACGGGGAATTAGCGGTCAGTCAAAGCAACTGCAACAGATAGAATCATGATAGTAGTACGCAGAGACAGACGTCATAAAAGGGCCTAGGCAAAACACTGCTGGTAGATTCCATAGTCACGAGTCTGTATGCAAGATGCAAAACACATTGTCACAAGGTATTTTAAATTAATTTAAAACCAAAAAATCTACCGGCTGTGTTTTATTTTTTCTTTAATACCAACATATTATTGTTATAAATTCTATATGGGTATGCAGAAGAAATCGAAGACGAAACGAAGGCTTTCATATCTGACCTAGCCGGCTTTTCCCTTTTTAAGGATAACTTCATTTAAGCCGAAATTTCGTGTACCTGCAGAATAGGAAGTTAAGATTCTCAAAATATACGGTTCATATGATCAACAGGATCGCATCAGTGTAGTTTACTTTTAGTCTTTGTTGTGTTGGCATATTTTAAGTTTTATAAGTCGACTGTTTGTCAGCCAACTTGAAATAATTATTTGTTATTATCAGTATAGAAACAGGTGAATGACGATTCCAAAGCCAAATTAACAATGTTCTCTGTCCAAATTAATTAAGTCTCTGTCAAAGTACTGGTAAGCAGTACATGATTTCCAAAGACATAATCAGGATGGGAAAAAAGTGTTGAAAATATGTTCCATTGCTGCGAAGTAGTGACTGTTGTCATAAAATTTTGAATTAAATTTTTGAATTATCTATCCCTCTCATTGCATTTACTTTTAGATGGCTTGGTCAGTTGCCATTAAAACCGCGAAACAAAAGGTTTTCAGCGACCAAATTACGCGGCTGTTGTTTTCAAGCATTAGAGAAAACATGTCGAGTTGCCCTCATGCTAGAAATTTTCACTGGGTTCCAGTCCCAACAGCAAAAGCCAGTCATTTGCATGGACAGGAGCAAGATGATTTCCAACATCTAATGCTCGAGTTCACAGATCCACAGCCAGGCGGTGTGAAAGTGGGGCAGGCTGCCAAAATCCTGGATAATGTTTGCTCACCAGAGAGACTAGTAGAAGGGATCAACAAGCTTACTTCTGGGCATTCATCTGTAGGAATACTTTTTAATAATTTCGATGGAGACGTCATCGGAAACTGGGGTAGAGAGGGTGCAGCTCAAGCATGGAAAGCGTACCTCAAAGGGTTTGGCAATCTCTACTGCGACTCTCGAAACGAGGGTCGGATAGCTAAAGGACGGCTAAATGGGGAACGCATTGTTTTCGTTGGGATGCTCGATACAGATGACTTGCAACAAAAAGCATTGGCACTGGCCGCAGAAAAACGAGAAGTTGAGGCGAGCAAAAAGTTAAGCGCGCTTGTAACGGAGCATTCTTTGAGGCTTACAAACCTCGTTAAAGAAATTAGTCGCACGTCGTTAGAATGTCTGTTTGTTCTTAGTGGTGGAGACAATGCGGTTTACGCATGCGCTAAAGCAGTTAAGGCTCAAGACAACGACGTCTTATTGTTACGACTTGACAGACATATGGACGAGCGCGACTTGTCACTCAGATCAGATCCACAAAAAGCGTCGACAGAACTACATCCCCACAGTGGTAACGGCGTAACACATGCGAAGTTGGAGCGGTTGATTAAGTATGACTTTCTCATCGGCTGTGATTATGAACATAATAATGATCAGTGCATTCGTAATTCACAAAGATTTAGCCAGACCTGTCTAACGTCTGTAATCACTATGGAGGAGATGCGCTTTGACCCAAAAAACTTTATCGATGGTGTTATCACGGAAATCAAGGAAATCATGAAAGAGAATAGTCACGTGGATGTTATTGTTAACATTGACTGCGATACGCTTAATGGCATTCCTTCAAGCGCTGAGACATTTACAGGTGGACTGGATCCGATGTGGGGATGTTATCTCCTCAAAGTGCTTTCGCGGCTCCCTAGGCTGCCAAAAATCATTCGCATAGCAGAATTGCATTATTGTGGAGACGAACAGAGACAACGGATTGCTATCGATTTTGCTGCTGAAATTGTTAAGTCGGGCGTAAAAGCAATTCAAGAAATTATTCATTCTAAGTAGTTCGAATGAACCACTGTGCAGTGTCAATACGCTTGAACCATTGTATATAGCACATAGGTCTCAATCCCAACAAAAAGTACAGGGTATTTCGCTGAACATTTGCAAAAGAAAATTAAAGGGACCTTTTCATAAATTGAAACTCTTAACTTTGACAACAATTTTGCTTAGCTCGGACAAGCAATAGCTCTTCGTATGAATTCAACAATTTTAGACACTTCACACTTCTAAATAATCGTCTTAAAAACATTGAGCCATGATAAATAGCCATCTTCTGCAGGAGTCATTTGCTTTAGGTATGCTCACTGTGGTTTCGTATGAATTTTGCACCCATTTTTTACAAACGTTGAAAGTTGGCCGTCTTAAAATCAATAAGAGGTAACTTCAAGAGACCAGTCTCAGGTCCAACAATAGTGATTCAGCATGAAAATCATTTGACTCAGCGTTCGCCAAGATCAACCTTTTCTTTTATCATCACTCGATGCCTTTAAAAAGAAAGTCTTTCAAGAAAAGTAAAAAGAGGTAGAAACAATTGCAAAATGCCTCTTGTAAAACTTGTCCCAAAGTTTTAACGTATTCCCATCTTTTTAGGTTCCGGAATCTAATCCTCAATGCTCTTTCGACTGCTTGCAGCGTTTTTCCCTACCCCATTTGTGTTTAATCGAACAAGAAACTTTTTGAGCGTGTAGAGGAATAACTTCTTACCTTTGAACCTTGCTCCATCAAGAAGGCTGTCATTTCTGAGTGTCGTTGTTGTATTGCAACATCAACTGGTTCAAAACCTCCCTAAAAAGTAATTGTTCTAAGTATATATGCTTTTGACCTAAAGAGAGCTAGGGTATATCTGTCAACCGACTGTATAGATATCTTAACAAAGAAGTAAATTCCCTAAGAAAGTTTTCTGATGCGGCTTTGCCACATAACATACAAATATGACAATGTGTGACATTCCTTTAAAAAAGAAATATTTTCGAACTTATTCAAGTCATTTGATGAATAACTCTGTTTTTGGTGTTATTGTTCTGTCTCTTATTTGTTGCTTTACATAATTACTGCCGATATAATTACTTTCTTTATTGCTGATATAATTAGTCGTTTGAACATCTAACACTTAACAGGGATGCAAGCTTATTACTACGAGGCATAGGCCTAATTTTGACACCTGAAGGAGGCTTGATACGTACACTTGCCGCGAGGTGCGCGTCAGCACCATGAGCGAGGAGTTCCTTGGCAACATCAATGTGATTCTCTTGCGCAGCCATGTATAAAGGTGTCATTCCATTCTAAGATGAAGCGATTGACATTATAATCCTTAAAAATACCAACAAATTACGTTATTCACAAGATTGATTTCAAAACCATATCTGCAGCAACCGATAAAAATTTCAAAGATTCTCCAAGCTATTAAAAGCCATTATGAGCTTCTTCAAGAGAAGTTGATACAGAAATCGCAGTCGAATAAAAGGTGCTATATATAATTTCTAAATGAAAATAGACCACAGTCTTGCTTTCAAACAACCAAACGATGCTTCTTCCCCAATTATTCCCAAGATTTAACTCTACCGACTTTAATTTACACGATTAAATGGTAAAAAGAATTTGTTTGTTTAGAATTATAAACAAGCTCCATCTCCACATTTTATTAAAGGTATCATCGAGACTCTACTGTAAATAAATAGCGTTACGAACTTCATAGGAGTAGTAAAAGTTATATTCTTTTTGCTATGCCTAACCGTGTCCTCTAGAAACATTCTAAAAAATTTTCTTATTCAAAGGGAAGATGCACTGATGTTTCACTGATACCATCCACCTTTTAAAAGGCATGGAAAATTAATTTCCTTTGTAATGAGAAGATCAAATTGTTGAGATGTTCAAATTGCGCATATTTACAAAAAAAGATTATAAAGTTTTCAAAATACACAGTTCGTTCGCAGTGTCAGAACTCAGTCAAGAATGGATAATTGACAGTGATTGATATCCACCCATACGTCTAGCTATCAGAAAGAATTTAATTTGAAGTAAAGAAAAGTCCGAATTTGAACCAAGACATGGTATGGACAAGGCAGGATTATCTGAATGGCTTTCAGCCTGAGAACTATAATATTTTTCCAATTGAAAAGCCACGTACAACAGTATGCATGCTGCAAGCGCGACTCAATATTCTGAGATAATAAGAAATCAACAATACTTATTAATTTTTGCGTCAAAATCCTTTAAAACAACACAAATCATAACATGTTTTCACAAGGATGCTGACAAATTGCTAGATTCTAAATGTCAACAATAGGCTATTCGTTTCTTTTACAATTTGGGGAAGGGACAGGCTATGACTACTCAGAACTTGAGTCTAAAATGCGGGTACATCCACGCCAAAACCCCCTTTAGCTGTACACATGTTTGACATCTCGGCATTTTCCTAAGCGGACAGTTGCCCTTGTTACTCCTGAGTGGGACATCAATGCCTGAAAAATTAAAATCAATGTTCCTTGTTACACAGCTTTCTCCTTGAAATTAAACCAGTCGGCATCAAATTATATGATGTTGCCATAGATACCAATATCTGTTTGGAGGTTAGAAAACCGCTACTTGGATACAATTTATTGCAGATTTGGAAACTGCTTATGAATGATGCTTGCACGAAAAATTAAACCGCAGTCTTCGAGGTTACTGTTTCATAAATATAAAACCCCGGACTACACTTCAAGTTTTATTTCAAGTTTCCTTTCCGGCTACGGTCACAGTGAACAGACGCCTCCAAAGGGACAGCAGAGGTTGACTGAATTTTTGTAGGTTTCCTCCCACCAAGAGCACGTGTATAGACGAAGGCAGCTGTAAATGATTACACTGTAAATCAAATTGATGATAAATACGCCATACCCGAATCCTATAAACATGTTTCTTTTTCAACCTCTTCCTGAAAAACCTCAGCATCTTGCGTCCAGATTCCGTTACGTCTCGTTTAATCACTTTTCAGCTGTTGGTCATTAGACCACGAGATGATCTACGCTTGTAGGCGACATCTGCAGCATTTAGGCCACAAAAATCGCTCGATTTGCAGTTCTTTGAAGTGCTGTCTTCTCCGGATTCTCTCTTGTGTATTCATGTTGAGTGAGCGAGATCTGCGTTCACATCGTTTCGAACCTGGTTATTGACTTTTCTTCGAAACCCAGCATGAAGCTGGATATGTCAGCTGCTGTTTCTCAAAGACGACAAAATCCACTGTTTTATCCAACGCAGAGCAGTTTCATCCAACACAGAGTCGTTTTATCCCTACTAAAAATGTTAGTCAACTGTATTCTTTTATTGCCAGGCGGAATAAGTCTAGCCTGCGTGGTAGTAAACGGATAAAATTCGCAGCTACAGAACAGGCATGACGACATTACGTAGCTTGCACTAGCTTGATTTCTCCTTGAAAAGGATTTCATGGTACCAGGTGCGATTGGCGGCGGCGTCAACAACAGTCGCAATCAACGTGATCCAGTTCAAGCATTTGCCAGCACGAACAGATTTCATTGTGCTCCTTTTCTATATTTTGAGCTGAACGCAGAGACTCTGAAGCAAACTGAAAAGTGCGGGGAACCAAGGGCAAATGAAAGACCCATTAAAAAGATTCTGTAAAAAAGCTCTATTAATTAAATAAAAAAGGAGAGGTGCCATGGCCCCCGCCCTTCTCCCTCTTTTTGAAAATAATAAATCAAAAATAATAAAAAATAATAAAAATAATAATCACGACAAAAGAGGGTCTAAAAACCACAAACCCCTTAAAGACTCACCATTTTTAACAGAGAAATTACTAAAATTAAATGTATGTATAACAACATTGGACTTGATACAGCGCAAAGTTTAAAAACCAACCAAGCATGGGTATGGTTTTTATGTCCGTGTGTTTAATAAAAGTTTATTTTCTTGGGTGTATCTCATTTTGCATACTGACTGTCTAAGAGTCACCAAGTAGTTTGTCTGTTCTGTATCACAAAACTCACAACATACAGAGTGGTATGAAGAATGAGTGGAGATTTGCTAAAGTTGGAAGCCTAAGAAAACCAGCGCAAATGAGGGTACCTCATTCGTATAATTTCTCCATAGGAGTAGGAGACAGGGGCTGAGAATGCTGCAGCCTCTCTAATCAGGCAAAATTAATGGCATTTCAGACCATATTCGGGCAGTTCTATCTCGAGGTAGCAATGGCGAGATCCAATATTAAGCTCTCCTCTAAACCCTAAGCATCCGTCACGCCCATGGATGTCTCTATTCCTTTTAGCAAGCATTCTGGGTGTTTAGCCCAAATACTCACATCACTCTGCATAGATTCTTTAGTGAACGGCAGATTGAGCATTCTGTCTGCAAGACTGCACTCGATTAGAGTGCAGGGAATAGATACACAAACAACGAGCATGCAGCTTCAAACAAGGGTGGAACGGGTTTGTGTGCTGTAGAAAAAAAAATGAAAATCAAGAACATACCTCAGCAAGTTTATTTACATCTGCTCCGTGTTCTAGCAGCTTCTTCACAACTTCAAGTTTTCCTCCAAGCGCAGCGACGTGCAAGGGTGAATTTCGTTTCTATAAAAAGCTTCTTACATCAAAACCAATATCTTTAGCAGATGTAGAAGGTCTTACAAGGAAATCCTAATCTTAAGGGAGACAAGAGACAAATAGCTGACCAGGGCTCTGGGGTGGACATGGATCGTTGCGCATTGAATTACATGTCAATCGAGCAAAACTGCTTAAGCATCTCCACCCTGAAAATTAGTAAATTACTTGAAAATCGTGAGAATCGGGGGGATAGCTACGGGGGGAGGGCGTATTAAATTAGCTTGAATATTTGCATGTCATGCGGAAGTAGAGCTAACTTTTGATTGAATAAAAAATGCACCACTAACCGCATCAGGAGATGCAAGATCAGTAGGCCATGGCAAGCGGAAAGATAGAATGGGTTTTGAGGTTAACTGATTTCTTAACGATACTTCATAAAGTAATCACCCAATTTTCATTAATAGGTTTTAAGTTAGATGAACTTAACCGAGGTGCAGATAAAACTTAACAGAAATTATAGACAGGTGATAAGCAAAAAGCAATACGAGAGCCAACAGAAATGTTTCTGAATTACCACAAAGGTTCAACGCACAATTTGATCTAGTCTACTTGTTTATTAGTGTCAGTATGCATCCATTGGGGAATAACAAAGTACACCTATCTGGAGTACACGTTTTTTCTTCACCTTGGAATTCACCTGTCAAGGTATATTTTCACCTTTGTAAAGCGGAAAAACGACGGAAACTTGTCAAGATGGCTCGCATGTTTGTAGGCCGACCCCAAAAAGTATGAAAAACAAATTGACAACCTTTCAAAATAAAAGATCACTTTTTCTACAAAAAAACAGCTTGTGGATACAATTTGCATATCATGATTGACACAATACACGAGAAGGAGAGGCTGATAGACTGTATCTTAAGACATTTGCGAAATCTAGTTCGAGCTGAGATGAGCAGCAAAGAGCCTCTTGCTTTATCCACTAAAACAGATAAAACGCAACTCACTAAATGCCTTAAAGTTTAAGCCGGAGACAAATAGCATAAAAATGGTCTTTGAACCCGGCATAATGTTTCATAAGGTTATAATTTAACAACCTGTGTTCATTTAAAAAGCACTGTTCTTTGTAATGCTTCGCCAACACAAATGAGAATACTTCTAATTGACAAGGTTTGTTGGGCAGGCACGCCCTACATTCCTTTATGGCTGCAGTTCATTTGACAACACAAATTTTACAAGATAAAACGGGCAGTACCTTAGTAGTCGTTTCAATATTTGCGCCCCTTTGCAGCAGCTCCGCAACAACGTCAAAGTTGCCTTCTCGACAAGCCAAGTGCAAAGCAGTAAGTCCTTTCTGCAATAGGAGAGTGACAAAGTTAGCGAGTAATATGACACATAAAAACCACAAGAACTCAATGGATAATCATTCGCGTATCAAATTTGCTTATCATACCACAAAACTGCTATCCTTCTCGTAGCCCTTGAAATCTGACTCATTGAATGACAATTGAATAAGGTAACCTTTGGTTTTTTAAACGCTGGGTTTTGACACTTTCAGTCTTCTGAAGAGGAAGATCAAGGTGATGTAACACAAGACCCCTTAGGCCTTAGCTTACACAAGGCCAGCCACTTTGCATGTATTTAAAATTATCAAGCGTAACTTCAAAAAACCTCTAAAATCATAAAGAATTAGAAAATATAATTTTGTGCTGTAGGAGCATACCAAAGAGTTGTCGAAGCTATTAGGCCTTGGGATAGCAGCTTGAAACAGGGTCGTACAGCACTGGCCCTACCATAGCTTGATTACACTGAATATTTCTAGGAACATTGCTAATAAAGAATTCTATTAATTCTAGATTTATGCATTCACGGCAAATTCGCCGTCTATTATAACTGGTATTTCTTTGACAAAAAATACCCTAAAAAACCAAGGGCCTGCCCTTGCCTCTCCCTCCAGCTCCATTTTCTCAACCAAACATGTCTTCTCCCATTCTATAATGTTTGCTTTCCCGTCTATGTATGTAGCGCTGAAGCAAACGGATCAGGTCCATAATGTTTCTTTCAGAGTATAATCGTATGTTAATACAGGTTACATCCCTTGTCGAAATATCAGGTCGTTAAAAACTGCAGACAAACTGACTATTTACCTACTTAAAAAATTAAGCAATACATTGTGTTGTCAAATTTGATTAGTCTAATAGAAGTGTTATCTTTCTAACACAACTAAAGTCAATCCAAACAATAAAATCAATTCTTGATCAACAGAATAATTAATCAGTCGATCACTGATTTTTCTAGATGGTGCCTATTTTCTTTGGCATGAATAACAAATTGCTACTTACAGAATTGACTCCATCGATGTTGAGTGCCTTGAAATCGCAACTTTTGATGACATCGCAGTCGCCAGATTTTGCAGCCTTGTGCAGCTCCTCTATGTCCTAACAAAATGATTATCGAAAGTAAGTTCCTACTTGGGGATTTCAAATATTTCAATGGCAAAGGCGTAAAACACCCTTAAATATCTCCTATAAACGAAACATAATTGAAACATAATCAAGATTTCTTAATGTTTGTTTTTTATTGTGAAAACATTTCTGGGTACTGGCATTTAGTTCAAAATTGATCATATCAAGTACAATCAGGGCCGCGCGCGAGGCAAGCCTTGTTTTGAGATGGGGGGGGGGGGTTTGGATGACAAATGTACCTGATTAAAAGATTATTGCCTGAAATTCTTTTGTTGCTGTCAGAAACCTCTGCAATACGTTTTGTCAATCTAACTCTGTATGATATTAACGGACTTTCCTTATAGTTTTGTCAAATCTGCATATCAGGACGGGCAAATGATATAGTTACTACCCGAGGCGGCACAACGGTTACCGCCGAAGGACTAGAAAATATTTGAATTTTGATGCTTCCAGTTCCCTGGAAAATGCATTCTTTTAAGCAAATTTCACTAAAGCAATCTTCCTAATCCAACTGAAAATTCTTTTTTTCGCAAACAAATTGAACAGCAAATAAAAACAACTGGTACTCTCGAAAAACACCATGTTGTTAGTTATTTCTAAAGCTATGTAACAAGCAGCACTGGTTGTCAATTTAGATCCCTCTTTCCATCTTAGCATGCCTATTTAGGGGAAATGGACACAAGGCGCAATTTTTCTTAAAGAGGGCCTGGATTTTTAGATTTAGTGCCAACAAGAAATCTTCATATCATTAGTTTGTTTACTTTCATCCATATCAAGGAATATCATATTTAACCAACGGAGCAACTACCTTTGCCTGATCCTTTATTGATTTTATGACATGAATGTCTCTAAAATACCTGAAGCGTTTCTTCCACCGAGCGGATTTTACCTGAAATTTCCTACTGAGATAATATTGGGTGGGTGTGACGCCCTTGAGTACAATCCAGGTTCTGATTACATTATAGCCCCCTTTTAAACAACGATTCTGAAAATATGTAGCCCGCGCCCCAGTCCGCAAATGCTGCCACATTTGTGGAGTGATACACTGTGCATTATTGATAAATATCCTGTCTGCAGTTTCCAACAGAATTCGGTAGTAATTTATGTAACCCTCCAAAATTATGCAATCAGCTGAAATCGGCAACAGTTCCAGCTTTGCAAAACTTTAAACGCTTCATGCACCATCCTATCTACACCCTGTATTGTTTCAGTGCATATTTTTTTCGATGATTTTTTCATGCAACATTTAAGTGATTTCATTGCATAAATTATTTTCATAAACTAGACCCAGCCCTCTGCCTGGATAGAATATTAATCAATTTAGTACAGTCCATAAATGTGGCAGCATTGGTGGCCTGGGGCGCAGGCTAAAAATATGACGTTAAAATCAGAAAAGACAGAAAATTAAGGAAATAAGTATCAAAATAAAGAAAAGGCCACCAATGGCTCATTTAATGTAATTGGGTCAAATACAAAAAAGGTGGCGATTTTCTTCACCAAAATAATTTCGAACACATATAGCTCATCAAGAAGACACTCACCCTTACTTTAGAAAGATCGTCAGCGTCGCTCTAGAAAGAAAATCGTATGATTAGAAAATTCGAATAAATATATAAACTTTTAGACATGACCGTTTATTATCTCAAATTTTCAATGGAAAACAATAGCTGAAGAAATATTTGCAATTTTAAAAAAGATATGTTGCATATCTAGGGCTATATACTAAAAAATTCGATACAATTGAAAAAATTCCGGGGCGGCTTGAACACTGAAGCTCCAACAAAGTTCTGCAGCCGTGCTGTTTTCCGGAGGAAAAGGAAGTGAAAAAAGGACTGCAAACTTTCAGGAAAAAAATTTCTAAAAAATGGTAAAAGAGCGTTTCGCTGTTCCCTGGGTTTTTAGCAGGTACTGTTGCTATCTGACAGAGATTTTAAACCGAGGTCCTGACTTGGCCCTGACAATCGTATTGATCCATTAGGTTTCTAAGTGGATTTGGGTTGCACATCTGCGAAAATTTAAAATAGGGCTCTGCGATTTTGCAGGGATCGCAGGTCAACATTGCATCCAGCCGATGAATTGAACAATGTCGATGAACAGATAGAAGCATTAAAAAAAATTACGACTTAAAATCAAGACCTTCATAATGAAATCGTAAGCTAACCTGGGTACCTGACAAAATGTTCCTATTGATTGCTCTTACAAACATACTTCCGTAAAAAACGTGTAAAGCCTCTTTAACAGATCAAGTCAAATATTACTATCCATCAAAAAAGAAAACATACATAATTTGACTAAATAAAAAAGCCTCAATACTCAGTAGACCTTGAAAGCTGGCCAGCAATTCAAAATGTGACTATGGCTTATGTTAACCTGGGCTCAATTAAAATTCACCGGGCTTTCAACTCGTCTTGTCATACTGATTAAGAAATATGAA